CCATGCTGTCATGGAGATTCACTTGTTGATTGTATGTTTTCATCCTTGCCCCGTAGGGAAAAAACAACGTCCTTTACCCACCTAAAAAGCTCACAGACCAAACTCAAGCATAGCCCTTCTAACCTTGGACGGGCTTCTCTTGATGTTCAGATACCGCTTGCCAAAATTCTAAGGGAAGAAGATTGCAATACAGATCACTTTCGCCTTTTAGAAAACATTGAAGCTTTTCTATGTGGGTTGGATTCTGGAAACTCTGCTTCTCAAGTTTTAGATTTGATTAATCTAAAGAACAAAATTCATAATGAGAAGCCCCTTCAGTTTGAAAATGAGCTTTTTAGTGGGTCGTTTGTTTCAACTGAAAATTTTCGGGGAACACCGTACTTGGAAGCTATACTAGATAGGAGAACAAAAGATGGGACCATTCTTGTGAAGAAGTGGCTTCAAGAAGCTCTTCGCCGCGAAAAAATAACTGTGAATGTGAAATCACGTCCTGGTCTTGCTACAAAATCAGAGTTGCAACCCATGGTCAAAGCACTGGCTAAAACCCAGTCATCTTTACTGAGAAACAAAGGAATTATTCAATTAGCAGCAGCTGCACTGATTGCCCTTGACGAATCTAATTCAGCCAGATGGGAAGCATTTATCAGTGCAGAGAAAACATTAAATGTTGTAAGTGCTGGAGAAACAAGCCAGAGTCTTGCTGCTCAAATAGGTGATCTTATCAATAAGAGTGCTTTGGTGGGATTGCATGGACAGAAGAATGGAAAATTGGAGGCGTCACAAGGGTTGCTTTCTTTTCAGGATGCTTTGCTCCTTATGATTTCTGGATATATATTGGCTGGTGAGAATTTCCCAACATCTGGTTCTGAGGGCCCTTTTTCTTGGCAAGAGGAGAAATTGTTGAAGGATTCTATTGTTGAAGCAATTCTGGAAAACCCATCAATAGCAAAACTGAAGTTTCTTCATGGTCTAATGGATGAGCTTGAGACCAACTTAAGAAAGAGCAAATCAGAGGAAAGTAAAGAAACGTCTTTAGATCAAATAGACATTGATGATTTCGATGACGATGAGTGGGGTAACTGGGGTGATGAAGATGTTGACAATAAAGATAACAGTAAAGAGCAAGTGTATGGTGACATGCAACTGAAGTTGGAGCTGCGTGACAGGGTCGATAACCTGTTCAAATTCCTTCACAAGCTATCCAGTTTGAAGATTCGGAACATACCATTGAAGGATGGGGCATTCTCTGCAGAAAATAATTTCAGTGGAGATCCATATGCAAGTAGAGGACTACTTTATAAGCTTCTAACAAGGATTTTGAGCAAGAATGACGTACCCGGTTTGGAGTATCACTCTTCTACTGTTGGGCAGCTTTTTAAAAGTGGGTTCAGAAGATTTGGCCTTGGGCAGGTGAGTTGCAGTTTCCAGATTTTGCTTCAGTAGCCCCATATATACTTAATAACCTTGTTCTGATTTTCTTCAGGCAAAACCAAGTTTAGCTGACCAAAATATCATCCTGGTTTTTGTTATCGGAGGAATCAATGGTGTCGAGGTCTGTATTTCTTTCTTCGGTTCTTCTCGTCGTATTTTAGCATGTGCACATGAAAACTTAGTGTATTAGTTCCTTGAAAAGAAGCATGACCCTGGTGTTTTTTTGTGTGAAACAAGGTTCGTGAAGCTCAAGAGGCATTATCTGAAAGCGGAAGACCGGATATCGAATTGATTCTTGGTGGAACAACTCTCCTAACTCCCGACGACATGCTTGACTTATTGCTGGGGAAGTCTAGCTACTTCTGATTGTTCAGTCTGAAGAACGATTGGGAGAGTAAAATAGGTGAATCTGAAAGATTGTTGGGTTAATATTTCATCAGCAATATATATATCTTTTTTTCCCCGCTTGGAATTACTGAATACTGAGCTATTATGCATGCTGCTTTTCGTGCATGTTTGGGGAAAGCTAAGATGGAAGTACTTCGAAATATCATTAAAAAGAAAAGAAAATTGAATACAAATTGATAGAAAATATTTTCCAGCTGAATTCATAAATTGGGAACACTCTGAAATTAGATATGAAGAATGGAACTTTTGCTTGTTTATTTTTTAAAGTAACCAAATTTTGGATGTTTTAAAGACTTTTAGCCCTCTTCTTTTGTTAATTTTAATTTAAACCACTTGAGGGAGTTTCGAGCACCACGTTATATTTCAAAATTTTGAAAAAAAAAGGTTAAAATTCTTTAGTGTATTAAAACAAATTGTAGCAATAATCCTTGATCTAAAATTCAAGTAGCATTTTAATTCCTCAAAACAATTTTTAGATTCAGTAGTCCTGATCCTGAAATTTGGTTTGTTTATCAGTTTCGTCAATTTCATTTCACATGTTTAAAATGTTATAAATAAATAACATATACCAATGGGGTGTTAATTGGATTAGCCCAGAGTACCCATCGTGTGTATGAGTTTTCCCTCATCCCCTTCCTAATTTTGGCAAACAAAAAGCAAAATAAAAAAGGAAATGAATAACATATGTAATAAAAAATATTGACATCAAATACAATTTGAAAATAAAATTTAAGGAGAAAAAAAGATAAAACTTCTGCCCAAAACCCCTAAATTTAACATTAATTTTGGTACTATTTACAAAATAGTACCAAAATAAAAAAATATTGACATCAAATACAATTTGAAAATAAAATTTAAGGAGAAAAAAAGATAAAACTTCTGCCCAAAACCCCTAAATTTAACAATAATTTTGGTACTATTTACAAAATAGTATTTTGTTTTGTTTTTTTTTCGAGAATCTAGTGAAAAACCCAAAAGAAGCAACTTGCTGTCAAACAAACCCAAAATATTTTTAAAAAGACAGAAAAACTCCTTATCTTTAGCATCAAAGACATGCAAGTCCTAGGCTAAAAAACCCATGTGAAGATTTTGTCTTTATTCCATTACAGTGAAGCAACAGTGTCAATAGTGTAGTCCAGTAGCCTATGTTAAGAAGTTATGTTTGTTTGTGCATATGTTTGAGTGTCATTTGTCTTAGTGTGTGACAAGACCCGCCCCGAATTTCCTCGGAAACCGGGACGGACCCTGCCTAATTACCGACATCACCCCGATGCTGGGCCCACTTACTAAAGACCGAGACTTTCTACCAAAAATTTGGCAGAGTCTCCCTTGTAAATTTAACATTTCCCAAAGTTCAACCTGCTCAAAATTTACAGTTAATAAACCCAACCAGCAGCATGCTTTAAAAGCAGTTAAACAAATTACAACAAAGGCCTCCGGCCTCACAATTCAAACCCTAAGGGGATGATACAGAGCATATCTAAGAAATTCAAAAACAACATAAACAGAGTTCCACTGGAAAAGAAAGATGAAGAAGTCCCTACAAAGACTCAAGGTTCGGAAGCACCCGATCCGGCTTGACTGCGGAGCTCAGTCACTACTGGCTGGGGGGCGCAAAACAGAAAATCGTGAGTGGACAAAAATAAAGTTCAGTTCAAATAAATCAACGTAATATAACCCCCACCGTTAGAAAATCATGCAAGAATTCCAAATGCATCTTAAAATCGTCATAAGCAAGTATATGAACATATACTAAAATAATACCGGATACCAAGTCCGAAATCCGTGAACAACACTTCACAAACCCACCATTCAAAACTTAAAAGTCCCGAAAGATTAAACTCTCGAAAACGAACCCACTGGCACGACCGGCGAGGAAGTATCTTTACCGAGAAACAAGAACGAATGAATATTCATATGTATAAATATGTATAATAATATAGAACATAATAATAATAACATATATATATATAATTATAACCAACATTTAGTTGTACCGGGGAAACAATCCAACCGGAGGATTGTTTGACTAGTCAACATGGCAGAGTCATTCCTCAATTCACCATGTGACTAGGGAACGAGCCGTCCAACTGGGGGACTAACTCTCAGCCAGCACGTACAGCCGAGATACTCAAAGCTTGTACGCCTGAAAAACCAGTCCTACGCGCGCAGACAACCCCAAATCCAGGGTCTATAGCAACATCCCATCAAGGATGTCCCAGGTTCCGACAATTCCAAGTATCTCCAGTATCAGTAACCAAGTTCCAAATCCGAGGAGGTACATAGGGTAGTGCTTAAAGCACTCCAAACAGATATTTCAAAACTCAAACCTTCCCATAAACTCATTTTAACAACCCAAGTACCCCAAGTACCCCATACATAGCCAATACTTCATAAAAATATCGATTTCCACAATTGAATAAATAATATATCCAAATATACCAATAAACATTATGCATAAAGTTTCCCATCATAAAACCATGTTTTTAATTTAAAAACAAAGTCCACTCACAAGTAGTCCCACACTGCTTGACCTTGAGAGGGTCCCGCCTGCTGCGTATGCGTGCTCGGAGTACCTATTTCAGAATACGAACACACGATTAACATCAAGCGCTTTGAAACAAAATTTTGAATTAAAAACCTAGTTTCCCGGGTTCCTAGTGAGTGTATGCCGAAAGAGACGTTCTAAGGTCCAACTACCCAAATCGGACGATGGATAAGCCTCGGGAGACACTCAGTCAACTGGGCAGTCAAACTTCCCAAATCGGGTCAACCAGGTCCACAGGACCCACGACCTCTGTTTTGAAATCCGCAAAATCCTACGCGTTCGTGATAACCTAAGGATCTCATCAGGACATCATTCAGCTCCACCACTCTTGCCCACGCGCCGGCAGCACGTGGGTGCATAGTAATTTTCGACGACAGAAAATCTCCACACTAACGCTCACCCTTCCTACCCTAGCTTCTTCTCAAGATCAGGATCACTTTAATCAACTACCACGAAGTCCAATTCGGACGGGAACTGGCCGGAATTTCAAATTGAAAACCGGCCAAAACCTAGCTTCTCAAATCGGATTCTAAACAGCAAATTGAACAATTCCTATGCAACAGCCAGCTAGAACACGTAAAAAGAGAGAGAAACCCCACCAATTTTACCTGAAATGGACGGCGGAGGCGCAACGATCGGAAAAGTCCTGCTCGAACCAGTCGAAACTGCCGGCGGTTCTGGAGCTTTCCGGTCGGGATTTTGGGTGGTTCAGGATTGGGGCTTCACGACGAGTCGAACGGGACCGGTCTCGAAGGCTGGGGTGGTCAGATGTGGCGGCGGGGTGGCTGTTTCCGTTCAGGTGAACAGTTCGCGGGAGAGAGAAAAGACGCACGGGAGAGAGAGAGAAGAGGTGAGGTGAAATTGAAAAATCTGATTTTTACTAATACCTTTTTTGAATTATTTACGGTTTTGCCACCGAAAGTAATTTGATCGCCAAAACTTCGTTATAACTCCGATTCAAGCCTACCGCCTTTCTACGAATTCATCTCAGAGCCACCTACGCAACCAAACCACCCGTGGCCCAAAAATCCTTCGGATAAGAAAATGACCAAATTACCCTCACCTTAAGGGCAATTCCGTAAATTCACTTAATTAAATTAAAATAAGGAATAATTTGGAGTCAGGGTGTTACAATGTGCATGTGAATTTGTTTGATTATGGTGTGTGCATGTGAAGGGTAAGGGATGCTGTAACAGTTCGCATGTGAAGGTGTGTGTGACAAGTGTGATATGTAAGTTCAGAGAGATAGAGAGAAGAAGAGCTCTCCATCCTTAGCCAATAGTCTCCCGGTTGAACTGCTCATTCCCTAGCCACATGAATATTGTGGATTCTGCCATGTGGTCTAGTAAAACAATCCCCCGGTTGGATTGTTTATGAGTTGGGGTTTCTTGAGCATGTGCATGGTGAGTGCTTTGCACAGATGTGATCATTGTTATGATGTTTGGATTGTGTTGTTTTGCAATATATGCCTTGGATAGGGTATGGTTGCAGGAAAAAAATTATTTTGAAAAAGTAATTTGAGTTTCGAAGTAAACGGTTAGGTTTAAAAGAGTTATAAATAGTACATGTAAGTCTTTATAGGGAAGTGGTTTTGAGTTATGAATCTTGGGAAGAGAGGAATTTATAAAATATTTAGTTTTATTCCTTGTGGAAATTGAAGTTGAGAATGAATCTAAATTTAATTGTTGGTTTTACTTGGACAATATCTGTATGTTTATGAATTGTGATCCTTTTTATTTGGAAGACTACGTGTGGCTTGATCCCTTTTTAAGGGTACGTAGGCAACCTGGGATAACATAAGTGCAGCCGCAAATTGATCTGTTTGAGTTTTGTTTGATCTGTTCTAGTACATTGTATTAAATGATTGTTTATGAGGCCGGAGTCCCATTTTGTAATTTATGTATGCTACTACATTGTTTGTGCTTGCAGTTGGTTGTTATTCTATTGTTTTTTACAGGTGAAAAATTTGTAGAGTCCATTTTCAGGAGAGACTACCGAATTTTTGGTAAGAGTCTCGGCCCCATTTTTCCTTAGTTTCGGAGAAGGAGACTATTTTAGTAAGTGGGTCCGTCATAGGTTAGTTGTGGGACGGGAAGCAGGGTTCGTCAAGGATTTCGAGGGGGAATCCGGGACAGGTCCTATCACTTGTTCATAGTAAAAATAAAAATGAATATAGAAAACACTTAGAAATTATTTTGAAAGAATTTATTGATAATGGTATAGTTATAAGTAAGAATAAAGTAGAGCTTGAAAAACAAGACATAGAATTTTTAGGTATGTATATTAAGTCATGAACTATATAGTTACAAGAACACATAGCTAAAAAAGTGTTAGAATTTCAGATAAATTAGAAGATAAAAAGAAATTACAAGTATTTCTAGGATTATTAAATTATGCTAGAAGTTTTATCCTTGACTTAGGAAGAAAGATTGCAGCATTGCATAGTAAAACCAATAAAACATATCAAAAATATTTTAATAGTTAAGATATTAAATTAGTTCAAAATATCAAACAAAACATAACTCAGCTTAAGCCTCTAGCATTAACATTAGATAATAATTATAAAATAGTTGAGATAGATGCATCATCAATAAGATGAGCATGAATTTTATATCAGAAGAAACATAAGAAGAACCTAAATCATAAGAAAAAGTTTGTAGATATGCATCACATAACTTTAGTGATATACATGCTTAGACTTTTTAGCCACTACTTAGAAATTTTATGAGTAATAAACTCCCTAGAAGCATTTTCATTGTTAATATAAAATGAGATATTTACTATTAGAATAGATTGTCAGAATATTGTTTTTCATTATAATAAAATTACTACTAATAAACTTTAGCTAGAGAAAGATATAGATTTCTCCCATAAGATATTAAGTGCCCGTTTAGCATTGCTTATTTAGAGTGATAAGTGATTTTTAAAAAAAAATTTAGAAAGCCCAGCCCATTTGGTAAACTATGAGAAAATCATTTATTATTAAAAATTATTATGAGAGAAAGCTATCAGGAAAAGCAGCTAATGAGGTGTTTTCATTTTCTGATTATGTAGGAATTAGTTTCGAAGAGGCACTAGGTTTAATGATTGATAATATTACAATAATACATGTTTATTTTCCTTAACATTTAATTTTAAAAGCAATTATAATGGGTAATTAAATAATCTTATGCATTTATATTTTTACTTGGTCAAATTGGTTTAATGTTATTTTATTAACTTCAATCAATGACTTCCTATGTAGGCTTGTGTGTTGTGAAAACCAACTCAATTTGCATGTCAAGAAGTGTGCCACCCAAAGATAATATGCTAGTGGCCAATTAAAGAACTTCAACATATCCATGAAGCAATGATGATGAAGGAAGAAGTGCAACTAGCACAAGAAGAAAAGAATTGAAAAGAATGCATGAAGTGCCACATCCATGCCAAAAGAAGAAAGGAAAAGAAGTATGGGATGGAAGCAAACAAGAAGAAATTGAATTCACTTGCTTGTGAGGTGTCATCCACTCCAAAGAAACTCAAATTCAATGCCAATTCATAGGCAAGATAAGGTGGGAGTTAGGTATTGCATTAAAATAGGAATGGTGGTGTGGGAATCCATTATGATGCTTCTCCTTCTTAGCCCTATAAATAGAGAAGTCTTCAAGCTTCAACACACACACCAAACTCACAATCTTCTCTTGAGCTCTCTCTCCTTCCTCCAATTCTTCTAGTTTTAATTTCTTTAGTTTTATTTTATGGGAAACTAACTCCCTAGCTAAGGCTAGGGAGAAAGCTTTTAATATGAGTATGTAATTTTTATTAGCTTGATCCAAACTTAAGCTTTAATGTGAATTTGTTTTGTTCAAATGGAATTTGTAGTTTTTCTTTTTAATTAATTGATGAATGTTTGATAATCTATTTCATGGGTTCAATCATATTTTTCCCATTGTGTAGTAAAAACTTTTATGCTTTTAAAAGAGGAGATAATTACTAAGATTAATAGAATTTCGACGAATATTATTTTTTGATAGTTTGTTGCCAATGATACAAGTTATGCTTAGAATACTTCTAAAGGAAATTAAAAAGAGCTTTAATTATTTTGAACAACTACAATGGAAAATATTTTGTGGATCAAATTAATAAGAGTTGCATGCTTATGTTAAAAGTGAAACCCCAATGCCTTAGTGTTTTAATCAATTAAATTCTCTTTAAATCAAATCTTGATTAAATCTACACCTTTATCTTAATTGTTCTGTCTCAGCTCTGTTATTTTCTTTACACTGCTCTCTGTGGATACAACACTCAGACTTTTGAGCTACACTGTTATACGACACCTTCACTTGGGTTTTGCAAAGTGGTACAAATCAATGATTATGCGGGAATCATTTTCTGATTATGCGGGAATTAGTATCAACAACACTTATAGCAAAAAATTTACCAAACGCCAAACTGTTTTCTCTCACAGCAAATTTGACAGTAATTATTTTCACAGCAATGCCAAACTGGCTAATTAGATTAGAATATGAGCAAATACATCTCTTCAATTATACATTCAAGCATTTCTTTTTAATTTAAAAAATAATCCACAACATGATATAAAAATTATTACTAAAAGTTGTTCTCATTATACTATTTATTTAGCTAGTATTAACATGGTGGAATATAGAGAATTATATTTAGAGCATAACCAAAAAACTATCACAATTACTCCAACATTTTTAGCGAAGTATGGTTATTTAGGTCAACTTTATATTGAAAATAGTCATCATTTAGATTCATTTCCCTCATAATTAATAGAAGTTATAAGTTTTTATATCTCTCTTTGGAAGAATGTAAAATTAGTTTTCATCAACATACCTCCAAAGTGGTTTACATATAGTATTTACCTAGACAGAGCACAACATATTATTATTATTTCTCATAATGTACTGTTTAGTCTGGCAGAATCTGTAAATACAGAGATCTCTACCAAGCAAGATATTAAAAAATACAGAGAAACAACAACAGCTGAGCTACAATTGTTCAATGATGATCATTTGAACCTCCTTCACCAATCCAACTTTGTAAAGATTTATTCAAAGACTACATCAAGAAGACCGAATGACACATATGAATTCAGGATAAGCAAAACATGAGTAAAAGTTTTTTTATGAAATCTATAATCAAATAGCAGAACAAATTGAAGCAGAAGACAACGACAACTCATACTGAAATAGCTTAGGTGAAGAAGAGCTACACAATATAAACATGATGTTGGAAGCATAACTCCATGTGAAGCTCTCATGATAGTATAAGCATCTCAACTTCATTTCACATGAAGGGATTATCCTAGCAACATAATAGAAGATGGAGCATCAGTCCAAAATTTATCAAAGCAAGATAATCCAACTCTTTGGCACCATATGGCAAGCAAGAAGCGACACTTTTTGGCACCATCTGAAAGTAGAAAAAAGACTCCTTAGACAATCTAAAAATGAATAAAGGCATTATTTTCCAAACACTATAATTTTACCCTCTTTATAAAAAGGGTTATCTACTGTAGACATCCCTAAACTTGGCCCCCAATTGCAATTGGGTCCCCAAACTTTTTTCTTTATGCAATTAGGTCATCCAACTCTCTCATTCGTTCCAATTGAGTCATTCCGTCAATTTGGCTATTAATTTGAGGGCTAAAACCGTCCATTTTAATTTAAAATTTAAAAAATTTAAAAATTAAAGGAAAAAAAAAGGAAGTGAAATAAAATAATTAAATTAAAATAATAAATAAATAAATAAATAAACTTCAAAATAAAAAATAAAAATCCAAATCCCTCTCTCTTTCGCTCTATCTCTCCCTCTCTCTCGCAATCCATTCCCCCTCCTTATCCCACCCCTTCAAAACCCAGATCCCAACCCAACCTACAACTCACCCCCCATCTCCCAACCTGCAACCCATCTCTCCGCCCTGGAATGTCGAATGAAATAGGTCTTACTTGATGCTTGTGCTAAGCAAGGAGGTCGAAGAAGGCCGCAAGTGGAAGCAATTGATGCTTTGGTCATTCAGTTGACTTCTTGCTGCCAGTCCGTGCTTGCTGTCATGCTAGCAAAAACAGGGGTTGCTAGTGGGTTGGAGTAGCTCCTCTAGTCGAAGTATCGGGCCCCTTTTTCGTTGCTAGGTTACACCTTTGGAATACCCCAAAAGGGAATTTTGCTATGTTTGGAACCCTATCTATACAAAGGGGTTGATTCTAAGATCTGATCTTATTAATCCCCTATTGTGCATATGTAAATAGAGTCAAGTAAATCCTATGTGGTTTCTACGAATCACAAACTGTTTGATATGGATTTGTATTGTAAACTTATGAAGATGGAGGTGGGGTTGTTAGGGTTGATGATGGATGAAGAAGGTGAAGTTGGGGTCAAAGATGGATGAAAAACCCAAAAGGACGCTTTTACCCACTCACTTTGACAGATAAATTGACAGAGTTGAACGGTAGGATCCAATTGGAAGTATTTATCTAGTTAACGAATGTAATTGCCTCAAAAAAAAGTTCACGGACCCAATTGCAACTGAGGGCCAAATTTAGGGATGTCCACAATAGATAACCCTTATAAAAACTTCCCTCATTTTGGGCTGAATCAAAAGTCCCCTTGCTTTTTTGGTTTGGCACTACTTAATAGTGATCGAAATGCCCATTTTCTGTAAAAACGCTGCGTTGCCTTAAACCTTCTAAACCCCTTTCCCATGGCGGCCCTGAAGCTTCTCCTCTCCTCAGCTCGCCGTCACTGCCTTTCCAAACCTCACTCCCATCTTCATCCACCTCCATTTCTAAGCTACCGCAGATCCTTTAGCTCCGAATCCGACCCGACCCAGAACCCAAACCCAAACTCTCCTTCTCCTCAACCCCCTACTCGACAATCCGTGCCGATCGAACCCGTTTCCTACTCTCTCAAGCCCAAAGACCACTCCTCACCCGACCCAGACCCAACTTCCCAACCCGAACAAACATCACCACTGCCGCCGAGCGGGCCTCGGGACTTGCCCAACTCACCGAGTCAGGAAAATCGCTCCGAGTGGACCCGTGAAGAGGCTCGGTTCTTAAGGCACGTGCCCTCTATATCTCCGGTATCTTACCGGGTCAAAGTTGCTCCGTTGCCGGAAGATAGGGTCCCTGAGGAGGCCGAGGGAGGCGAAACCGGAGCTGAGAAGGGTGGGGAGAGTGTGAAGGATCACGAGGCGGTCTTGGAGAGAGAGAAGAAGAGGATCGAGGCGGATGGTCGATTGAGAAGGAGGCTTTTCAGGGTACCGGAGGAGGAGGTGGTGGTTCCTTTTCCCACGTTGATTAACGTTGAGAAGAAGGAGAGGAAGCCTATTCTTGATGTAATGGACGCAATTCGCCAAGTCAAGGTCAGTGTAAGGTTTTCTCTTTTTTGTTTGTTTGATAAATCGGGTGTTACTGTTTGGTTGCTGTGAAAATGTGGGAAAGTTAACGGACCTGAAGTTTTCCATTTCCTTGTTACATATTTGGATTTGGGATAGCAAATGGCTTCTACGATACTAACTATACAGTTTATTTGGCATGGTTGTTATTATCTTTCATTTCTCTGGTTTAAGTTTGTTTCTGGGAAATTGAATAATTTTTAAATGTGGTAGTTTTTTGGCTGAAGAAATGTGGTCGAAGTATATGGAGTGTTTATTTTAATTCGCCTTTTTCGTTCTGGGTAATGTATATGTTATACTTGGAGGTCTGGCTGGCGTATGAACTCAATTTGGTTTGCTAAGGTTTGTGAGACTTAAGTAAGAACATCTAGAAATCATGACCATTTTTCACGTGCATATTGAGCTCGCAGCAGATGTTTTTGCTCTCAGTCCAGTTGGATTTATCTTTTTTGGTTTATTGTTCTTGTTGTTGAGATAATAGCTATATTGTAATTACATGGATCTCTTTAGACTTTCTTTTGGGTCATAGTTTACGTAAGAGTATTTTGTTTTGGATGTGTTTCCCATTTCTAATCTCTTCTTCTCATGTTCTAGTTGTTTTACAGGCTAATGCCAAGTGCAAATTTGATGAAACTGTTGAAGCTCATGTCCAATTGGGTATTGATGCCAAGAGAAATGTAATATGCCAACTCATCTGAGTAAAATCTTCTCTTATCTCAAGCATAACTTTTTTGTGTGAAATAGACTCTGATATGTTGACCAATAACCTATGCAAATATGAAATATATAAAAGCAGTTCATAGTTTTAGATTTTCAATTCATCTCATGGCTCAATAGCCATTAAATTTAAAAGATAACCCTATACGAGACGGTACAAAATAAAAATGTGTGGGCATGATAGTCAATGTGAGATCAAGGTAACTCCCAACAGTTCGATTTGTTTATAGCTATCCATGTTCTTTTTTAATAAGGTGAACAATCTCACATGTGTATGGGTGCGTATGAGATGGCTAATAGGCATTAGTAGTTGGGCAGAATTGTTGAAACACCTAATATTTCAAAGAATGTTTTGAAGAAACCATTAATAAATGTTTATATTGATTGGACTTCAAGATGGTTGATTGGAATTTCAGGATTTTTGAATGAACTCCGTGTTTTGGACTCAAAATGTCATGACGTTAAGCAAAAAAATTTATGTGACTAATCCTTTTAAACCATTGTCTGTCAGTTCCTTGTACTCATTTTTTTCAATTCTAAAAGTGACCTTCACTATTCGTGGGCGTAGGCACCCAAATATGTTTAGTCTTGACTGAGGGGTCCTTAAATTTATCGTATTGTATCATTTTCTGACTATACCTTTAGACCATAATGTTGTGGCCTCATCTGATTGTGTCAATTTGCATATTTTCAGTAGAAGTTCTCAAACTTAGTGCTATGCTTTCCAAACAGTAACTAATAAAAGTTCTTGCTTCTACTTTTTTATTTCGTGCTTGCAATTTTACATGTAATTATTATTTTTAATGTTTCAAACTCCTCTTTGAAGATTCAATTTACATGGACTGCTACCTGATTGAACTGCAGGCAGTTCGTGGTAACATGACTTTGCCTCATGGTAGTGGGAAGGTAGTTATCTAAACTTTGCTAAATCATGCTGGATTTTTTCCATCTAACTTAAATTCTAGTTGGCTTGTGTATGACCACTGTTATTTTTCAGGTTGTCAGGGTTGCTTTCTTTGCTGAGGGCGCAGATGCAGATGAAGCTAAAGCTGCAGGAGCAGATATTGTTGGCGGTGTTGAACTTGTGGAGGAAATTGCAAGTAACGAACCAACCCTTGTTGCTACTACTTGCATTCTAAATATTACACTAAAAAGAGAAACTCCTGTCTACTGGATATACTATGCAATGATTTTGCCGTTTCAAAATTTCTGATTTTTGGTTTTGATCTAAACTTCTTTCTATCATAAATGTCATTTGGTTTATGTGGGTTTATATGAATCTTACATTGCTTCAGTTGAAGAAGTAATCAAACCATTGATGACCTGAGCTTTGTATCATGCAGGCACTCATAAGCTCAATGTTGACAAGTGTTTTGCAACAAATGAAATGATTATGCGCCTGGCAAAGGTTTTTGAGTCGTAATTGTTTTCATGTGGGATAAGTCATCTTCATTACTTCATTAATCGAAAGGGAATCTTTAATGTTTTGCAGATTGCAAGGATTCTTAGAGAGCGTGGTTTGATGCCTGACCGGAAAGTGAGTTAATCATATTGTAATTTCTTATTCAATTCGCAGGTCTGTGGGCAAACTACTAATGCTGGTTATACTATGTATCATATAGCTAGGCACTGTCACTAATGACATCTCTGGAGCACTGCAAAAAGTAAGACAAGGTCATATTGAGTATAGAATGGACAGAACATCAATTGTACACGTGGGACTTGGAAAGGTACCATAGTCTTAGTCCAAATACAGTGTTCTATTTTTACTTTTCTGGAGACTTGGAATTCACTTTCTTATTTTTCTTATCTAGCGTCCTCACCATTCTTTCTTTTCAGGTAAGCTTTACAGAGGAGTACCTGCGTGAGAACATTGGTGCCTTTATGAGTTCTCTTTTGCTGGCAAAGCCTGCGGGATTAAAAAAGTGTAAGTGGCACAAATTACTCATGTTTCCTATAGTGTTATTCGTGGGCTAAACTAAGTAAAGTTCAAATTTGATTTTAATGTTCAACCATAATTTCACACACTCGGTTTCTTGCTCTTGCATATGAGTACAGAGGATCAAGTTTATTAGCCATGTTTATTTCTGAGCACTTCATGAGCTATTTGGTTCTGCTCAACAAGAAGTTCAGCTCAATTTGCTTGTTAGATAAATGAACCAAACTTGATACTGAGGTGCAGGCTCTTTTTTCATTTTTTATTATTATTTATCAAATGAGCCTAAGTTAGAAAAATCTAAGCTTTGTTGTGCCTAAGTTAGAAATTTATTGAAATTTGTTCATCAATGTTGTCATCATGATATACGTTGTTGACCTATGCTTAATACAAGTTTTTGGCATACAACGATAGTCTTAACATGGTATCAGAGTTTTGGTTGAATTGTTCTAGGAGGTCTTAATTTTGAGATCTCTCATCCAATTCCCCACTTATTTTTTAACTGACAAGGTGCAGTTCACCTATTTATTTCTCCATGAGGATACACGTAATAGAGGGTGTGAGCTTGATATTTGTTGTTGATTCATTTCCTAATAACTTAAGTTTGTGTGGCCCAATAATCGTCTAACAGCTGTAAATTATCAATTGCTGTAACTGAAGTGCAGGTGCATGACTCTGTTGACAGTTAACTTCATTGTTTATGTTTAATCTTGCTGTCATGTTTGACCCAACTGCATGGTTATGCTGTATTATATGTTCCTCACCCTCAACACCTTGATTGCATGAAGCTCTTTCGAGTATCAAAGCATGTCTCTGTAGTTGTTTCTTTTAAGGCCAAGTTGAGAATGCCCTTGAATGCATTACCCACCCCTGAGCCAGACATGAGCTGAAGACATTCAGCTTGATTACTTCTGAGCCACTTAAAGCCGGTAACTTTCTCCTAGCCAAGCTAGAAAATCGTAGAGGTCAGCTTGGCTTAACTCATCTGCAAGTCTACATGATAAGTAATTGCAGTAGTAATTCCAAGATGCAATTATGATCTTGGACTGTAAAAGATGCCAAACAGTTGGGTGAATGCTATTTGGCTTCAGGAATTACAGGGCAATAAGGGATAGAAGCTAACCATCCTTGGGGGAGGCTCTAATATCTCTCTACCCAACTCCTTGTCTAGCAGCCAAGAACAAGAGAGCTACTTAAGTGTCAAATGCAAAAACCAACCCTAGGACTAGGAGAGTGGCTCTTTAAGTTAAATTAATGGGAGTTCTCGTGCACTCTTAATTAATTGATTAGAATTATTTTATTGTATTTTTTTTGGCATATGTTTCTCTAAATCTCTACATCTCTTTTTGACGTTTATGAAAATCATTTGCACAGCTTCCAAATATGCCGGGTATATTAACTCCTTCCACATATGTAGCACGGTAAGCTCACAACCCTTGTTTTTGTTTTTGCATAATTCTTTTCTTTATCGTTGAGCCATGCATAGATACTAATCCTGTCAATTATGTGCAGATGGGTCCAGGAGTTCCAGTTTCAATACAGTCATTATCCAAAGCTGCAGATCACTACAATAAAATGCACCTCAAGTGATGTGCTTTGTTGACATTTCCAACATAGATCAGTGGTTCAATCTTTGTTTCTTTGTGATTTTTTACCCTTTTAGGAAGTGAGGGCTCTCATTGTCTCTCTCAGAGCAGGAGGATATTGATCGGGTTCAATGGAATAGTAGATCGATGTGGCTAGGATTACGCGAGTTAATATCTTGTTTTTGGGTCAAATCTGCCGGGCATCCAAGTATTTTTGCATATGGAATTTTGGCAGTACTGCTTCATCAACATGATCTTCATGTTTCATTGCTTAATTAAGTCACAGATTTGACCAAAAATAAACGGTTCATGTTTCTCCCCTTTGTAACTGTTCGTCTCTTAAATAGCTTTTCGATTTGGTCACATGATCTTCAACTCGAATGACACTATTTAAGGGACACTTTGTTGGGCCCCTCCAATATATTTCGATGATCCGAACCATTAATTTTTTGGTTATGTTTTGAGTTTAGAAAATAATAATAATAATAATAATAAATCGCAATTAACTATACTAAAAGAACACAAAAGTAATGAGCTAAAATAATTTTCTTGCAATTTTTACTGAAGTTCAGTGAAAAAACCTAGAGTGTTGCCAGAGATGATTATCCTTGAAAAGGATTTTTATACGAGCGATGTTAGGAGAGGTGAGGTGAGAACCAAACTTAAGATCCAGGGTCTATAAATAAATGTTTTTAATTAGCTGAGCATAAGTCCGTGCATTCATTTCTCGAATTGCGAATAAGGCGAATTTCATACAACGGATAAAAAGGAAAGCAGAAAGTGCTTGTCATTCCAGTGTCCTATTTTGTTTTAGTTCGTAGATAGCAATTGTTTTTAATTAATCTTAGCATGGCCCATACTTTTTTTCTATAAAACAATAATGACCCATTCTCATTGTCATAGTCTGTCTTTGCTTGAATGATTGCATCTTTTTTTTCTTTTTTTTTGGGTCAAAGATATTTGAAACGAACACCCCCAAACAAAACAAAAAAAGCCTAAGATATTACTAGTAAAATGAATTGCGAAAAATGAACAATTATTTTGGTGCCATTTTTCTTTTTAACAATGAAGAATTCTCAAGTTTAAGTTCCGCCTCTTCCAATAATTAGAAAAGAACAAACATGACCTAAACATTCATAATTTTTCGCTTCAGCTCAGGTTTTTGCTTTGCTTAGGCAATTTTTGGCCTTTCCTTGGCCCTAATTATTTTATATTTTTCTAATTAATGGAGAAGGAGGGATTCAAACCCAGAACCCGTTCTAACATTAGAAAAATTACTTCCATACTAAAAAGGGGTGTTGGCTTCAAATCTTATAAACCACATTTATTCAGTAGAAATAAAAACCAAAGTGCAATAAATGCCTTTTTAATTTTTTAAAATTTACTTGAGCCAAATGATTACTGTTCCCCGCGCCACAAATCAAGACAAATACAAGAACGAGAGAGAGAGAGAGAGAGAGAGAGTCTTACAAACTCCAAAGCTCCAAAATGTCATTCTCTCCCATCCTCTACTGAGTTGAGGGTTAGGGTTACGCTTTTCTGCTTGGAATTTATTTGGTGAGAGAAATGGAGGAAGAGGATGAGTATAGAAGGAAGGAGCGGTTGGCATTGGTGGTCATTGTGGTGCTTGCTTCACTGGCCGTGGCTTCCTTACTCGTCGCCTTCAGCTACTACTGCTACATTCGCAACAAGGTCGCCAAGCGCTTCGAGAACCACAAGGGTGAGACACCTACTTACCCTCTGTTTGTATGCTAAGAAAATGCAAGAAAAAAACAGAAAATTTCATCTTTTTATACATTCTACTGTTGTTTTGTGGGTAGGAGTTCACTGTTTATGCTTATAAGAGCGTTTGAGGTCACCCACCTAATAAAATTAGTACTTTTTATTGAAATCACTTGGGTTTCTGTGGAAACTCAAGGACATAAAGACAAAAGTTTGAGTCTTTGTTCTATAATTATGTTGGATTGAAAATTTGGTGCCTTTTGGTTCTTTCTTGCATGCTCTTGGAATTACAATGAAATTTCCTTTCATTTTGTTGTTGTTGTTGTTGAAGGGTTTGGGAATGAGGACAAGGGTGCTTTGTCAAATCTGCAAGTTGCTTCCAGTAAAGGACTTCAGGTCTTCACCTTCAAGCAACTACATTCTGCTACTGGGGGTTTCAGCAAGTCAAGTGTGGTTGGCAAAGGAGGATTTGGGTTAGTGTACCGAGGTGTTCTCCATGATGGGAGGAAAGTTGCAATTAAGTTTATGGACGAAGCAGGAAAGCAGGGAGCAGAGGAATTTAAAATGGAGGTCTGATCTTAGTATTCATCCTGTTTACTTTGGCCCTATTAGTTTCCTAGGAATGTGATGGGGAAAAATGGCTGAAGTTCACAATACCGTCTTTAACCCTTGGCAGTTGAACAATTACTCACCTGAGCCAAATGATTTTGTAGGATTTGGTTGAGTCGATAACTCATATTCTTATACCAAAACACCGAAAGATGCAAGTTTTGAGTTCCCCACTTTACCCCTTGGCAATAATAAGTTGAGCAATAGATTTACTTTTCAGATCATGTAAAATTGGTCATTGATTGGCTGATAATTAAATGCAGGTGGAGTTGCTAAGTCGGCTGTGTTCTCCATATTTGTTGGCGCTGCTTGGGTATTGCTCAGATAACAATCACAAATTGTTGGTATACGAGTTCATGGCAAATGGTGGTTTACAGGAACATTTGTATCCTGGGAGTGGTAAGTATACCTTGTTGACAGTTTATTGCTTTCTGATATACTGATTGGATAATGTTCTTTTGCATGATTAATTACTAGGCTTTGGGAATAGAAAAATATTATGAACACCCCATGTACTTTGCAATCTGTGTCATATGATAGTATTTCATCTGTATACTGTGAGTTAAAGCCAGGCTTCGATCTTTGCTGCTTGCATTATGCCCTTTTTAGTTCTCTCTTCACACGCTTTATCTTTCCAATCATGATACTTCTTTGCCCGACCCTACAAGTTTTGTTTGTCCATTACAGTTGGCATCATTTCTATGCATAATTGTGGTTGTCCTGGTCACTATTCTTTCATGTTTAAATGTCTGAAAAAGATGGTTTGCTGTTGGATTAACTACTCGAATTCGGTCGTGCAGGTCCTAATGCTCCCTCCATGAAGTTAGACTGGGAAACTCGGTTGAGAATAGCTCTTGAAGCTGCGAAGGGGTTGGAGTATCTCCATGAACATATTAGTCCTCCCGTGATTCACAGAGATTTTAAGAGCAGTAACATTCTCTTGGACAAATATTTTCATGCCAAAGTTTCTGATTTCGGATTGGCCAAGCTTGGATCTGACAAGGCTGGAGGCTATGTTTCCACCAGAGTATTGGGTACACAGGGATATGTTGCCCCAGAGTAAGAACATCTAAACTTTTAGCTGCAATGTGCTTATTGGTCAATTGATACTGTAAGAGTTACCCATATTTCTAATTCCCCTCATAGTCTCAAATATTAACTATGAAATAGCAGCTGTTATTAATTCAGTTTTACACATGTGCTTCATTATACAGGTATGCGTTAACAGGGCATCTGACAACTAAATCAGATGTGTACAGTTATGGGGTTGTGCTTTTGGAGTTGCTTACAGGCAGAGTTCCAGTTGATATGAAGAGACCTTCTGGAGAAGGTGTTCTTGTTTCTTGGGTGGGTTTCTTAGGTTTATTTTCAGTTCCTGTAATAGAGTAATACTTTGTGTCATAACGAGTAACGCTTTACCCTATTCATTTTAGGGTCATATCTTTCTTGACAGTATTTCTTTTAAGAATCATTTTTCCCCTTAATTGTTAAGACTTCTTTTCTTTCTTTTAAATGATCTGCACTGTAGGCTTTGCCTCAGCTGACAGATAGGGAGCAGGTTGTTCAGATCATGGATCCTGCATTGGAGGGTCAGTACTCATTGAAGGAGGTCATTCAGGTGGCAGCAATTGCTGCGATGTGCGTTCAACCCGAGGCAGATTACAGGCCACTGATGGCAGATGTTGTGCAATCACTGGTCCCACTTGTGAAGATTCACAGGTCAACGTCAAAGGTAGGCAGCTCTTCTAGCTTTCATGCAACAAAGTCACCAACGCCGCAGAGTAGTAAAGCAAGTCTATGAAACAAGTTGAAGACATGCATAAATTATCTCCGTAAGGCTTCTTAGGTATCTTATACTTCTAGGGTTTTTGTAGTCTGCTAATTTGATAGAAGAGGAAACTAGATTGAAGTAAATATAATGTTATCAAAATTATGTAATAATATAATTGGAAACATGTGACAGTTAACATGCTTACAACTTTCCTGTTCAAGATCTTATTAAGAAATGGTCGACAAGCTGAGGCTCTGCGTAATCCAGTTGATGATTCAAAATTAAGGCACAAGATTGGTTGATCATATGGTCATTGACTGTGCGCCTAATTTCGTTTCATCCCTTTTGACCTCCTGTCTGTGTTTTACTGTGTTTGCCGTTGGAATTTCATAATTTGGTTATATCAATTTGGTCTTGGAAATGTGTAAATATTCATAATTTTGATTTGCTAACATGTTAACTGGACCGATTGAAGAACAAACAACCAATTCTTTGTATAACTGTTTTTTGCATGAACAATGGATCGTCAATTTTGTTGAGTTTTCTTCCGGTAAGTTTGGTATCAAAAGCGATATGGTGTTTGATTACTGAAAGGGAAGGAGAAAGAAGGGGTATGCCATAGCAATGGTTCCTTCTTTTGTAATCAATTCAAGTTCAAGCCTGTTTTCACTCTTTAAAGAGCAACAGCCTTAAATTTTAGCAACCATCGCGTACTATTGCGTATTTGGTGGGTCAAATTTTAGACATGAAATATTCAGCATGGAAGATAAACAAACAGGAACGACTGTTTCACATTGGAATGTGAAGGACCAACTATTTAATCCACTCTGAGCTCAACTCTCGAATCACGTGCAGACAACTATGTTTCCAGTTACTGGGTGGTGTAGTTATACAAGTCTATTTACAAGGAGCTAAATTGGTGATGCCATTTTCATTGCTCTACTGTTCTGCGAGCTTGCATGCACTCATGTCGGGGTTGGTGGAAGAAAAAGGGCTTCTAGGCAAACATGCGAAAGTAGCACCATTAAGCTTACTCTTCTTTTTGACCCAAAAAAAAACAACAAAAAAAGCTTACTCTTCTTCATGACATTGACATAGGCTTCCGGCATGAGCAAATCATAGGATCGCTCTCTTGCTAAGTGAGGAGAGCCGCATGTCATATCTAGGGTTCCCCCTCAGGGTCAGCTGTTGCCGTCACTCCTCCTTAGCCCGCGATAGGTTTTGTTGTCGTCTTTCCTTCACGCCACGAGCTACTAGTTTTGTCTCCTCCTTCTCTACTCGGGCTCATCGCAGTAGCTACTCGATTGGTCCCTTGGGATTTTATTGGATTTGGTATGGTTTCGATTGTGAGTACGGTCAGAATTAAGGCTCTTTGTCCTCGTGTCTCCCTCGCTCCACCCACCTGTTGGTTTCATTGTCTGTGACTCTGGGTCCCTGTCAGTGGTTTCCTAAGTGTGCTAGTGTTGAGGTGATTCCTTGGATTTTTGCTATGTTGTCTCTGTATTTCTCCTTCGCATGCTGTGGTTTTTTTATTTGACTTGGCTCAGTGGTTAGAGTGGAAATTCTGGTCTTTGCTATGTATGTATTAAGCTGGAACGTGCAGCGGCTTGGCAACCTTCGTACGTTCCATGATCTTAGAAACCTCTTACAAGACAAAACACCATATATTGTTTTCCTTATTGAGACTCGTATGACTGCTGTCCAAATGGGTGGCTTGGTCCGGAGACTTGGTGTAGGTGGAGTCCTCTATGTTCCTCGTGAATGGTTCTTTGGTGGTCTCTATTTTCTTTGGAACACTGGTTTACAAGTTGTGTTGCTCTCATCCTCTTCCGGACATATTGATGCTCGGGTTACCTTTCCTAATTCTTTTGTTACACAAATTACTAGGTTCTATGGTCATCCTCACCTTACTCGACGGATTTATTCTTGGGAGCTTCTTCGCCGTTTGAGTTAGGTGAATATTGGTCCATAGATGTGTTGTGGTGACTTCAATGTGATTCTGTCTGCGGACGAAAAAAGTGGCCCTCGTCTCCGCTCCGTCGGTCAAATTGAAGATTTTCAACGAGCAATTGACGATTGTAATCTGCTATCATTTGATTTTGTGGGTCACTTTTTTACATGGACGAACAACCGCAAAAATGACGCCAAAGTTCAAGCTCGATTAGACAGAGGCTTTGGTAATTTAGCTTTGCTTCAGCAGTGGGGCAATTTCACCATCTACCATCTTTCGACATATTCTTCTAATCATCACCCTCCCTGACGCACAGCCTGGTGTTGATGTTTGGCGTCGTTGGAGTCCATGTCATTTCTAGTTTGAGGAATAATGGACAACTGACAAAGACTATATGAAAGAATAACTCAAGAAGGATGGCGTTGTCAGGAATCTCCTACGACTAATCTTGTCATCTGTGCTAAGCGCTTATCGAAGTGGAAAAGTCAAAAATTTAGTCATATGAATTCCAATTCAGTCTCTGTATACCTCTCTGGCTTCCTTTCAAACTATTACCCCATTTGAAGCCATTCTCTAGAGCAAGAAATTGGTTGCAAATGAGCTCAATAGGTTACTAGAACTCGATGAACTATATTGGCGCCAACGTCCTCGTGTCAATTGGCTGTAACACTTCCTATTTCATAAGATTGCTAATCACATAGCCAAAATTAATTCTATGGCACAGATTTTTTATGCTAATAATATATTACGAAGTGATCCTGCGAAGATTGGTGTTGTATTTCTCGACTACTATGATCATCTTTTTTCTTCTGCATGCACAGCTATGAGTAATGAAATTTTTGAGGCTGTCTCTTCCTGGTTTTCTCAACTGACTCAATGGTATCTGTCTTTTCTCTTCACCCGGGAGGAAGTGGAAATTTCCATCAAATCTATGAAGCTCACTAAAGCTCCTGGTCCTAATGGGATGCTGGCTTTATTCTATCAGCATTACTGGAGTATTATTGGCTCGGATATTTGTCAACTCTGTTTACAGGTTCTTAATAAGAGTGGTGGGGTAGCTGATTTCAACCATACATTGATCGCCTTAATACCGAAAGTTATGTCCCTCCCGCGTAATTGAATTTCCCCCCATTAGTCTCTATAATGTTTTGTATAAAATTATTTCCAAAGCTCTTGCCAACAGGTTGACAAAAGCAATGCTGGATGTCATATCAAAATATCAAAGTGCTTTCATCCCTCACCATATGATCTTGGATAACTTCCGCTTGGTCACCTCATTTCTACTTGAGGTCTACGCCAAGGAGATCATCCCTCATCCTATTTATTCCTCTTAGTGGTTGAAGGTTTTTCCGCATTACTTCACAAAGCTAATCAGGACTCTCGAGTCTGCGGGGTTTCTATTTCTCCTTCTGCTCCTTCTCTTAATCACCTATTTTTGTAAATGGCAGTCTCTTATTTTGTGATGCTGAAGTTACCCAGATAATGAAATTGAAGCTCCTTTTTAGTCTTTATGAAGTAGCCCTGGGGCAGCAAATAATTTTGCTAAGTCTGCTATCTATTTTAGCCCATCCAACCCTGAATCAGTTCAAGCTCAACTTCAAGCTCTTCTGGGGGTACTGGTCATTCATTGCCATGAACGTTATTTAGGTCTTCCTACTATAGCCGGAAAAAATAAAAAACATATGGTCAGAGCTATCAAAGATCGCGTTGGAATAAGATTTCAGGATGGGAAGGTAAACTTATTTCCACAGATGGGAAGGAGGTGCTTATTAAGGCGGTGTGTCAGGCGATGCCTGCCTATAATATGAGTGTCTTTCGTCTACCGGCTGGCTTATGTTCTAAAATTGAGAGTATGTTTGCTCTTTATTGGTCTAAAGGCAGTGGAAAAGATATCCATTGGAAGACCCAGAAGGCTCTTAGCAAGCACAAAACTAAAGGAGGTCTCGGTTTTCGAGAACTTGTGTGCTTTAATTAGGCTTTGCTTGCCAAACAAGGGTGGGGACTTCTGGAATTTCCCAAATCCCTCATTGCACGTATGCTTAAAGCTCAGTATTTTCCAAAGTCTGATTTTCTGCATGCTCAAGGGGGTTCAACACCTTCTTTTACGTACGTGGCAGTCCATATTATGGGGTCACGAACTCTTTTCCCATGGTCTTCAATGGCGTATCGGTGATGGCCGACTTGTGAACATCTACACTGATCTGTGGGTACCTCACCATCTTACATTTACTGTTCAATCTTCTCTGTCTCCCTGTGGATTCCAGAGTCAGTGCTCTTATTTGATAGGACCTGCCCAGATTCCCTCTCCGAATCCTTGACGAACCCTGCTTCCCTTCTGACATCTACTTGATGATGGACCCATTTTACTAAAAAAAAAAAGCCTAGTAGCCCTACTTAAAACGAATAAACAATTCGACTTCTACTGAAATTTCAGCAGTCTCCCTTGAAAAATGGACTTTACCAAATTTTTCACCTATCAAATACAATAGAAAAACAACCAACTACCAGAACACCCAAAGCATTAGCACATGGAAAATACAAAATAAGCCTCCGACCTCATAAACAATCCTTTAAAATCAAAGCACTAACACGGATCAAACAAACTCAAACAGATCAATTTGCGGCTGCACCTAGGTTAACCCTGGTTACCTGTGTACTCTTAAAGAGGGATCAAGCCACACATAGTTCTTCCAATTAAAAGGATCACAATTCGGAAAAATATACTGATATTGTCCAAGTAAAACCAACAATTAAAATTAGATTCATTCTCAACTCCAATTTTCACAAGGCATAAAACTAAATATTTTATAAATTCCTTTCCTCCCATGATTCAATAACTCAAAACCATTTCCCTGTAAAGACTCACATGTACTATGCATAGCTCTTTTAAAACTAACCGTTTACTTTGAAACTCAAATTACTTCTCCAAAATCATTTTTTCTTATAACCATACCCTATCCAAGGCGTATATTGCAAAGCAACACTGTCCAAGTATCATAACAATGATCACACCTGTGCCGAGCACTCACTATGCACATACTCAAGAAAATCCCACCATTGTTCCCACTATACTTTTATCTTTACATAAACACATTTCCCAGACACGAATGACGGAATCCTCAACAACCGTGCAGCTAAACTTAATCCCCAGACACACACGATAGAATCCTCAACGCCCATGCGACTAGAACTCAAAACCACTATCTCGAATCCCAAAACACAAGGTCATAAAATTATAAAATAGAAACTCAACCCACAACCAGATTTCTAATAAACCAGTAAACATTATTCATTTACTTAATAAATATAATAGCTCAGATGAACACGTAAGACATTTATAATAATAATAATAATATCTAATATCTAAATAATCCAATTTATATCACATAAAACTCACCCTTTTCTTCTCCTAATTTTGTACCCATTATATATATATATATATATATCTCTATATTACACAACCAACACCATCATCATGTACCAGGGAAAAATAATCCAACATGGGGATCGTTTTAATTAGACCATATGGCATAATCCTCAATACTCATGTGGCTAGAGAATGAACAGTCCAAATTAGGGACTATTGCTTCCCATACACACGGTAGAATCTTTAATACATGTGTGGCTGAATATCCATCCTACACGCGTAGACTGTCGGTCAAGGGCTTTGGTACACCTAGTCAAGGGTGCCTGGTATCCCGGCACACCTCCAAAGAGTTACCGTGTGTTTAATAAATCAAGTATCAATATCAGGGGAGGTACATATGATAGTGCACATCATATACTGGGGGGAAAACAATCCAACACGAGGATTGTTTTACTGGACCACATGGCAGAATCCTTAATACTCATGTGGCTAGGGAACGAGCAGTCCAACTGGGGGACTATTCCTTCCTAGACAGGCACGATAGAATCCTTAATACAAGTGAGGCTGAAATAAGTCTTATGAGCGCTAAATGCCAATCAAGGCCTACGACACACCCCGCCAAGGGTGCCCGGGTAATTAATATCTCACACGTTGAAAAATACCTCAACGCACGGGTGGTTTTCATCCATATCAAAGCAGGGAAGGTACATATGATGGTGCAATTCAAAAACCCATATCCAAATATTCTCAACATGCAATCCTTTATACATAATAATGATAACGACAATAATAGTAATAATAACAATAATAATAACCATAATAATAATACCGATAATAATAATGACTATATATTCTCTGAAATCCTCATGTCACATGAATCCCATAATCTGATCAGACCATACTTTCCATAACCTAATAAATCAAAAATAGACTACGTTCTCATTCAAAATCATTTATGCACAACATACTTTTCAAAAAACTAGTTTTCATAATTCATCGATTTCAAGTCATCGAGGATATATTTAAATATAGACATATAATCAGACATTTAATTAATTTCTTATTCATGCCAAAGGTTATCCAAGTCATTCCCAATTTCACACAATTAAACATAATATAACATGCTAGGAAAGTAGAAGTGATTTCATAATAGTTCATAAACATAAAAAATTATAAAAAATTATAAAATAAAATAAAAACTCTCAAAGCATAATACCAATTTAGAAACAAACCTCCAAGTACAATTACAACTACTAAAAGGCCTCAACCGAGAATTTAAATTCAAAACCCTAGTTTCCGGAAACTTAACGTGTGTACACAACTTTAGAAAGGTCATAAGGCCATGCTAGTACTTTCCCTAAAGGATGAGACGGTCTCAAAAGACCCGTGGCCAACAATTTGGTCAAACTTCCCATTTTTGGTCAACCGGGCCCACGGCCCCTGATTTCCGATCCAAAAGTTCCTATTGGTTCAACAAAGTCCACCAAACAAGTTATGTAAGTTTGGTCTCAATCGAGAGGTTGGATCTAAGTCAATTGTAAAATCAAACGGCGACCGTTTCGCCTAAACCTAGAATCATTTATTCGGAGTATCCAAGACTCCGATTCTCGATCCGTGAGTTCCTACATGATACCGCCTAATATGTGAAGTTTCGTTCAATAGTTAAACAATAACCTATCGCTCATCCTAGCATACCGTCGTGATTGGGATGACTTAGGGATTATTTTGGAAGCTTAAGAGCTGCCACAATGGGTCCCATGCGCCGCCACACGCCCCCAGCAGCGCGTGGGTGTCTTGAGTAATTTCCGACAATTGGAAAACTTCAAATCGCCAGCCAATACCTATAACTATAGTACCACCACAACTAGGGGAGTCACTTTTGGTCTTGGACCCCGGCCAAAAAGTGGCCAGAGCTAGCTAGAAAACGCCCCAACAGTAGGCTCAAAACCTAGGTTTTATATCGAACTCTAAACACTCCAAATTGATCCTAACCAACCATACCATCAGCTAGAACACAAGGAGATTATGAAGATTTGTACCTTGGCCTACCGAAATCGGCACTAGAATCGCCGAAAACGGTGATTGGAAGTCAGCCCAAAAATCGGTCGATGTTGCCACCTATCGCTGGATTTTCAATCAGAGAAATGGGGTGGGGTTGGTAGAGGGGGGAGGGAGGAAGGGAGAGAGAGAGAGAGAGAGAGAGAGAGAGAGAGAGAGAGAGAGAGAGAAAGAGAGAAAGAGAGAGAGATAGAGCACTAGGGAAGAGAGGGAGATCCGGGTATTTAGGGTCTTGACAAATTTTGAAATTATCGATATGCCATTTCGGTTTTCTGACCTTTACAAGCTTATCACTGCTCGGAATTGAGTGTGCCGTCTATCTACGAATTCATATCAGCGAGCTCTACGCAACGATGCCACTCAATTCCCCAAAATCCTTCTGGATTAAAAATTGGTTGAAGTGACCCTACTCTCATGGGCAAAATTGTAATTTCACAAATAGAAATAAATTGAATAAAACAATTAAATTAGGTCGAGGGTGTTACATTATTACTGCTAGTGGTCACTAGAAGGTTTCTGAGATCTACCGCTTATTCACCTTTCCTAAAGCTGAACTCATCCTATCTATTCTTCTAAGTTACGATACTAGTGATCGTCATATTTGGCATTTTACTCGTAATGGTCGATATACAGTTAAGAGCGGATATTGGTTTGCGTTGGAATTTCAAGCTCAGATGGTTCCTCTTCCTTCTTCAATAGTTATGGAAGCATCTATGAAAGCTTAAAGTTTCACCGAAAATGAAACATTTCCTCTGGCATCTCACCCACAACGCTCTCCCTACCCGTGAGGTGCTTCTTCGGTAGAAAATAGTCCAAGATATCACTTGCTTTCATTGTATGGGTCCATCTAAAACTGTGGCATGCTCTTCACCATTGCACGGTCAATTCTTCTGTTTGGCGCCTAATGGGTTGGGCTCCACTTCTAGGCACAATAGCAACCACCTCCACAGCTGCCACTATTCGACTGAACTCGTTGCTCTAGCCACTGGGTCACGACGACAACCAGCAGGGCCCATGTAGTTGGTCCTTGCCACGAAGAAAAAAAAAGAAAAAATAGATACAAGTTTGACCTACCTTGGTCTGCACAGCAACTCCTCTCCTCGGCAATCAATACACTCCTTCAAGATCTCTCTCGCAAGTTAGAAAGTAGAGGATGACAAGTTTGCAATTTGAAGATGAGTGAAGAGAAGCTTCGTATTTATAAAGGTTGGGCATCCTAGGTCAAGGAGGAATCACAAGCCTATTCCCATTAGGAGCCCAACCCGAAGAAGAAGTTAAAAGTCTAATCAAATTAGGAGCTCAACTAGCGTAATGGAGCCCAAGTCAAAGAAGAAAGGCTAGATGCAGTTGGAGAACCCGATAAATATTTCTCATCTGATTTTGTGGGAACATATATTTCTTCGGCCAATAAGAAGACGACACGTGAAAAAAGAATATTCCTTAGGTCAAACTAATTAACCTAATTAAATCCTATTTAATTAGGAAAATTATCTTTGATTTAATATAGGAATATATCCCCAAATCAAGGAACCAATTTCCACCGAATCTCTTGGAGTATAATTCCTATCATCTTTTTAGAGAAGAATAATCCTAACCAAATAAGGATTATTCTCCCAAAACCCTAGCACACAAGGAGACTATATATAAATACATGGCTACACAAGACATTCAAGGTAATTCTAAATTCCTCTCTCAACACTCAAAGCCCTAGAAAAATTATCTTTCTCTCTCTCTCTCTCTCTCTCTCCTTGTCGAATCTTTATCAAGATCCAGTTGAACTAACTTAGGCATCGGAAGCCTTTGACCAACACCCTGTGGGTGTGGTCTATTTACTCCTATTTATTTTGCATGGATTGAGGAAGAGAGAGAAGGAAGATTGAATGTCAAGGAATCAACCGGCAACTATTCCCCATGCCGAATTTTGCTCAAACCGTTGGCCTTTGAGATTAGATTGCATATACTTCATTGAGGTTAATTTTGTCATTTGCATAAGTCTTTTTATATATTTTTTATATATAATGAAATCATCAATTTTTGGACAAACAATCAACGGAAAGGGGTTTTGTGAAAATTAACTGAAACCTTAGGGGGTGTTCATGTAATTTTTGATACCTTAGGGGGTTTTATGAAAACACAAGAAACCTTAGGGGGTGTTAGTGTAAATACTTCAAAATTTTCAATGTCTTCATCGTCTCGATATTATCGATATTACAGTTATATTATAGCGATATTTTTGTCAAATGTTGCTGAAGAGAGAGAAATTATCGACGTCGATATTTTCTAATATTCGATACTCAAACGATATGTGTATGGATATGTTCCAAAATATTCTAGACCCGAAAAACGATAATATCCTCGATATTTCGTTGATATTATCGATATTTTAGTCCTTAGTCAAGACTAGAATTCGACTATTTAATTTTGATATCTTCTATTCCCAAGCATTAAAAGTTCAAACTATAGCCACGAATACTACTACGTATTATATCCATTTGTAATTTTTTTATTATTTATCTTCATCATTTGGTAATGATAGTATCGAATTCAAAAAAATATATATTAATATTTTAATTAGTGGATTCATGTTTTTGCAAGGGTAAAAAGGCATGGTGAGATCCACCATTATAGGCCACGGACACCATTTTCCGTGCCTAAAAGTTAATGGCATCGTGCATCTACCATAATTACATGTTTCGTGGTCAATTTGTAGCCAACACCCTTTGGCCATGGTTTGTCTGTAGCGAATATGAATATAGGTCACTAACGCAGAGCCACCTAAGGACAAAGGTGGGCCCAAGTCCCCTCTCATATATTTTTTTACTGTATATATATTGTTATATGTTTGCTTTTTGGAGTAAAAACTCTTTTAATGTTTTTGTTCTCTTTCTCTTCCACTTTTGATTTACTTAAGCTTTATGAATTTCCCTCTTTTCAATTTTACATGTCTAAGTAGGGCACCTTAATATTAGGAATTATGAACATTGTTTGTATTTCTTCCCTTTGTTGAAGTATAAATTGTTAAATTTTGAGTCTTTAATAGTGTAAATGATGAGATTAATTAATATTCAATCATTTTAAAATATGAAATTCAGGAAAATTATGACTGTAATAAATGGATAAATTATCAATCAATATGAAATAATATTATTAATTAACTCGTTGGCGCTTGAGGGCTCCTATTCGAACTATTTTAAATTTTTTATTTTTATGAAGGGCCGTCTTTAATATGAAATCCTAACTCCGCTACTGTAGGTCATGGGTTGTCTATGGCTTCTAACGAGGTTTTCTAATACTGCAACCATTGTGCTTTCTTTACTCTCTACTATCAAAGCAAAAGAAGTGAAAAATAAAAGAAAAGAAAGAAAAGAAAGGGAAACTACCAACTGGTCCAAGCCCAGTCCGGGAGTTGGTTGAATTGAACACGAGAAAAGTAGCCCGTACCTCCCACTTGGGAGTGTTATTTTCGTCAATGTAGAGACAGCCCGATTCCATTCAAACTTTTACGGCATGCATGTCTCCTGACTTTTTCCTAGTTGACAAAACAACAAAGACTTTTCCTATCTAATTCTCAAAATCAGAGAGATTTAGGTTATACTTGGAGCTTTGTAATAAGAGTCAATTAAATTAATTAGACGATTGAATACTTACCTACTCTACATATGTGTCTGTGATATGTTGAAACTGATCAAATTTAAAAATTCAATCTCAAAGAAACATATCTTCTCTATGTATATTGTATATTTATACATAGGCGGTATATGGCAAAGTAGCATTGTAATTTTTACCTTTTTTCCTTTTTTTTAAATATCATCAAAATGGCGTTGTAAATGCCAATGGGTTCTTAGCTCAGTGGTAGAGCTGTTGGCATGCACATGCTAGTTAGTAGTCTGAGGTTCGACTCCATGATACCATGTGTGTATGAGAATATACCCTCTTTTCCCTTCCTGTGGTAAAAGAAAAAAAAATTAAATAAAAAAAAGGCATTGCAAATGAGTTTTGGTATCCTCAAGCTAGCTCAAGGTGTCTTTGAACGAGGAATATCTAGTTTTTATATATATATATATATATATATACATGAAGGCAACTTTGGTGGCTCATAAGCTTATACCTAGGGAATCGTTGAATTTTTGAGAACGATATGAATTATTGGGGGGAGCCTAGTTGGCTTATCCTCTTTTGCTTGCTAATTGCTGATATGGGTGTCGTCCATCTTCTTCTTCTCCTTTTTTTTTCCTTCGTGTTTTACATGGATTTGGAGGTGTACAGAAGTCAAACCTTGCTTTATTTGGTTGGATATGCTTCCTTTTCTTTTTGTATTGGAGCGGATGGTGTCCCCTCCACCTTTTGGTAAACGCGTTCAAGCAACAAAGTTTGAAAAAGGAACGCCTTCACAGAAAACGTTCAAATCACCTCTCATCTCTCATTCCATGCATGCACAATCTTACTCTATATATAGACTGCTTCTTCAATCCTTCTCCTTACACCGCAAAGCCCAGCTTCATCTCTTCAGCTCTCATATTGATGAAGCTTGCAATGGCCTCTCTGTCCTACTTCTTCATTGTTGTTACACTCTTCATCATCCCTTTTTTTGGTTGTTGTGCTAATGCACAACTCTCTCCCAACTTCTATGCAAGAACTTGCCCAAGTCTTCCGACCATCGTTCGCAATGCTATGAGTCAGGCTGTTGCCAGGGAGGCTCGGATGGCTGCCTCGATCCTTCGCTTATTCTTCCACGACTGCTTTGTAAATGTGAGAACAATACAGTAGTGTTTTCTTATATCAAACAATCTGATGTGTTATCGTAGACAAAAGATTGTTAATTATATGTGGAATCATGTTTAAATATATTGGCAAAGAGAAAGAGGTCTCATTTTAATTTATGCCTATGAGCCACCCAAAAGTCAGGAACGGCCCTAACTCGACTGTGTCCCATTACCATTTCGATTGTCTAATACTAATATGTTGTTTTTCAATAGGGTTGCGACGCTTCCATACTATTGGATGACACGGCCACCTTCACCGGTGAAAAGAATGCATTCCCAAACCAGAACTCAGCCAGGGGATTTGAAGTCATTGACACCATCAAAACCCGAGTGGAAGCTGCTTGTAATGCTACTGTATCTTGTGCAGATATTTTAGCACTCGCATCCCGGGATGGAGTTGTCTTGGTTAGTAGCTAGCTACTATATTAATTTGACGTAATAGGCTACTGATATGCATCTTGTGAAGCATCAAGCTTTTCCATGGATATTAATTTACCATAAAATTTGGCCATATTTTGGGGGAGATTGGTTTTCAAGCTATGGTACAATCATTTCCTATTATTTTTGGACCTAACAATTTGATTTCCTATTATTTTTAAGAAAATATCTCACTTGGGAGTTGTCCTAATTTCTTTTATCGACATTAATTTGGAGTTGAATTATGTGTTGTGCATGTCAAATTTTCAATCTAATACATAAATTTTAGATCTCAATTTATTATTATTATTTTCTCTATTTGGACTAGTGTATTTTTTTCAACTCTGGTCTCCACAACTTATGACTTTCAGAATGATTATAGAATACTACGGTAGTACGGACACGTGGTACATCTTATAAACGTGTTATAATATAAGTAGATATTTATTGATATTATTTTCTAAAGAGAGAAAAATAAATCATATTGATCACCAATATTATACACATGTGTATAAGATGTACCATGTGAGTCGTGACCATATATTATTGTTGTATTTTATAATTTGTCTGACTTTCATGGTGCCTCTGGTCTAATTTTGCTGCATGCCAACTCAACAACCTGCATGGGGACAAAACCTAACCTGCTACGTACATATTTTAAAATATCAGATTAGTCAATGATTGAATTAACCCATTTTAAAAATTTGCATGGACATAAGCCCTCTACGACCCAATCCACATACCAAGATATCATATACATATTCTATCCATTTATAAGGAAAATACCTCTTTTGCTTTTTCTTTTGTTTTGATCACGTGATATTCACATGCTCAATACTTTGTTTCTTTGTGCAGCTTGGTGGAACCTCATGGACGGTAGCCTTAGGCCGAAGAGATGCAAGAACAGCAAGCCAAAGCGATGCCAACAACCAACTCCCCTCCCCCTTCGACAACCTCGCAACCCTAATCTCGAGTTTCGCAGCGAAAGGCTTAACCGCCAGCGATCTGACCGTGCTCTCCGGTGGCCACACAATAGGCCAGTCTCAGTGTTTTCTCTTCAAAACCCGCATATACAACGAGACCAACATTGACCCCAGCTTTGCCACCACTCGTAAGGCTACATGTCCGGCTTCCGGTGGCGATACGAATCTTGCTCCCTTCGATATAACCCCGACTCGTTTCGATAATAACTACTACAAGGCCCTCGTGGCTCGTCGTGGTCTTCTTCATTCCGATCAGGAGCTCTTCAACAGCGGGAGTCAGGATGCCTTGGTTAGAACGTATAGTAACAACGCCGCCGCGTTTTCGAGAGATTTTGCTGCAGCCATGGCGAAGATGAGCGCTATTAGTCCTCTAACTGGGACAAATGGAGAGATCAGGAAGAATTGCAGACTAGTGAACTAATTTTATAAGGAATTTAGTTTTGTGCAACTGATAAATATTGGGTGACATATAAGTTTCCTTTATAGACTGCTAATTCAAATTAAAGTGCACCAAATCTGTGTGTAAAAATTTTCATGCCCATTGGAGAAGTATTGGCTATGAAATTGAAGCACGGTCAATGGTGTATGTATGAGGTAGTCTACTCCCAACAAACACATAATGTTATTAAAGTCAAATTTTGTGTCACGACTCAGCTTCATTAGTAAGATATTATCCGTTTTGGACATAAGCCTTCACGGTTTTGTTTTAGGGCTCAAGCTTATGTTATTTTGCCCAAAAGGCTATTTGCTACACCCATATATGACACTTCAACTTTCCCTAAGCCCATAACATGATGTAACAGAAAAATTGGATGAAATTTGAAAAATCTAACGGCAATAACCAATTTGACTAACTTTATGTTGTTCAAATCCTTAATCTACCGAAATAAAATTTAGGGGATGAGTTGACACTTCAGTGATAGTTTAGTGAGTGTCTTCTAGAAGGGAGGGGTCCTAGTTAGTGTCTTCAAGAGCTCGAGAGTGTGGAAGTGCGCATATTGGACATTCAACGCGAATATTTAATGTCCATGTAAAATATCCAAATTACATAAATTAGTAAAATTACTTTATTTTTCAATGGGTCACGAACGAGGTTTAGGATTAACATGAAAATAACTCGTTCTTAAAGGTCACCAATAGGTCTACAAGTTATCAACACGAATCACGATCCGTCAAGGTTGAATTGGCCTACTAAATTTTATGAGGTCTGTAACCTCACTTTGTCTTTTTAATTAGAGACAAAAGTATAATCAATTGGCCCATTCATTTGGCCAAGTATGCTGTCCCATGTACGAACTTCACTATTTGGGTTGAAAAGGGACTGGATTGGCTTTCCCTTTTCACTCATGATGAATGATTTTGTACTGGGTACTCCCAGTTTTGATAGAAATGAAACTTGTTATTTTCATTAGTATGTAAAACATCGGGGTGTTCCATCCCATGTGATTCTTGTCTCTCTGTTTTGGCAACAACTGTCCACAACACTTGCCCTGCACCAAAGGCACTCGATTCTCGCCCGCAGCCTGATGGGAGCGTGAGATCACGCTCCACTAGGCGTGCGTGGGTCTTTTACTCTCCTTTGTTTTTTGTTATATAACTAAAAATAAAATCTAAAACCACTAGCATGCTAATTAAGGCCTCTTTCCATTATACTAGACTCAATTTGCCTCATTGGTTCCTTTTATAAGGAAATAAAAAGAGAGTTTACTTTATTTTTATATAGGTTAAATACCTTTTTGCTCATTGAGTTTTACATGAAAATTCAATTTGGTATTTAGCTAAATTGGTCACCGTGTTTTCCTAAGTTTACAATTTATAGACATTCTTTTATCTTCAGTTAAATGCAATTTTTTTAGGAAGTACCTTCGGTCTTCTTCCTCTAATTCAACGGGTTAGGGTATGTTGTGCTATTAGGATTTAACAAATTGGAGAAAATCTTGAGTTGAAATCAAAATTGTGAAGTATGAGGAAAATAAAAAAGTCAAACCAAATTAAAATGAAATCAACAACTTACCAATATATTTTGGTGCTCTATCACCTTGATTACGTCTCCTTGCCATCCAAAGTCACAATACGGTTATCACTCAATCGATTGAGGCTTCAATATAGCATTCAATTCGTGACCTTATATGTTATACCTCATAATTCCGATTTCAATCCAAGATTTTTCCCAATTTGTTAAACCCTAATAGCACAATATACCATAAATCATTGAGTTAGAGGAAGAAGATTGAACGTCCTTTGTAAAAAAATTAAAAACAAAAACTTCACTTAACAAAAGATAATTGAATACCTATAAATTGTAAACTTTAGAAAACACAGTTACTAATTTAGCTAAAAAAATTTCTTCTCACTGGCCAAATTGAATTTTCATGCAAAACTCACTGACAAAAAAGTATTTAACCCTTTCTATTTTACAAGCGATAAAATACTTACAATATACTTTTACGAATGGTTAAAGGCACTCACAATAATTTAGAATCAGCCAATACATTCACAACAAGATTATAGCTATACTTATTATATTATGAAATATGAACTTAAATACGTAGCTAATTCTTAACTTAAGTACTTAGTAAAAGTATGTAATTAATTCTTAACTTAAATATTTATCATAGTAACTGCCTAGATATCGAACTCCTCCGACCAGGTGGAGAAAAATACAACTAGACCAAGAGCTAAATGATGTGAGAGAGTAGAGAGCGAAAAAGAGAGAAGGTGGGTGTGTGAGAGAGTCGCAATCTCACTATCACATGGGGTCTTTGGCTTTGGGGCCAAAGCATCAACAAGCAGAGGCACAGCCACAGCGACAGCCAGACCACAATGAGCCACTGAACCACGTGACTCGCCGAGCCCCCGATATGGACTCCGACAAGGTACTCTCTCTCTCTCTCTCTAGCTCTCGCTCTCGCATTTCAAAGCCACCTCTTTGAGCTTTGCTGTTTGCTCTCTTAGAGATTCTCCTTCTCTCTTCTGTCTCCGTCTTCATGTTCGTAGAGGTAGGTTTCGGTGCTTAGATCGACCTTGATCCAGCTAAAAGCTTCAATTTCCTCACTAATTAGAAGCGATCTGCAACTTTCTCTGTGTTCTGAGGTTAGAGTCGCCTTGCCGGAGCTTCTCTCCGGGCTCATCTTCCATTTTATTACTTTTTTTGTACTTTTTTTTTCTTTCGCATTAATTTTTATTTCCTTCTATTATTTTTGTCTGAGATCACGTTGCTTTAGGAAAATTAGGAGGAGAAAATTATAGAAAATGCGGCGTTGGCTAATTTTATTTGTGTTCATTAGCTGTTTTGTTACCTAAAATGGAAATATAAAAGACTTAATTGAGCAGAATTTAGAAATTGTGATTGCTCTAACTTTCCCATTTTGCCAATCTGGGCAATTGGGTTTTGTTGCTTTTGCATACTAGCCCTTTTGTCCAGTTTTCGCTTTAACTTTCAACTATCTCATGTGATCTATTTTTGAAAAATTCTCTACTGTTTTAAGTTTGACGCTACATTATTTCGGTTAATCTTATTGGACACTACTGAACTTTCTTTCTTCCTTTATGTTATATTTATTTTTATCTTTGCTTCTTGACTAGGTTTTTTCTGATCTCATGCTTGTATTGGTACTCATTTGGTGGTCTTTGGAGGCTGTTGTCAATCCGATATCTTTTGAGTTTTCCAGTTTCCTAATAATGTTGTAATTTTTGCCGACTTTTTGTTCTTTTTCTTTCCTCTAGGTGGATTGTTCTTCAAAGTATTCTAGTTTGCTTCAGGAAGTTGATGTTCTTTGATTCTTTATTAACAGTAGTTTCTTTAAAATTCTAGTTTTATAGCATGTGATGCTTACTTGTAAACTAGGGTTACCTGATTTTGCTTTAGTTTAGATGTCTGTTGAGATCTTTGTGCTTTCCCCTTTCCTAAATCTCATTCTGAATTTCCATCTGTTTGTGTCTGATATGCTGTATTGTTAAGTCTCTTTCAAATTTGTAAGTATTAACTTTTGTTATCATCAATGCATTCAACATTTGATTGCTTTAGACTGTTGTTAAGTGTACACTAATTTTTCACTTTGTGTAGGACACAGGTTTCCAAACAAAAATTTCAAAATTCTCACTAATATAGAGGGGGTTGCATGTTTTTATATTTTTTCCACACAAAGAATGTAGTGCAGCATAAGACACAATCATACAAACAATAGGATTTATGTATTAGATACATGCAATTAGTTTCTAGACGGCAGTTGTAGACCAATAGAGCCAAACTCAGATGAAGAATGAAGATTGATAAATGTTAGAATTGGTATAATAACATAGAGGCATTGACCATGTGTTCATCTGCACTCTTTTATGGCTATTCTGCAGTTTGTGCTTATGTTTGTATGTTGTGTTGCTATAAATTGCAGGAAATGTCAGCTCCTGTTATTGAGGGAAATGATGCAGTCACCGGTCACATCATTTCAACAACCATTGGTGGCAAAAATGGTGAACCCAAACGGGTTAGTACTGGTTCTTTCTTTCTTCTTTTACCCCATTTGATGGCTACAATTTGACCAAACTCTTTCTTCTTCCCCTTTTAATTCCATCTATTGCACAAAAAGTTGTACACTCTTCTCCTTCATAATCAAGGATTACTTGACTTGAGAGATGATAAATTCTTTTTGAACACTGTTCCTTGGTTCCTTTTGGTCATAAGAGGTGCTAACAGCTGAGACCCTTTACCTATGATTCTGATATATCGAACTTCTGAAGAATTATTTGGTTTTCCCTTCTTTTTGTATTCTGAGGTGTTCCTCTGATGTTGGTTGCAGACGATCAGTTACATGGCAGAGCGTGTTGTAGGTACTGGATCATTTGGAATCGTTTTTCAGGTATGGATTTTACTTAATGGAACGAAGTATTCTCAATTTCTTTGCCTCATTTGAGTTCTTGGGACTCTTTTTTCTTTCAGGCTAAATGCATTGAAACTGGAGAAACGGTGGCCATAAAGAAGGTCTTGCAGGACAGGAGGTATAAAAATCGCGAGTTGCAGTTGATGCGCTTGATGGATCACCCAAATGTTGTTTCCCTGAAGCATTGTTTCTTCTCTACAACGAGTAAAGATGAGCTTTTCTTGAATCTTGTTATGGAATATGTACCCGAGACTATGTACAGGGTTCTGAAGCACTACAGTAGTATGAACCAAAGGATGCCACTAATCTATGTGAAACTTTATACATATCAAGTATGAATCCTTTTTCGTTTTGTGTTAGTTAACTCACTGTTGGTTTTTATGTTAGTAATAATTTATATTGGCTTATGCCCTTATAATAAATGGAAAAGAAAAAAAAACCCTTTTCAGATTTTTAGGGGCCTGGCTTATATTCATGCTGTTCCTGGTGTTTGCCATAGAGATGTGAAGCCTCAAAATCTTTTGGTATGTGTTTTTTGTTTATTGTGTTTGTTCTCTTTAAAATGAATTGGATTATTTATCCCCCATTTTCCAATATACTTGGCAGGTTGATCCCCTCACCCATCAGGTTAAGCTTTGTGACTTCGGAAGTGCAAAGGTTCTGGTATGTTTTTCCTCACATCATTTAACACTTTACTTTTATTCAATTATCACACTATTATTATTATTTTTTGGTGGAATTTTTATGGCCAAATGATGATTTTCTTTGATGGTTGTTAATCTTTACTTCTTAATAAACCAATAATTAATCAGCTGCCTATTGGATGAAAAATAATGCATGATTTCAAAGCAAGATGTTATTGCCAGTCTGGCTATACTTAAATGACTTGTCTATGCTAAATGCTAAGAAAATCAGTTTCCTTTTATATTTCAGTTTAATGATTCTTTTTTTTCTTTCTTTCAGGTCAAGGGGGAAGCAAATATATCATACATATGTTCTCGTTACTATCGGGCTCCTGAACTCATCTTTGGTGCAACAGAATATACAACATCCATTGATATCTGGTCAGCTGGTTGTGTCCTTGCTGAGCTCCTTCTAGGCCAGGTTATCGACTTTTTTGTAAATAATATTCTTGTTATTGGCCTAAGTTTATTGGTTAGACTATATTTGGTTTTTGACTTATCAAAAGAATTTCCCGCTCTTCTACAGCCATTGTTTCCAGGAGAGAATGCAGTGGACCAACTTGTAGAGATTATCAAGGTCTAGCCTCACTTTCTATGTTGAATTAAGTGGAGCATGCAAGTGTGTGTGCTTACACTGTCAATGTCTTCTTGCAGGTTCTTGGCACTCCAACTAGAGAAGAAATTCGATGCATGAATCCGAACTACACAGATTTTAGGTTCCCTCAGATTAAAGCTCATCCTTGGCATAAGGTATGGATTTAGATTATAACAAGTTGATCCTAAGGGCTGCGTATAGAGGAAGGTGTTATAACATAATTCACACATGGGCATAATGTACAGATACATTCATGTCTTTATGTTCTGGACACCTTTTGTCCAAAATTTTCCTGGGATTTTCCCTTTATTTCCTGAGCATACTCTTCCTTGTGCTTGTCCATACTTAGCTGTGCTGACCAATAACATTATTAATTATGTTTACTCTAGGATTATAGCGTTTTAATTACTGTTATCTGCGGGATTATTATAGTTTATGCATCTGCACCAATGTTCCTTTATTCAGGTTTTCCACAAGCGAATGCCGCCTGAAGCAATTGACCTTGCCTCACGACTTCTTCAATATTCGCCGAGTCTACGTTGCACTGCGGTGAGTAGGAATCCCTTCGCATGGAGTACTTCTATTGTTTCAAGATAAAGCCCAAGACATCTTGCTTTGGGATGTAGTTTTGAATAAAGATTAGAGCAGAGCTGCCTCTGTTTAGAATCTATCATTTTGGTGCTGAGCTGCAACTTTTGCACTTAGCTGTAGGGATGGAAATATTTATTTGTCAATTTTGGGTAGTTTCACTCCACGACATGCATGATATCTAAGTTCTTACTGATTGCCCAATTACAGCTAGAAGCATGCACACATCCTTTCTTTGATGAACTTCGGGAGCCCAATGCTCGCCTTCCAAATGGTCGCCCACTGCCACCGCTTTTCAACTTCAAACAAGAAGTGAGTTTCAGATATATTTATTTTTACCTGTTATCAATCTTGACACCTTGAGGTAGACCAATACTCAATGCCACTGATTCAGATGTGCGGGGCCTTTTGGCACTTTAACTTGGCACTTGTGAACATGATGTTGATTCATTCTACTCGTCTTTGAAGAGTGGCTAATAGCCACCTGGTGTGAGAGAAATTATGTGATATCTTGTCTGGTTGAATAACTCCTGAGTTATTTGGATTTCTTCAAATTTTCAGTACCATGAAGGTCAAATGTGCCATTTTCCTAGGTTGAGTCCTGTTTCATAACCTGGAAGAATTAGGTACCAGTTCGATGAGCATAGGATGACATATATACATTTCTTCTTGTCATTTTCTTTGCCATCGACAAGTTGAAGTGAAATTTTATAGCAGTTTTTCTTAGCGAACACATTTTCTACTCTCGGAAGTTTTAATTGACTCATCCCTCTCACCACTGCTTCGAAAATTGACTTGCAGTTAAGTGGAGCATCACCCGAACTGATCAACAGGCTCATACCAGAGTATATGCGGCAGCAGACTGGTCTTGGATTCCCACACCCAGTTGGTACTTGAATGTAAAGTCATGAAACAAGGAATTATCTCTTCTACTAGTGGATGGATGTGAAGCAAAAGAGGGCCTCTTTGTGGTCTATATAACACTCAGTATTCTGGCCTAATCTGCTGTTCTCGCCCTCCCCTCCGATGGTGTATACATATAGTGGCTCTCCAGCTTAACCTGGAAATTGTTGATCCTGTCTTCTATGTCATTTTAGCCCAAACATACTGTCTTCCTGCATCTGTACATCGTTTTGATTGTAATGATTCCAGAAAGCCAAGTGTATAAGTTTATTCAAATCTAGCTAGGGTAGGGGCTGTAAAAGTCCGGTGCCCCGAGGGGCATAATAGTAGTGCGGCTTGTCGTTTACCTTTTAATTATGGTGTTGTTTCTGCTGTCTGTTGCTGTCTTGTCTCGAATTATATTTTGCTATTGTTGATTTCTGTATTTTTTTAATTTCTTCAATACTGCCTTCTTCTGGATAATTTCAAATCTCTGCTGTTTAATGGGGCAGAGGTTTGAGCTTCATAATTTAATAGAACATTCTTGCTCAGTGTTTGAAGTTGGTATCTATGGGGTTGGCAGTAACAGAAAATTACTGCTTGGTGTAAATTTTAATAGTAATGCCATCATCAAAGCCCTTCAAATTTTGGATCCGATTAATGTATCAATGTCTTAGTTGTACGAATATGAGCCTACTTCGAATCTCATTGATTTGATTATATAATAAACCGGGGTCATTAAGTGAAGGTCAGATTTGGGAGATGGTTTAACCACATTGACCATGGTGACCTCATTGTGACTTGCATTGCTGACAATGACTTACCACCACTCAGATTAAGATTATATGTATCATACGATATTGTATTTATATGATATCTTGATTGAACATTTATAATGATGTAAACTGTTTATTCTCTAAAATATCATCTCTACAAACAATCACTTGAATTCAAAGATCATATAACTATTCGATTAAATAATTATCATTTTAGTGTTTTCTTGAAATGCCGGTTTATTTATTTTGTTAATTAAAACTAAATGTCTTAATGCGGTTTAGTAAATTTAGGTTTTAGCCAAAAAAAAATTTCACTTTTGGAAGAAGCCAAAGCTTTTTCAAAAAAGACAGAAAAACCTCTCAACTTTCAAATCAAAGACATGCAAATATAAAGGATTCCTTAGGAAATCCAAAAATAAATAAGGGCAATTTTGTCTATTTTGGCTTATTTTACAAATTTTCTCTCTCCTTTGTGTTTTTCCAAAGTCTCCCCCTCTTGAATTATTTTTAAGCTCTTATTTTTTCTCTAAACTACTCCTTTTTTACTTTTGCTTTTTATACAAGTGATATTGAGGTGGGAAAATCGAACCTAAAATCTTGAGTGCACATGTAAATACTCTTAAGGCTCGTTTGGGAGTGCTTCTTACCGAAGCGCTTATGCCAGTAGCGCTTATGCTAGTAGCGCTTATGACATAAGCACTTCTACAAAGAAGCAGTTTGTCGTTTGGATATCACATTTAAAAGTGTTTTTATACTACATAAAAGCGCTTTTGATATTTTGTTGAGTGTTTGGCTGACACAGTAAAAGCGCTTTCAAAAGTACTTTAAAAAATTTAAAGAATCCCAAAATATTATAATGAACATAGTAAATAAAAATTCATAGGATCCCAAAATATAAAAAAGTACGAACTTCACCAAGTATAATTTTTAATCATTTTTTGAAAATAAAAAAGGAATTAACCAGACATAAGAAGATTTGCAATTCTCTCGCGTTCGTCATCCATCTCACGCCCATGGATTAGATTTTGTTCTTCAACCATCTCTTCCCCTATAGTAACTCTAGCCCCGCCAGAGGCAAAATCTGGTGTTGATCTACAAGGAGATGGAAAGGTAGATACAGCCTCACGAAACTCCGTGAAGAATATCACAATTTTGCCAGCATAGTTTTACCATTGAGTGCATCAATGCATAGTAATCCCATTTTCCCAGCCATTAGTACTTTCACAGCTCTAAATCTGGTTTACTTCTAAGTTCCTTTGACCTTAAAATTTGTTGGTTGACCTGCATATTATATGCTATTGAATAATTTTTTCCTCTTGACTTGTAGTTTGTATATAACATTTTGTTTGAACTTTGAATGTTGTAGTACGGTAGGTATTGACATGGTAATTTGTACAAAGAATTCTTTTGTGGCAATTGAATTAAAATAAATTTTTTAGTTATAACTTATAACCAAACAAGAAATATTCTATCATTCAATGTAGCTAATAACTTGATGCATCCTTGGCTATTCGTCAAAACAATTCTGTGCAGAGTCAATAAGCAAAAAAGAAGAAGAAGTGCACAAGATGATTCAAGAATGCTTGGATCTACGTAAGAGGAATCTTTACAGGGAAGAAGTTGTTCCATGGATGGTAGCTAGAACAAACTCCATTGCATCAGAGAAGAAAAGTGACCCATTTCATTTTGAACCTGTTGAAGCATCGACTGTGAGTCATTCTCTTCTCATTCGTAATCTTTCTCTCACTCTTTGCAGCAGATAAAATTTGTCTAAATTTTGACTGTTCAAGTGAGTTCTTTTGTTCATAGCATTTGTTTAATTTTTTTCTTTCTTTTAAATCTTTCATGCAGCACTGCTTTAGGATTGAAGACGGTGTTTTGGTTTTAATAGGAGAGAAAAAGAGAGGGGAAAAAAAGAAAAAAAGAAAAAGAAAGAAAGAGTATTTTGGTATTTAAAAAAAATTAAATATGGGTATTTTCGGCATTTAAAGGTTTCATTAAAAGGAGCCAAGTGCTTCCCGTGTTTTTGTCCTGCAGCACTTTTAAGAAGCACCTCTCAAGAGAGGTGCTTCTTCAAAAACCACTCAAAGTGCTTTTGAATCTTACCTAAAGCGCTTTTATAATTTTTGTCTAACACCATTTTTAGAAGACAGAAGTGCTTTTATCCATTTAAAAGCGTTTTTCGCTACTCCAAAAGCACTCCCAAATGAGCCCTTAATTACTTTCGTAACTACTTGTCCCCATCAAGCATGCCTTCAAAATCTTTAGGTCTTACGACAAAAAAGAAAAAAAGACATAAAAAAATGTTTTTGGGGGCAAATAAAGGTAAATATATAGGAATTCCTTCCTACGTCCGAGAATCCTTTCTGTCTGTGTGCCAAGAAACAAAATAAAGAGGAGAATCCCATTTCAATTTTGCCCGCTTTCCCATCTTTTGCCCTCTGCCTCGCTTTCAATCGCTTCACCTTCCTTACAGTGGCTAACCGTTACGCAGCCCAACTGCAGCTATGCTGCCCTCAAAGCCCCGTCTCATACTCTATAGCTCGAACGACCCATGCCCACATGATAACTTCTGGGTTCAAGCCACGTGGCCATATTCTTAACCGCTTGATTGATGTCTACTGTAAATCTTCAAATTTTAGTTATGCCCACCAACTGTTCGATCAAATTCCAAAACCAGACATTGTTGCTAGAACCACCTTGATTACGGCGTACTCTGCCATTGGGAATCTAACGCTGGCTCGGAAGATATTCAACGAAACTCCATTGAGCATGCGAGACACTGTTTGTTACAATGCGATGATCACAGGCTATTCTCGTAACAATGATGGCTATGCCTCTATTAGACTATTTTGTGAGATGAGGCGAGGTGGTTTTAGGCCTGACGATTTCACATATACGACTGTACTAAGTGGTGCGGCACAGATAGTGGATGTTGAAAAGCAGTGCCAGCAACTACATTGTGCAGTAGTTAAGTCAGGAACAGGGTTTGCCACTTCGGTGTGGAATGCGCTGTTATCTGTTTATGTTAGATGTGCTTCTTCACCATTAGTATCATCATCATCATTGATGGGTGAAGCTAGGAATTTGTTTAATGAGATGCCTGAGAGAGATGAACTATCATGGACAACGATGATTACTGGGTACATAAGGAATGAAGACCTTCATGCAGCTCGGGAATTGCTAGATGGGATGGATGAAAGGATGGAAGTTGTATGGAATGCGATGATTTCGGGTTATGCTCACCACAATTCTTTTCAAGAAGCATTGCTATTGTTTAGGAAAATGCGGTTACTGGGGATTCATCAGGATGAATTTACATACACTAGTGTTATTAGTACTTGCGCTAATAATGGACTATTTCAGCTTGGGAAGCAGGTGCATGCTTACATACTTAGAACTGAAGTGAAGCCTACTGTGGATTTTTCATTATCTGTGAACAATACATTGCTTACACTATATTACAAATGTGGTAAACTTGATGAAGCACGGTATATTTTTAATATTATGCCTGTTAAAGATCTTGTTTCTTGGAATGCAATCCTTTCAGGGTATGTTAGTGCAGGGCGCATCCAGGAAGCAAAATCCTTTTTTAAGGAAATGCCAGTGAGGAGCATTCTGACATGGACTGTGATGATATCTGGTTTTGCTCAAAATGGATTTGGAGAAGAAGCGATGAAGCTATTCAACCAAATGCGATTAGAAGGTTTTGAGCCGTGTGATTATGCATTTTCTGGAGCAATTACATCTTGTGCTGCGCTTGGAGCATTGGAGCATGGACGCCAACTCCATGCTCAACTAATTAGCTTGGGGTTTGATTCAAGCCTTTCAGCTGCAAATGCACTTATCACAATGTATGCAAGATGCGGAGTTTTCGAGGATGCGAACTCTGTGTTTCTTACCATGCCTTATATTGATTCAGTGTCTTGGAATGCTATGATTGCAGCTCTGGCACAACATGGACATGGTGTTCAAGCAATAGACCTTTTTGAAAAAATGTTGAAGGCAGATATACTACCAGATAGAATAACTTTCCTCATCATTCTATCAGCTTGTAGTCATGCTGGTTTAGTCAAGGAAGGGCGCCATTATTTTAGTTCAATGCATGTCTCTTATGGTATTAGCCCTGATGAAGGCCATTATGCTCGCATGATTGATCTGTTGTGTCGATGTGGGGAGTTCACAGAAGCCAAGGGCTTGATTGAATCGATGCCTTTTGAGCCAAGTGCACCGATTTGGGAGGCTCTTCTTGCTGGTTGTCGGACTCATGGGAATATGGATTTAGGAATTCAAGCAGCAGAACGACTCTTTGAGTTGGTGCCACAACACGATGGAACTTACATACTTTTGTCAAATCTGTATGCTGCTATAGGCCGTTGGGATGATGTGGCTAAGGTGCGGCAACTAATGAGAGATCGAGGGGTTAAGAAAGAGCCTGGTTGTAGTTGGATTGACGTTGAAAACATGGTCCACGTCTTCTTAGTTGGTGATACTGTGCACCCTGAGGTCCAAGCCGTGTACAAATATCTTGAGCAACTAGGACTTGAAATGAGGAAGTTAGGATATCTCCCTGACACAAAGTTTGTGTTGCATGATATGGAGTCTGAGCATAAGGAGTATTCCTTGTCTACTCACAGTGAGAAGCTTGCAGTTGCATTTGGGCTCATGAAGCTTCCTCTCGGAGCCACAATCAGAGTTTTTAAGAATCTTAGGATTTGTGGGGATTGCCATACTGCAATTAAGTTTATGTCAAGAGTGGTTGGAAGAGACATAATTGTGAGGGATGCAAAGAGGTTTCATCATTTTAGGAATGGTGAATGCTCTTGTGGCAATTACTGGTAATCTGGCACGAGCTTGATGGGAGGAGGTTTTATAAATACTTGGCAGCTTGATCCCCTCAACCACCGGGTGAAGCTTTGTGCTTTGTGATTTCGGAAGTGAAAAAGTTCTGGTGTGTTTGTCTTCATGACATTTTATACTTGCATTCAATCATGTCATGACACTACGTTTTAGAACTTTGAGGCAGAATGACCAGTTGCTTTTATGATGGATAATCTTTTCTTGTTGATAAACCAATAGTCAATCACCTGTCCATTTAGTGAAAATTAATGCATGGCTTCAACACAAGATATTAGTACTTGTCTGAGTTAATGTCTGTCTATATGTCAACCACCTTTCTTTTTAAAGGCTTCATGCCAATAGAGTTGCTATGTTCCTAAGAAAATCTGTTTCCTTGTATGATTTCATTTCAATGATTTTCTTGCTAATCAGGGTCAAGAGAGAAGCAAACATATGTTCTCATCGCTATCAGGCTCCTGAACTAATCTTTGGTGTAAAGAATATTCAACACCCATTAATATCTGGGCAGCTGGTTGTGTCCTTGCTGAGCTTCTTCTGGGCCAGGTTATCGACTGCTTTGGCTTGTTGTTGGCCTAAGTTAACTTGGGTTAAAGAATATTTACTTTTTGACTGATCAAAACAATTCAAAGTCTTCTACAGCTATTGTTTCCAGGAGAGGATGCAGTGGACCAACTTGTAGAGATTATCAAGGTCAAGTCTCACTATCGCTGTTGAACTAAGTGGATCATGTAAATGTGTGTGCATACAGTTTAGGTGTCTTCTTGCAGGTTCTTGGCACTGCAACTAGACAAGAAATTTGATGCATGGATTTCAAATCATATTTTAGGTTCCTTCATATTAAAGCTCGTCCTTGGCATAAGGTATGCATTTTGATTATAACCCTTCAAAATAAGTTGGTTCTCAGGGCTGCTTATAGTTTTAGAGGGCAGACTTTATATACGCACATGGGCACATGTACACGCGCATACTTACATATGTGTCTATGTTCTGTGCACAAGGAAACCTTTTATATACAAATTTGGGTGGTTTTTTCCTTTTCCTTTTATGTCCTGAACACGTACTCTTGTTCTTTTCCATGTCCATACATGTAACAATAAAATTATTAACTATTAAAAACACTTACTGGTATCTGTGGGATTATTTTCTTTTTGCCAGTATTCCTATAGTTATCTGCAGTAATGCTCCTTAATTTAGGTTTGCCACCTGAAGCAGAAAATGCTCCCACTCTGCACCGCAGTGAGTTGGACTTTTCTTCCCATGGAGCTCTTCTATTGTTTCGAGATAAAGCCCAAGCAATTATGCCATGTCATAAAGATTTTAGATGAGTTGGCTCTATTTGGCAAGTTTCATTTTGGTGCTGAGCTACTTGAGTTTGATACTTTCACGTCAAGTGTCATAAAGATTTTGATGCTTGAGTTGGATATTATGCATGTGATGAAGTGAAAGTATCAAACTCAAGCAACTCAGCACCAAAATGAAACTTGCCAAATAGAGCCACTCATCTAAAATCTTTATGACAAGGCATAATTGCTTGGGCTTTATCTTGAAACAATAGAAGAGCTCCATGGGAAGAAAAGTCCAACTCAATGTGGTGCAGAGTGGGAGCATTGTCTGCTTCAGGTGGCAAACCTGAATTAAGGAGCATTACCGCAAATAACTATAGGAATACTGGCAAAAATAAAATAATCCCACAGATACCAGTAAGTGTTTTCATAGTTGATAATTTTATTGTTACAAGTATGGACAAGAACAGGAGTACGTGTTCAGGACATAAAAGGAAAAAACCACCCAAATTTGTACACAAAAAGTTTCCTTGCGCACAGAACATACACATATGTAAGTATGCACGAGTACATGTGCGAATATGAAGTCTGCCCTCTATACCTATAAGCAGCCCTGAGAACCAACTTATTTGAAGGGTTATAATCAAAATGCATACCTTATGCCAAGGACGAGCTTTAATATGAAGGAACCTAATATCTGTATGATTTGGAATCAAATTTCTTGTCTAGTTGCAGTGCCAAGAACCTGCAAGAAGACACCTAAACTGTATGCAACTCATTTACATGATCCACTTAGTTCAGCAGCGATAGTGAGACTTGACCTTGATAATCTCTACAAATTGGTCCACTGCATCCTCTCTTGGAAACAATGGCTGTAGAAGACTTTGAATTGTTTTGATCAGTCAAAAAGTAAATATTCTTTAACCCAAGTTAACTTAGGCCAACAATAAGCAAAGCAGTCGATAACCTGGCCCAGAAGAAGTTCAGCAAGGACACAACCAGCTGCCCAGATATTAATGGGTGTTGAATATTCTTTACACCAAAGATTAGTTCAGGAGCCTGATAGTGACGAGAACATATGTTTGCTTCTCTCTCGACCCTGATTAGCAAGAAAATCATTGAAATGAAATCATACAAGGAAACTGATCGCCCCATTACAGCGAGAAGCATGCACACATTCTTTCATTGATTAACTTCATGAGCCCAATGCTCTCCTTCCAAATGGGCGCTTGCTGTCACCAGTTTTCTACTTCAAACAAGAAGTGAGTTTCAGATTTAAACTTTTTTTTATCTGTTAATCATTCACATGACAAAACATAAAAGTATGTCAAGTGTTAAATATCTGTATTTGTTGCTTGTTCATGCCCCTAGATGTGTTTTTCCTTGCTTCTTTTATGGACTATAGAGGTGCCTGTGATCGATCTTAGCGCCTTAAAGCAGAACTCTACTGATTCAGATATGCTGAGCTTTTTGCCACTTAAACTTAAGTGCTTGCGGGTAATAACGTGATAGAGGACATGCCCTTTTACGTACATGCATTGTTAAATAAATCTCGAGTTATATGTAATTTCTTCAAATTTACCTAGGTTTAGTATGGTTGCATAACCTGGAAGAGTACAGTAGGGGCATCTAAGATGAAAATTTTCAGTTGTTTTTTTCTTGGCAATCACATATTCGACTCCTAAAAGTTTCAATTTACTTATTCCCCCAACTCTGCCTCCAAAATTGATTTGCAGTTAAACGGAACTTCACCGGAACTGATCAACAGGCTCATACAAGAGCATATGCGGCAGCAGACTGATCTTGGATTCCCACACCCACACCACATGGTACTTGAATGTAAAGTCATGAAACAAGGAATTATCTCTTGTACTAGTGGATGGATGTGAAGCACACGAGGGCCTCTTTGCGGTCTTGTATAAGAGTCACTCAGCATTTTAGCCTAATCCGCTGCTCTCTGGCTTAACCTGGAAATGGTTGATCCTGTCTACTATGACGGTTAGCGGAAAATTACCATCTTCCTGCATCTGTGCATCGTTTTGATTGCAAGGATTAAAGGAGACCAAGTGCATTAAAGGAGACCAAGGGCATTCAAATCTAGTGTTTGTTGTGGTCCTGCCTTGAAGTATGTTTGACAGCGCAGAGCTTGAGCTTGAGCATCATGTAATACAATATTCTTGCTTAGTGTTTGGAGGTGGTATCTGTGCAATTGGTAGAATACAGATGCTTGGTGGAGATTAATTAACTTGTATTGGAGAAATGATTAGCCACCATTCATATATTAATTTGTCAATTTGATGACAAAAGCACGCAAATAGCTTATAAATGTTTATTCCTTTGTGATATTTTGTTGCAACAAAATGCTTCAGACCTAATTTATTGGTGAAGGCAAAATCCAGGAATCAGACTACAAATGATATGGATAAAATGTCACTCTTTATTTTGTGCTTCTTGAATTACAGGACTTAATATGTAACCCAGATAAAAACTGCTCTCTGGTACAATCAAAAAATGGAGGAAGAAACTGAGAAGAGTGCATCAATGGTGGTTGTGGTTTATTGCTCCTTCCTTATCTCTACAATAAGGAGATGAGGAAAATAAGAAAATCAGTATCTGCTAAAGTTCGTATATCCTGTTGAGGAGTAAGTGACCTTCTATGACTGGATCTCTATGCTGATTTTGTGACTTCATGTATAGCATTTGCCAAATATCCAACATTACCGGTTGTAACACCTGCCATACTGTATGCATATAAATACCATACGTGAGACATATTGAACTAGAGACTGCAGCACGCATATGATTGTTTGTGTGTGTGTGTGTGTGTGTGTGTGTGTGTGTTTGTGTGTGTGTGTGTGTGTGAGAGAGAGAGAGAGAGAGAGAACCTTATTCGACCATTGCGAGTCATATAGATATGAAATTCATTTGTCAAGCGATCAACCTGTTCAGGTGTCATTCCACTATAGCAAAACATACCAATCTGTTCGCAAGAATCAACAAGATTTTTAAATAACATAGACTAGAAAACAAGGTGGAGATCAAACGCGGCCAAGCAATACAAATTAACAGACTACGTAGCACAGACAAGGATCCCTAGGTTTTTATGAACATTGATGCAGAAAATACCCCAAAAGAAAATTGTTGTATACTGTTATGTCCAGGCCCTAAATTGTTGGTATTGTTTTGTTTTAATGTTCTCGATCATTATCAAACAAAGAAAATAACAAGAATTTAGGGCATAAACATAACAGTAAACAATATTTTTATAATATAGAAGTTGAGCATTGCTATTACATAATCATTTAGGTTCAAATAGTTGCAATTTCGCACACTTCCAAGTACTTTTCTCCATTGAGAAAGAAAATCTTATTTTGAGGAATATAATTTTTCCTTGAGGAACCATTTATTATGTGGACATGTGTCCAAGCCTCCTGTCTGTGCTTCATAGATGATGGATTAGAAAGAATCTACCAAACCTGATTAGTTATGTGCTCCCATGATAAGGGTGACCCAAGTTTCTCAAGGTTCTCTCGTAGAGCAGTTCGCATTCCAATGATGCGATCTGCCATGCCCTGGAGAGAAGAATGACAAAGGACATAAACATCAGATGGTCAAGAAACAAAGATACAACTCCCAAAAATAATTAATATTAAACAACAGTCAGGCCTTTGTATTTATGGTAAAGAGTAGAAAAGATATCTATCCAGCTTAAAATGAGATTTTAAAGATTAACTAAAGAAAGAAGCAAAGGAATGATGAATTACCTTAACTTCCTTGAGCCATAACTTCTTCAAGTCCGGATCACCAAGGATTGTTGAAACTATAAGCGCTCCATGAACAGGTGGATTACTATACATGGGTCTGGCAAGCATCTGCAACTGGCTTTTTACAGCCACTGCCTGTTTTTCATCCTCACAAAGCACGCTGCAAACATAAAGAGCAACATCAGCGAAAAAGATGTACCAAAAGACCCTCTGCTTTCTTAGTCTACTTTATAAGTGGAGTTGACATATAAGCCCTATGTTACAAAATTTTCCTAAAGACCAGTAGAAAGTATGGTATGAGATGAGACTAGGCGCAACCATTTTAAGGAGGAAAAATAAAAAGTCATATTCACCATTAGTGCAGCTTACAGTACCTGAGAGATGCACAATGCTCACCTATCATATATAACATAACACTTAAAAACCATGCAGTACAGAGATTTTGATAAAACCAGTTTGGCATTGAGCAAAGTGATACATGAGAATAAATCATGTAGTTTCATATTTCAATTGGTCATAACATAAATTGAGTATAATCATTTATGCATCAAATGTACAGGATGTATACAGTACTATATATAAACAATGTCCTACGTTTATGTCATTTTTAACAGAATTGCCAATTGAACATGTAGTTAATGTTTAGCCAGGGGTCATAGGGATGACAGATAGAACAAGAAGAAGCATGCAGTTGCTACTTTCATTAAGATTGAAATAATAAACAGAAGTATTAAAAATGCCAAATTAAATGGAAACCGTATTTAACAACACACAATTACCTAAGACATCCTACTCTCTGGCCATAAAGTCCCATATTTTTGGCATATGATTGGGCAATTCCAAGTAGATGGCCATCCTCAAGAAAAATCCTGATGGCTTTTGCATCTCTCTCTGGGTCACCACTAGCAAAACCTTGATATGCCATGTCAAAGAAAGGAAAATGGCCCTTTTCCTGAACCAATCACAAAATCAAAATCAACCCAAGAGTAGTGAAAGGTATTAGGGGTAAAAGAAGAAAAAACATAAGGAAAATATTCTGCGAAATTGACCTTAATCTTGTTTGAGATCTCTTTCCATTGTTCCTCTGAAGGATCCACTCCAGTAGGATTGTGAGCACACGCATGAAGTAGAAAGAATGAGCCATTCGGAGCATTCTATACAAAACATTGATGCCCAGTTTGCAGGGGAAGGAACAGAGTGTCAGTGAAGAGAATGTAGAGGGCAAAGAGTAAAAACAAATTATATATACAAAGAAAGGTTAATGTGGTAGATTAATTGTTTTAAAACAAGAACGTAGCTGAAATAATTAAAACAATCAAATTGAAAGTAAGAATGAGTCCTATACCTTTATGTCGTCAACCAGTCCTGCAAAGTCCAACCCCTTAGACTCTGGGTGATAGTAATGGAAAGTCTTTTGAGGGACATGAGCATCTCTCCAGATGTTATGATGGCTGTTGAAATTTTATTTTGGAAGCCCATTTGCATCAGAAATTGTTCACATTGGTGGTTTAAATGGGGGGGGGGGGGGGGAGAGAGAGAGAGAAGGGGGAGGGGAGAGATTCTTAAGAATCAAAAGTTCTAAGCAATGCTCACTTGGCCCATGTAGGCACTGGTATATAGATTTGAGAATCTGGACAAAAACGCTTTTGAAAGTCTGCAAAAAGACAGCATGCACCTGTCCCCGAGAGAGCTTGCACGGCTGCTATCCTTTTATCTTTAATGAGCTCAGAATTCTCCCCATATGCCAGCTTCAATGTTTCTTCAACCATGTTCACACTTCCTCCCATAGGAAGATACTCCCTGGCAAGAACAAACCAATTGTAAATTATATACATTGGTGCTAGGAAAAAATTAAGAAACTAAGAGAACTTACATGATACAATGGAAGGTTTGGTTTTTAGTTCTAATTGTAAAGATGCATATGCAATATTCCAGTCCTTAGTAGCCGATTTGCACAAAATTTTCCACATTAACTTATTTGGCATGGGTGTTTTTGAAGTATAAGAAGAGTTCTAGTTTACAGAGTGTCTATGAACAAGAGAGATTGAAGGAATCTATCTACTTACTCTTCCTCTATCTCTCACAACTGAAAATGAATACATGAACCTTCATTGCTGCTAACATACTCCTGCTAACATCCTATAAACTCAATCCAATTCCAATTATGAAGTACCAAACTCAACATTAGGAAACTCAAATTGCAGAGTCACGGTTACAATCAACAGATAAAGATTACCCTTCACCACGACCTGGATATCAAGACAATAAACCCAGCGTGGAGTGTACAACATGGTTCTAAAGTTGCCAATTGCTAGCCCAATTTCCACTATATCAAATACCCAAAAACTATAAATGCCCCACCACTCCCCAAAAATAAATAAATCTACTTGAATGATCAAGACAGAGAATAAAGTTAAGAATCTATATCCATATGCAAATAGTGAAAAAGAAAAATATTCTCAAGAGTACGAGCAGTATCATGACTCCAGAGTAGGTGTGACAAAAGAATCAAATATGTTTGTGGTCGAAGTGGGCATTTGGCAATATAAAAGCTAACTTAAGGGGACCACTGCAAAAGTAGCAATTTGCAAAACATTATTAGCATTCTCCAAAAAAAAAGTCGCATGTCACAGCTCCCATTACAAAAATGCAAAATCTAAAATGAGATGATGCATATAAGGAAAGCAATGAATCAATTAATAACAATAGTGGTTCTGAACTTCAGAGAACTATACCCACTTACATGTTCAAGTTTCCCGCAATTCTCCGCTCTGCTTCTCTGACGCATTCGAGAACAACTGGCTTGCCCTTATCATCTCGGTAAGCACCCTTTAATCAATAAAAAAACAAATTCGAAAATGAATATGTATAACAAAATCAAGCGGATGAACAACATAACATAGCCAAAGAAAAACCATCATATTCATCATAACTGTTTAGCTATTTTTAAAGTATTAAAAAAAATGTTTGGCAAAAAAAAAGTATTTAAAAATTGTGTCAGAATAAAAATTACTAAAAACATTCAATTAGACATTTTTGTCCTTTAGGAGCCAACAAAAGCTCGCCAACGAAGCACCAGATATAAAAAAGAGAAATAAGACATTTTTAAAAAATTTAAAAATATAAAAAAGGAAAAGAAAATTATTCTCAGCTTTCCTTTTCCCCTTGATTTGGCTCCTGCTTGGCTTCCGAGAAAGTTACTGTTTTATTCATTTCCAGCTCCGGTTTCATTCCAAAAAATTACTCAATTTCCAGGACGAGAAGAGAGAAGGAAAAACATAATTAAAATAAAACTGAACACTTTCCACTCTATACTGTATAGCTACCTCGTCGAGTGGAAGAAGGAAAATAAAACAGAGATGATGATCCAAGAGAATACAATATTTTCAAAAGCTTAAAGCTCATGATTCAGAAGGTAATGTTATATTAGATCAAAGGCAGAACAGATACTCACAACTCCAACATTGATTTTGTCGGGACTGGGATCGGCGAGGAAGGCCTCGGTGACGCCGAGAATCGGATCCTTTGGAGCTGGCTCCACGCTCCGCCACCACGACATGGATCGGGCTCCGAAGACGGATACGGAGCTCCGGTGCTGAAAAAGTTTTCTGGAAAGCGCCATTGGAATTCGGAAGACCAAGCAACAAGGAAGCTATTTGGTTTCTAAAACTAAAATGGTAAGATTGAGAGAGAAGGAAGCGAAGTGTATTTATATATATATATATATGTAGTGATATACGATTTGGGTTTTTCGTGTTTCGTTGGTTGCAACGACCTTGAAGTGCGTGACGCTTTCTCTAGAATATTATTCATAATTAATAAATTACGCTTTATAGGTGCTGACGCTTGGTTTTGGCATCTCCTCCTTTCTTTGTACTAAATTGTATTGTCACTCTCTCTCTCTCTCTCTCTCTCTCTCTCTCTTTTACTATAATTATTTGATTAATTTGTGGATTATATCTGTTTTCTATTTTGTCTGCTTCTGTTGTTAATAGTCATTAGTGAGCACACGTAACTTCGCAACCCACTCATTAATAAGTTTCCTTTTTTTACTTTGTTTTTATTTAAATTTATGACGTTTCTTATTGAGATGAGTAATAGTATACTAAACTTAAACACACTACACGGATACTAGAATTCAAACTCAAAATCTTTCATGGAAGAGCAATTGCTCCAAACCACTAAACTAGTAGATCATTTGCAAAAGGTCCCAAAAGAACACTGACACACTTGGAGAAACTTTTTTATTTTTATATCAACATTTTTTAAGTGAAAAGCTAATGAAATCGGTTTTGTGAAATCAATTTGAAACATTAAGAGTTGTTAGTATAATTTCTGAAATCTCAAGGGATTTTATAAATAACTCAACTAAAAAATATTGATAGAGTCGCATTCAATTAAAGTGACCCAACTAATAAATATTTTTGTATCACTTGAAATCAAATTTAACCAAAATTTGAATTAGCTTTGGTGGATATGCTCTTTTATCCGTTCTTTTAGACCTTTTGGGGTCTCCATAATATCCAGAAAAAGGGAAGAAAAAAAAATCAATTTGAAACCTCAAAGGGTGTCAGTGAAATCTCATAAATTTGTAAATAAATCTCAGGAAGTGTTAGTGTTAACTCTTTTTAGTTTGGACTAAATTCATTTGAATACTTTTTTTTTAATGACATTGAATTATTTAGAGGAAGTGGGAACCAATATTTGACTAAAATTATTTGATGTCTCCTGGCTAGTTAAGAAATGGTTTGCCACATTCAAAATACCAACAACAACAAAAATTTTTTTTTTTTTTTTTTTTTTACAAAATTTTTATGCAAGCGATATTTGGATGGGGGTGGGGAATTAAACCTTGGAGCTCGAGTACAGGAGTAAATGTTTTTGACCACTTAAGTTAGAAGTCCCTTGCCCAAAAATTACTCCCTTAGTTAATCAAAATATTAAGAATTGAAAGTATTGATTAAATAAGGATAATACAGTAAATTCATACTTTTTCATATTAAAAAAAAATTATGAAACACAAATAGACTTTTTTATCTTTCTTATTTTAAAAAGTGAAAAAACAAAAAAATTAAAGAATACCAAGAAATTATTTGTCATATAATTAGTAAGTTTGGAGCTTATCTTTTTATACGTCAATATAACTCGAAGGGTAAGCACAAATAAAGTTTACTAAGGCAAATCTAGGCCATGCCACAATATTCCAAGGTACGCACGAATGAAGTCCACAAAAGAAAGTCTAATATGCTTGGGGAGACATCTTAAGGATAGTACTAGGGGTGTACGTTGGTTCAAAACCCATACAACTTAGCCAATTTGCATCCAACCCAATATAGATTGTGTGGGAGCAAATATTTTCGTCTCCAATCACAGCGCGCCACGTGGAAAAGAAGATTATCTCTTTTAATTAATTAATTGAACCAGTTTATCTGGCCAATTAATTAATTTGGATAAATATCTTAATTAACATGATATTATCTTTATTTAATAAGATAATATCATTAATTAAGATATTATCCTATTAAAGAGAAGATAATGTCATTATCTCATATATTATCTTCATAAAAAGAGATAATATCATTTAATTCAGATATTATCTCCATAAAAAGAGATAATATCATTAAATCAGATATTATCTCAGTCCGACTCGATCCCTACGAATTTGGGTAGAGAATAAACTCAGCATATTCTCTACGAAACCCTAGCCCCGAGGCTCCTATAAATAGATGACTTCATTCATCATTCAAGGTACATCTAAACCTACTCCTTATACCCGAGAAAAATACCCAAAGCTCTCTCTTTCTCCTTCTCCACTCTCCATATTTTCTCCACACGGCTCCGGCCACCACACACGGCTCCGGCCGCCCGGTTCACACCCTACATAAACACTACTCCGTACCCTTTGCTTAGCTATTGTTTTCCTACAAACACTCGAACTAACTTAGGCATCGGAGGGCCTTTGGCCAACACCCCCCGGGTGTGGTCTATTTACTCCAATCTGTTTTACAGGAATCGAGGAAGAGAGAGAAGGAAGATCGAAGGTTGAAGGATCTAGAAGCGAATATTCTCCCGTGAGATTATTTGCACAAACATTTGGTGCTTTCATTGAGAGCACGAGTTATACTCAACGCGTGCTCAAGGAATCCGTTCCTCATATTTTCCAATCCACCGAAGCCTTCCAAACAACCATGGTTGGAAGCAAGCGCACGAGGAGTAAAACCGCCGCGATGGCTCAATCCGTGACGGCCCAAAGCCACTCCACCCACGATCCCGCGATCAACATGGTGGCACCACCACCTCTTGCCACCGTGCCACCTATTGGACCCGCGACCGAATCTAGCAACCTCCGTGGCACCGCCACCGAACATGGTGGAACCTCCCATCAAGGTGGGCTCGTTACCACCACCAACTTAGGCCCGGTCTTGGAGCAACTTCAAGCGTTCCCTCCATTGCCTCCACGCTCGACACACGCTCTCGCGTACACCTCCAGTGAAACCCTAGCCCGTGTGCAATTGGGCTCCACACGCTTATCTCCTCCTGATCCACAAAGTCAAGCAGATCTCAACCTGAGAGTTGACCAGCTAGCTCAGAGAGTGGACGACCAAAACGCTCTTATGAGGCAGCTCCTTAATCAAATAAGCGTGGCTCAAAATCTTGGCCTTGGACAACCAGGCGAAGTGAGAGGAATAGACGAACGCACCGGTGGGCAGCTCAACGGGCACCAAGCGGGTCGAGCAGGAGCGAGCAGACAAGGGGATGCACAACCACGTGATCAGCTTGCCGACATGTCGCAAGCATCTGCAAGCCACACACAAAGCAACGTGCGAGAAAGGCTCGGCCCACGACTTGACGTCCGTGCTCGCCTGGGCCCGCAGGGGAATGTACTTCAAAGGCTAGGCTCCCAGGGAGATCAAACTGACAATCGCCGCAATGAGGATCGTGAAGAGAGGCGCTCCGCTGCCCACTCGCAGAGAAATATTCACGAAAGGCTAGGCTCCCAGGGAGGTCAACCCGGTAACCCTCGCAATGAGGATCGTGAAGAGAGGCACTCCATTGCCCGCTCTCGGAGAACCAACTCTCGCCGTCAAGCTGCAGAAAATCCCTCGCAATCGCAGTCCACCAACACGCCTCCTAGGCAGCGCGGACAAGAGGACCGACCCTTGCAGACCAACGAGGAGGTCAATCAGCGTCGCTCGAATCGCAAAAGGCGCCAACGTGATCGACCAGCATTGCGCGTGGAAGACGTTGAGAAGCTTGTGAATGACCGACTTCGAGACTTGAAGACTAGCGGGAACCTCGAGGATGCACTACGTAAGGAGATGGACCAAGCGATCTCTACTCCTTTCACCCCTGAAATCGAGCAGGCTACTCCCCCGAAGCGATTCTCAACGCCTTCTTTTACGCATTTCAAGGGAGATTCCGATCCCGAGAGCCACCTAAAACACTTCAAAAGTGTCATGATCCTCCACAAGGCCGACGACGCACTGATGTGCAAGGCATTTGCAATGACATTGCGAGGAGCAGCTCAGGACTGGTTCCACACCCTGCCATCTGGGTCGATCAACAGTTTCAAGGAGCTTGCCTATGTCTTCACTAAAGAATACACTTCTTATCGGACGATCAAGAAGAACCCAGATCATCTGTTCAACCTGCGCAAGAAGCCCGACGAATCCATTCGAGATTACATCAAGAGGTTCAAAGCAGAAAAGGCCAACATCGTAGGGTGCGACGACCAAATCGCATCATCTGCCTTCAAGAAAGGTCTTCCAGCAGAACACGAGTTATACCGCGAGCTGACTATCACTCCCAGCCAGACTTTAGCAGAGGTCTTCGCGACCGCAGAACGCTACGCGCTCTGGGATGACGATCGAATTGCCGCGAAGAAGTCCACTGAGCAGGGAGATCGGCAGACCAAGCGGGCGGGCCTAAGAAGCGATGGATTTAGCAACAAGAACAAGGACAAGCGCAGGTCACACCCACAAGAGGACGCTAAGGCAGGAGAGAACTACACCAAGTTCACTATCCCTATACATCAAATCCTAGCCCAAGTGAAAAACAAACCTTGGGTAAGAAGACCGCCACCCTTGAAAGGAGATCCAGACAGGAGGGATACTAGCAAATATTGTGCCTTCCATGGGACGCATGGACACACTACGAACAACTGCTTCGCTTGGAAAGCACACCTCGAAGAACTCGTGAAGGAAGGTCATTGCACAGAATTCATCGCTAAGCAGGCCATCCAACAGATAGAGGACCGCGACACCGCCAAGGAGCCGCCCCAAAAGGTCATAAGGATTAACACAATCCTAGCCGACTCCGAGGAATCTGGGTTGACCAGCAAGGAAAAAAAAAGGAAGATCAAACAAGCCACTATGATCTCCCAAGTCTCAACCGACATTCCGCTAGCAGAAGACGACCCTATAATCGGCTTCCAAAAGAAAGATCTAATTGGCCTTGATCTACCACACAATGACGCTCTTGTCATCAGCATTCAAATCGCTCAGGCCATGGTCGGCCGAATCCATGCAGACGAGGGCAGTGCGGCCAACATCCTACAATTGACAGTTATCCAACAGATGGGCTTAGAGGCAAAGATCAATAAATCAGCCAAGTCGCTGACTGGTTTCAATGGAGCAACAACGGTCACCGTAGGCACGATAGAGCTCGACGTCTACGCCCCACCTGTAATCAGCTCTCAAACGTTCATGGTCATTGATGAAGTCTCACCCTACAATGGCATTCTAGGCAGGCCATGGATCAGCAAGATCAATGCCATCACCTCCGCCACGCATCAGAAGATTCGCTACCCAATTCCTTGGGGTGGGATCGGCCAAATCAACAGCGATCAGGCGATGGCGAGGAAATGCTCAGCTCAAGGGCTGAAGAAAGGCAAGCAAACACAGTTCCTCCCTGTGAATCAAGCAGATCTAAAGGGAGTAGAACAAGCAGATGAGGAAGCAGATCCCGTTCCTGACGGCCGAGCAGGCCAAAAAGGAAAGGGAATAACTACTCCCAAATAGCAATCAAAGAATCAGGACCAAGTCGAGGGAATCCGTCCGGAGGTCTATCCTGAAGAAGGATGGAAGCCCGAGGAGGACGTTGAGCTAGTACCCCTTGATCCTGACAAGCCAGAGAGAACAGCGCGGATCGGCTCGCGCCTAAGCCAGGAGGAAAAGGCAGAGCTTGTAGCCTTCCTCCAGAACAACAAAGACGTATTTGCATGGTCACCCTCTGACATGCCTGGCATCGATCCCCAGATCATCTGCCATCGCCTACACGTCAACCCAGCCATCAAGCCTGTAGCGCAGAAGAGACGCAACTTCGCCCCCGAGCGAGTCGCCATCATTGAAGCTGAGATCGACAAGCTTCTAGTTGCCGGTTTCATTGAAGAAGTCTCATACGCAGAATGGCTGGCGAACGTTGTTCTAGTAGCAAAGAAAGATAAAGGCCTGTGGAGAGTGTGCGTCGACTATACTGACCTCAACAAGGCATGTCCTAAAGATAACTTTCCACTGCCGAGAATTGACCAGCTCGTCGATTCAACTTCCGGCAATCAACTGCTAAGCTTCATGGACGCCTACTCCGGTTACAACCAGATCATGATGCATGAAGACGACAAGGCAAAGACCTCTTTCATCATCGAAAGAGGTACCTACTGCTACAAGGTCATGCCCTTTGGGCTGAAGAACGCCGGGGCAACCTACCAAAGGCTGGTAAATAAAATTTTCAAAGAGCAAATCGGCAAGACTATGGAGGTCTACGTAGACGACATGCTAGTCAAAGCTCCCGAGCGAGCAGACCACATCGAGAATCTTGCCGAGGCATTCAGCATACTCCGAAAATACAACATGAAGTTGAACCCGAGCAAATGCACATTTGGAGTCTCGTCCGGCCGATTCCTTGGATACTTAGTCACCCAAAGAGGAATTGAGGCACATCCAAATCAAATCAAGGCTATACTCAACATGAAGTCACCTGCCACAACAAAGGAGATACAAAGTCTAACGGGTAGGGCGGCAGCTCTCAACCGATTCCTCTCTAGATCTACCGACAAATGCAGGCCATTTTTCAAAGCCTTGAAGAAGGGACACAAGGATAAGTGGGATGACGAGTGTGAAGTAGCTTTTCAAAACTTGAAAACTTACCTCACTTCACCTCCATTGCTCTCAAAGCCGATACCAGGCGAAGACTTGTACATCTACCTAGCGGTGTCCGGCTCAGCTGTCAGCTCAGCTCTCATCCGAGAAGAGCTGGGGGCACAACATCCGGTATTCTACACTTCAAAAGCTCTCCTCGATGCAGAGACTCGCTATCCGAAAATGGAGAAGCTCATTTTTTCCCTTGTGGTTTCTGCAAGAAAGTTAAGGCCCTACTATCAAGCACACCGGATAATTGTCATAACAGAATTTCCTTTGAGATCGATCCTTCACAGCCCCGACGCTTCTCAGCGACTCATGAAATGGGCTATCGAACTCAGTCAATACGACCTCCTCTACCGGCCGAAGACTGCTATAAAAGCCCAAGCTTTAGCAGATTTTGTTGTAGAGTTTACTCCGACAGCCGAAGAAGAGAAGATGGTTACGAAAAGCAAGGAAAAAGCGGACGACACCTCCCCCACCGATTCGAACCTACCTAACGACATGTGGCAGTTGCATGTAGACGGAGCATCAAATCACAAGGGAGCGGGAGCGGGAGTCGTCATAATCACCCCAGACGGAACCTTGTTGGAACAAGCTATCACACTAGGCTTTTCTGCTTCAAACAACGAGGCAGAATATGAGGCACTGCTTGCAGGATTACGCCTAGCGAAAGAACTGTCGATCAAGAGACTGGCCGTCTACTCAGACTCCCAACTGATCACGAATCAAGCCTCAGGCGAGTACATGGCAAAGCACCCAAGAATGGTTCAGTACCTCGACAAAGTCCAAGGACTTTTGAAAGAATTTCCTACTTTCACCATCCAACAAGTTCCACGGGCAGAGAACACTCATGCAGATGCGTTGGCGAGCCTAGGATCAGCACTGGACACCCAGTTCAGACGCTCCATCCCAGTTGAACACCTTGACCGGCCAAGCATCGAGGAAATAGAGCCGATCGACTCAATGCAGATTGATGAGGACCCCAGCTGGCAAGACCCCATCATCGACTACTTAGTGAATGGAAACCTGCCAATGGATAAGTCCGAAGCTAGGAAGGTCCAGCAGAAGGCCGCGAGATACTATATGCACGGCAGCAAGCTCATCCGTAGATCATACTCCGGCCCTCATCTCACCTGCATAAAGTACCCTCAAACACTTGAAGTCCTCTCCGAAATTCACGACGGCGAGTGTGGCAACCACTCGGGGGGCAGGTCACTCGCCCAGAAAACTCTAAACGTAGGCTATTTCTGGCCTACCATGCGCCACGACTCTGCTGAATATGTCAAAAGATGTGATCGTTGCCAACGATACAAGCCGATCCCTAATCTGCCTGCCGAAGTTTACCATCCGCAAAACAGTCCATGGCCATTCATGCAATGGGCCATCGACTTAGTGGGTCCCTTGCCACCGGCGCCTGCCAAGAAAGAAATGATGATCGTCGCCACCGACTACTTTACTAAATGGATCGAGGCGAAGCTCTATCCTCTACTAAAGAAGCCGATGTGGAGCGATTCATCTGGAGAAATATCATCTGCCCACAAAACACAACAGTTGTCCATAAGCAGCGTCCTTCGGGAGACGCAGGGCAACGACCAGAAGTGTCCTTCGGGAGACGCAGCCCATAAAAAGCGTCCTAAGGGAGACGCAGGGTGCGCCAGGAATTTCCTAAGGGAGGTATCCAGGTTCCTATCCGTTCCCTAAGGGGGGCAGGATAGTCATATAGTTGCCCATAAGGAGCGTCCTAAGGGAGACGCAGGGCGACGACTAAAAGCGTCCGTTTGGAGACGCAGCCCACTAAAAAAGCGTCCTAAGGGAGACGCAGGGTGCGCCAGGAATTTCTTAAAAGGAGGTCTCCATGCCTCCTGCGGGAAGTATCCAGGTTCCTATCCGTTTCCTAAGGGAGGCAGGATAGTCATACAGTTGCCCATAAAGAGCGTCCTAAGGGAGACGCAGGGCGACAACTAAAAGCGTCCGTTTGGAGACGCAGCCCACTAAAAAAGCGTCCTAAGGGAGACGCAGGGTGCGCCAGGAATTTCTTAAAAGGAGGTCTCCATGCCTCTTGCGGGAAGTATCCAGGTTCCTATCCGTTTCCTAAGGGAGGCAGGATAGTCACACAGTTGCCCATAAGCAGCGTCCTTCGGGAGACGCAGGGCGACGACCAAGCCAACCTAAGAGATATGCAGAACACGTCCGAAGTCCTTCAAGAGGAACCCTGACACTCATGAATCTCCAAAAGGAGATGTGCAATCAAGACACTAGCCGGTTACTCAAGCAGTTCACAAGACAATATGCAAATTGAAGTTGAAAAATAAAGACTGAAATTTTCATAGCAAAGCGACCAACCGGCCAAGTTCAAACAAAAGAAGATGGTCAAACAAGACCAATTATTCTAAACAAAAGCAGACTACAAAAGTTGAAAAGAAATAAAGGAGTCTTCGTCTACTCCGAAGCGCCAGCAGGAGATCCCTGATCTACAACCTCTTCAGCGTCCGCCTGAACAGCCACGCTTTCAGCAGCTCCACATGCCTGATCTATGACGTCTGCCACCACCTCATCGGCTGCATCCTCCTCTGCTCCATCCTCCTCAGCTACCGCCTCTTTAGTCACCTGCTCTTCAGCTCCTTCGATGTTCACAGCATTAGCCTTCTCACTTTGCGCAGGGGGCAAGTCTGGATAGAGCATCTCGATGTCTTCATCTCCAATGGCGTAGAAGGGATCATATCCTCTTGTGCAGTCCAGGTAGCCCAACTTGTACGCGTCCATGGCAACTTCGGACTTGGATTCCTCAGCAGACTCATGGTAGGCGTGAAGTCTAGCTAAAAGCTTGTCATAGCTATGAGAGATGTCGGCATTCTTGCGCTCAAGGTGGAAATAAGCATCTTTTCGACTTGCCAAGTCAGCAGCAAAAGAGTTAAGCTCGGAATCCTTCTCAGCAAGGGAGCTCTTCAACTCAGATATCATCGCCCGCAAATCAGACGTCTTCTTCTCATAACGGGTCTGCTCGGCGGAAAGTTTGCTAACTAACTCGGCATTCTTCTTCTCCAACTCGCTGAGCTGAACAGAAGATGGGGCAACAACAGACGAGTTCCGAATGGTCTCAGCAGCAAAAACTATTCCCTTTTGAAGCAGATGAAGTGTCGCTTCCTTTTGCTTTTCCAAGGAAAGACTTGAAAAAGTACCAAGATCGCCAGCCTGACGGATTTGGTCAACCAGCTCAGCACAAGAGGATGGACTTGATAGAAATTGCGTTTTTAGCAGATCAGACACGCCTGCATCCCCTGCAGGGCTAGATTTGTCCACCTTTGGATCAGTCGCTGACGTTACAGAAGAACCTTTTGTCCGGGCAGATGACTCTCTTGCTTTCCTAGCCTCCGCCAACCTCACTTCCAAAGGAATTTGCGACGTCGAATCAACTCCATGCTTGACTGCTCATGACTCAACAGTTGAAACATGATGGTTGGATGGATGAGCAGACTGCCCAGATCGACTTCCAATCTTCGACTGGTACAAACGACTCGAATTTCGAAAAGGAGCATCCGCATCTCTTTGCCTCTCAACAAGTGAGCTAGATCGTGCACGGACTACTTTACTGAGCATATCACGATCTCCAAACTCATCAGGCTTGAGCTCTCGAAGACTTGACATCAGCCTTCCTTTTTTAGGGGAGTTTAGCAAAACACTCCTCATGTCCAGCAGGCAGATCATCAAGGCTCGGACCATCCTGCTTCCATCTATCGACATCCTTAGCAGGGGGCAGTCCACCAACTTCCTCCTAATCGTTGCTCAGCAGCCGCCAGCAGCCACCGCCGCTCCAATCGTCTTTGGCTGCCAGTAACGATGACAACCAACCTGGTCCCACCCAACTGGTCCTCGCCTTGAAAAAGAGAAGACGAAGGAAAATTTACGTGCTCGACTTACTTTGGGATGCACGGCAACTCCTCTCTTCGACAAGCAGTACAAAATTCTCCAAGATCTTTCTCAAGCTAGAAAGTAGAGAAGTTAAGTTTGCGATGTAAGAAAGAGTGAAGAGAAGCCCTGTATTTATACAAGTTGGACAACCCGGGTCAAGAAGGAATCTCAAGCTCTTTCCTACTGGGAATCCAACTCCAACAACAGTCAGAAGCCTACACCAATTGAGAATCCGATCTGCAAAAGGAGTCCAACTCACAGAAGAAAGCCCAGACTCAGTTGGAGAGCCCGAAAAAAATAATTTCATCTCCTACATGCCACACAAGCGCCATGCAGAAGCTGGGGGGCATTTGTGGGAGCAAATATTTTCGTCTCCAATCACAGCGCGCCACGTGGAAAAGAAGATTATCTCTTTTAATTAATTAATTGAACCAGTTTATCTGGCCAATTAATTAATTTGGGATAAATATCTTAATTAACATGATATTATCTTTATTTAATAAGATAATATCATTAATTAAGATATTATCCTATTAAAGAGAAGATAATGTCATTATCTCATATATTATCTTCATAAAAAGAGATAATATCATTTAATTCAGATATTATCTCCATAAAAAGAGATAATATCATTAAATCAGATATTATCTCAGTCCGACTCGATCCCTACGAATTTGGGTAGAGAATAAACTCAGCATATTCTCTACGAAACCCTAGCCCCGAGGCTCCTATAAATAGATGACTTCATTCATCATTCAAGGTACATCTAAACCTACTCCTTATACCCGAGAAAAATACCCGAAGCTCTCTCTTTCTCCCTCTCCACTCTCCATATTTTCTCCACACGGCTCCGGCCACCACACACGGCTCCGGCCGCCCGGTTCACACCCTACATAAACACTACTCCGTACCCTTTGCTTAGCTATTGTTTTCCTACAAACACTCGAACTAACTTAGGCATCGGAGGGCCTTTGGCCAACACCCCCCGGGTGTGGTCTATTTACTCCAATCTGTTTTACAGGAATCGAGGAAGAGAGAGAAGGAAGATCGAAGGTTGAAGGATCTAGAAGCGAATATTCTCCCGTGAGATTATTTGCACAAACAGATTGGATTGTGATTTTTCGAATCAAATCCAATAGAATTAGATTGGATGATCGGTTTTGATAATGAAAAAAAATATAATAATGAAATATGAAACATTTTTTGTTAGATTTAATATAATCAAATATATTAGTAGACGTAAATGTAAAATATAAATGAAAAGTTAGTGAAAATTGTTTTGATTCTATAATATATTAAAGCATAATTCCATCAAATGACTTAAAATCTTCATAAATTTTTTAATTACAAATACCTACATGAGCAAAATAAACATGAAACTAACTAGATTAGATTGGATTCTCACAAGCAAATCCACCATCCAATTATATCAATTTTAGAAATTAGGGATCCAATCCAATCCGTTAAATCATCAAAACCAATTAAAATTGAATTGAATTGAATCAAACAATTTGTGAAGATTAGATTGGATTAGATATTGTACACCCTAGTTAGTACATCCCAAGTTGTAGACAAAACTAATTAGGTTAGCTAGTCTTTGAGCCAAATGATTATGTTCTCTATAAAGAGAAGCCTCTCAAATTTTGCCCACGTTTGGCAGACTAGACCACATCATATGCTCGATGCATCATTATATCAATATTCAAATCACAACAAATATTATGGATGGGAGAAAACAAGTGACTCACTAACCTCAAAGCCACTCCAATGTGTCACATGGGGTTTAATTAAGGGCCGCACACATATCGGCTTCCATTTTAACTCATCAATTCAACACTTTTGTAACCATCGATACTTAAGGGTTGTTTAGGGGGTGCTTAGTATCCTATTCAAATAAAGAACTTAAAAACCTTGATTCTTCTTAAAAACAAAGAGTTCTTAAATCTATTTTTAAGATTTAAAAACTTGTTTGGTATGCAATGTAACACCCCGACTCCAATTAAATTCCCTAATTAAATTATTTAATTTAATTAAATATGAAATTTCGAATTTACCCTTGGGGTAGGGGTATTTTGGTCATTTCTTATCCGGAGAGATTTTGGGGCAGCGACTGGTATTTTTACGTAGGTCGTACTGAGATGAGTCCGTAGACACGTAGTGGGCTTGATGTGGAGCTGTAAAGAAGAAGTTACGATCAAAAGAAACTCAGTGGCACAATCGTAATTATTTCGAAATGGGATTTGTATAAAAACAGAAAACTCTCTCTCTCTTCCCCCTTTGGTTCGCACAGCAGGCCCCCCCCAAAGGCTGTTACTATTCATCCGGTGGCTTTTTGGGCCACCACCGTCCCATCCGGCCACCGTTTTGGATGGCACCGGTCCCAAAAGAACCGGGCCACTTCCCTCTTTCCATCCCGACCAACCTCAGCCGCTGGAACCACCTGTGCTGGCCGGAAAATACCGAAAACCGACCGATTTTAACCCAAAATTCACGGAGCTCGTTCGGACGCCTCCGGCCAGCATTTCCGTCAATCCAGGTATGCTTTCTCAACCTCTCGAGACGTTCTAGCTGCTGGTTGTGTTGGATAGGAGAAATTTCTGTGTTTAGGGGGTTAAATAAGCGATTGAAATTCTGCCGGTTTTCGGCCTCCGATTCCGGCCACTTCCGGTGACTTCTTGGGGTAGGTCCAAGAACAAAAGTTGCTCCGCTCTAGGTGCTGATCATGTAGGTATAAGTTTTACCCGGCGGTTTGGAGATTTTCCGATCGCCGGACTAGCCTTGGAGACCCACGCTCTGCCGGCGCGTGTGGCGGCGCGTGTACCACTATTTGGCTGATCTTAGGCTCCTAAAATACTCCTCATGTCGTCCCGAGTACGACGGTATGCTCGGATATGGATTTGGGTATCATTTGATCGCCGATCGGATATCGCATATGTTATCCGGGTTTGACATGTTTGGACCGTTGGATCGACTCCATTTCAATATACGTTGATCTAGGCGTTCCTAGGATTGTGTAGGAATTCATAGGTCGTGGATCGGAGCCTCGGATGTTTCGATTTAATAACTTAAAGTTTGTGTTTTACAATAACCGTCCGATCGTGCGAAAGCAAGTGATCCGACTGTCCAATCCGGACCAAACTTGCAGGACGTGTATCCTAAACCTTGTGGAACCCATAGGAACGTTCGGATCGTAAAACAAAGGTCATGGTCCCGTGGGCCTGGTTGACCAAGTTTGGGAATTTTGACCCCTCGGTTGACTGTGAGTCTTTCAAGGTAGTTTCACCCTTCAAGGAGTACTAGAACGACTCTACTAACGAGTCCCGACTGTTATTTGAGTTATGTTGACCATGTTGGGATTTTGATAGTGTTTTACATTATCGTATGAAAACTCTTGGATATTTTATAGATTTCATTGTTGAATTGGATGTTTTTATAGAGCTTTTGTGATATACTTTAGGTTTTGGCATAGTTCAGTATCTTGAATATGTATATATGGATTTTGAGAATGTTTACTTATATTTGGTTACAGTGGCGGATCCATGATTGGAAAGCCAATTGGGCGGAACTTACATTACTAAACTCGACGGTACGAGTGAATTTCATTAATAATAATAAAAAAAAGATACACTTAGTCAGGGGGACGTAATAAGCCTTACCCTCAAATACATCTATATATAAATAAAAGTTTAACAACAAAAACAAAAACCACAAGTAAATGTAATACAAAATGTCACTAGTTAAATCTAAAATTTTACCCTGCGAGATTTAAAAATCTTAAATTCCTCAATTATTGATGCATTAGTGATACTGTTAGCAAACTCTCTTTCAATGTGAAGGGTCATGCAATCAGCAAGAAACTCATCAGCTATGGTGCTTCGAAGCCGATTCTTAATAATTCTCATACATGAAAAAGCTTGTTCCGTTATTGCTATAGAAACGGGAGGAGTCAACACCAACCGAATCAACCTGTTGATCAAACAATAGTTCTCTACCAAACTTGTTTCCACTAATTGTTGACATAAATGAGGACAAGTGTTGGTTTCCTTAAAGCAAGGAAGGCGATGTACATCATTTTGAAAATACCTTAACTCTATTTACAAATCTTTCAACTCATTTGGAAGGAAATCAGTAGGATAGAATTTCTCAGCAAGTTTACATATATGCTCAATATTGAATGACTTGAATGAATTGCCAGGATCCAATGCTGAGCTAAGAATAAGAAGTTCAACTGTTTGCTCTGGAAATCTGTCATTTAACTCCCTTAACATGCAATCTATAACATCATTGAATACATCAACGCGATAGTAATGCTCAAATGTAATAAAATCTTTTTGTTGACAATAACGATGTGTGCCCGTCATATAACGAGCACCCATATCAGGAACATCAACACCATGTAGTTCACAAAATGATACCACACTACAGAATAAATCATCCCAGCCATGTACCCTCATATCTTGAAGCTGTATTTTTGTGTTTTCAACAAAATTTAAAGCACTTACAATATCTTGAGTTTTGGTCTGAAATACTTGACAAGGAAAATTGGTCAATCCTATAATTTTATCCATCAAAAGCAATGAAAACACAAACTCAAAATACATCATAGCAATATAGTTACTCTCAGCATCGCCACGAAATTGTTGGTTTGGTCCATGATCACTGATTTCTTGAAGAAGTGATTTAGTCTCTTTAAATAAACACATTAAACTTGTAATAGAAACATAATGAGAGCCCCAACGAGTGGCTCCAGCTCGTTTCAAACTACGAGCTTGATTAAGTCCTCTACCTGTCTCAAGTTCTCCAGAATCCAACAACCTATTGAGTTCAACTTTTCTAATTAAGTTTAACTCACTACGGCGCTTAGCAGAAGCATTAACAAAATTCACAATGTTAGTCAACATTAAAAAAAACATCCATAAAACTTTCACATCTTTAGCTGCACTATTTAATGCCAATTGCAAGCGATGAGCAAAGTAATGCACATAATATGCATATGGACAATCTTGAAGAAATAATGCTTGTAAGTCATTCCATGAACCACGCATATTACTAGCACCATCATACCCTTAACTACGCATGTTTTCCACTATAATGTCATTATTACCAAGCACTTTGCATATCTCTTTTTTAAGAGTCAAGGCATTAGTGTCTACAACACTCACAATATCGAAGAAGCGCTCACAAATAAATCCATCACAATCAACAAATATTAGAATAATAGCCATTTGTTCCTTACTAGATTCATCAAGTGATTCATCAACTAGAATACAAAATTTGTTCTTCCCAAGTTCCTAACAAATTGTCTTCCTCACCTTGTTAGCAAAAATATGTAAGATTTGCTTTTGTATGTCATGCGCAATGTATTGAGCATTTTGAGGAGCCTTATCAAGGACAACTTTTTCAACTTCTATATTCATTCTTGCAAAAGACTTTATGATTTCAATGAAATTGCCCCGATTAGATGAGTCAACGGACGCTTTGAAAAGTCAATGCTTGATTTGCTAGATACCTAATGCTCTTTATTGTGGTCGTAAGTCGCAACCGATTTTCCATCACTTGTTGCTTTGATTGCTTCTCAACCACTTTTTCAATATGTAGAGATGGAGTTTTTAAGCTAATCCACTTTTGCATAGTAAGATGATGTGGTGAATTTAACTTGCCTACATGATGTTGAAATGCACATTGATTCCCACCAATTCTCTTCCATTTTTAATACCCATCAACAATAAAGATTGGGTGTGATTGATTCATGTCAAAAATGAAACAGGGAAAACAAAATACCTTATTCTTAACAAGTGAATACTCAAGCCAAGTGAATTGACCAAACCATTTTTTATTAAATCGACGAAAGTCGCGCCCTTCTAAGTGGCTTGGATAATCTTCTAACTTGGGTTGACATGGTCCTAAAAGAATATATGCTCTTCTCACATTATCTTGTTCATTCATCGGATATGTGCATATTAGACGACGTAATCCCGGATCACGCTCAAAATAATTGATATTAAAATCATGATAATCATCGACTCTTTCAGATTCAATTCTTTCAACTTGAGGGTTGATAATGGGAGACTCGGGAAGATTTTGCTCATCACATATTGGAATAGATAAAGAAGAGCTAGAAGGCAATGTACTAGATGATGACCCATCATTCTTTTTCTTAAAAAAAGGGAACAAGTTTTTTGTTCTCTTGGGATTCCGATTGTGATCCGACATAATCAAAGATAACCTATGAATAACATGTAAAATAAATAATTTAAATCAAACATACCAACAAAAAATCAAACAAATTCTAATAATAATAGCATCTCAACAATATCAACAAAGAACAAATCAAACATTGAAACATCTGAACAAAATTTCTAAAATCAAATCCCTAATTAATTTCAACAAAATCACAAAATTATGATTCAATCTCTAAGTAAACCCTAGAATATTAAATTTTAAATTAAAACTATAATTAAAGATATATAGAAAATGAGAGAATTAGAAATTACTTGTTGTTGTAGAAAGAAGAGGACAAGATTTTGCCAAGTTGCCCACTGCCCAGCCAATATAATAGGAAGGTGCAGAAAATAAAAAGGGAAAAAGGAAGTTGTTGTTGTCGTCTGGTCTGTAGAATGGAAGAGAGAAAAGCTGGGACCACTTTGAAGTTGGATGGGCGTGTGTGTACATTGGGTTAGCTTTTTAAGTTTTTAAAGTTGGGCTGGCCATATAACATATATAGGTTTTTAAATAATAAAAAAAACTTTGGATGGGCAGGCACCCACCCTGCCCTTTACACAGATCCGCTACTGTTTGGTTATGTGTGGGGTACTTGGATTGTTGTTGTGAGGTTGTGGAAAGAAATGAGTTTAGAATGTCGGTATGCTCGGAAAGAAATGACTAGACCTCATCGGTTACGGATTATAGGCTTGAGAGTTTATTGCCTACACTATGAATAGATTTTTGGAACAACTGAATTAAGGAAGTATCATTTTAAAATATTATTATAAGGGTTATGAACTCCACCATCAAACATACCTCCCCTGGTTACTATACACACATGTGCCGTGTTTCGGACGTGTGGGCTTTCTTGGTCACAGATCCTGGAATTGTGGGATGTCGGAAAAATTGTGGATATGTTGGCACTCGGACGCCCTTGAACAGGGGTTCGTGGACCCGTAACGGGGTATTCTGCGTGCGTAGGACTTGTCACAGGCGTACAAGTCTTGAGGGTCTCGACTGTACGTGCTGGCTGAGAGTTCGTCCCCCAGTTGGATGGCTCGTTCCCTAGCCACATCGTTGTTCTCCATGTGGTCTAGTTAAACGATCCCCAGTTGGATTGTTTTCCCCTAGTACATGATGTGCATCATCGTATGTACATTCCCTTGGATATTGATACTTGGATACATGGAATTGGACACATGGATATGGATACGTGGGTATGTCGGAACCCGGGCATACCTTAACGGGGTGTTACCGTGGACCCTTGATTGGGTAGGACTTGATACATGCGTACGAGTCTTGAGGGTCTCGGCTGTACGTGTTGGCTAAGAGTTAGTCCCCCGATTGGATGGCTCGTTCCCTAGCCACATGGTTGTTCAGGACTCCTCCATGTGGTCTAGTTAAACGATCCCTGGATTGGATTGTTTCCCTGGTACATGATGATGGTGAGAGGTGGGTGTGATTATATATATGTATAATAATATGGACACGCATATTACATAGGTATATGTGGATTTGTTTACGGATTGAGATCCGTGAGGTTGTGCTTTATGATTTCCCTGCATGGGTATGAATGTCTGAGTCCCGGATTGGGAAGGGTGATTTGGCAACATACGCCTTGGATAAGGTATGGTTGTGGGGAAAGAATTGATTGAAGGAAATGATAAAGTGTTAAGGGGTTGCCTTGTTGAGTTCAATATAATAAGGTATCAGAAGTCATTCGTTGGTTTTATTTAAAAGGAAAGAGATTGTATACTACCGGAGTTATGACTGTTGATGGTAAGAACTACGTGTGGCTTGATCCCTCACAAGGGATACATAGGTAGCCTAGGGCTTTACCTAGGTGTAGCCGTTGACTAAAATTTACTTATGTTGTTTTATTGAGTTTGGTCCTGACCTTGTCGTTGGTCTTCAAACTCGGTTGAAATCGAGGTGTGATTAGATAATTGTTCATACTCTCGTTTGGCTAAGGGAGGGTTGTGTTAGTGTGTTATGATCAAAATAGGGGTAAAACCCGTTTGGATTGTTATATGATTTGGGCTGAGGTCTTAAACTACTTGTATTTGTATTAGGATGTTAAACATCACATGATGGAAATTGGGAAGTTATTTTATGTTGTTTACGGTGGGCATTCATAAATTGTTTGAATTCATTATCTGCATTGTTTAGAGTATTATTTGACTTAAGAGCGTTGTTGGTGGTTTTGCTTCGGATTATTTAAAGGCCGGAGGTTGTTTATGTGAATTGCATGTTATTATATTGTGCATGTTGCCAGTTGGTCTTTATAAACTGTGTTTTCACAGGTTGAGAAATTTGGGAAATGTTCATTTTACAGGGAAGACTTTGCCAAAATTTTGGTAGGAAGTCTCAGTTTTAATAAGTGGGCCCGACATCGGGGTGATGTCGGAATTTACCACAGGATTCGTCCTGGGTTCCGAGGTATTTGGGGCGAGTCCTGTCATGCAATTTGAAAATTGTTTTCAAATCTTTAAAATTTTAGAACTTGTGGGTTGTTAGAAAAAAATTTGAAAAAACATATATTTTCTGTTCTCGCCCTCCCCTCCGATGATGTATACATATAGTGGCTCTCCAGCTTAACCTGGAAATTGTTGATCCTGTCTTCTATGTCATTTAAGCCCAAACATATTGTCTTCCTGCATCTTTTCATCGTTTTGATTGTAATGATTCCAGAAAGCCAAGTGTATAAGTTTATTCAAATCTAGCTAGGGTAGGGGTTGTAAAAGTCTGGTGCCCTGAGGGGCATAATAGTAGTGCGGCTTGTCGTTTACCTTTTAATTATGGTGTTGTTTTTGCTGTCTGTTGCTGTCTTGTCTCGAATTATATTTTGCTACTGTTGATTTCTGTATTTTTTTAATTTCTTCAATACTGCCTTCTTTTGGATAATTTCAAATCTATGCTGTTTAATGGGGCAGAGGTTTGAGCTTCATAATTTAATAGAACATTCTTGCTCAGTGTTTGAAGTTGGTATCTATGGAGTTGGCAGTAACAGAAAATTACTGCTTGGTGTAAATTTTAATAGTAATGCCATCATCAAAGCCCTTCAAATTTTGGATTCCATTAATGTATCAATGTCTTAGTTGTACATATCTGAGCCTACTTCGAATCTCATTGATTTGATTATATATTAAACCAGGATCATTAAGAGCATCTACAATCATGCTCTCTATTTTTTAGTTAAAATTTAGCTTAAAACACTAAAAAGCTATTTTAGGAACTCTCTATAAAATTTCAACTCCAACCATACTCTCTAGTTTAAAGAGTCATAAATATTTTAATGTTTTTAAATTCAATTTTTGAATAAAGTGTAGACACAAAAGAAACAGTAAAGAATAATTTGCTTTAAATAAATGCATAAAATAATATTAAATAAATAAGCATTTAATTATAGGGAATCACTAGGAGCTCTTTTTCTCTCCTCAGATTAAGGAGCTTCTAGAGGTTTCCCTATTTTAGGAGTTGAATAAGGAGCATGGTTGAAGGTGGGTTTTTTCAATTTCTCCCTAAATTTTAGCTAAGGAGGTGGTTTAGGGAGTCCATTATGGATGCTTTAAGTGAAGGTCGGATTTGGGAGATGGTTTTAACCACATTGACCATGGTGACCTCATTGAGACTTGCATTGCTGACAATGACTTACCACCACTTAGATTAAGATTATATGTATCATAAGATATTGTATTTATATGATATCTTGATTGAACATAGGTATAGTATTATAATGATCCAAATCATTTATTTTTTAGATATTCTCTTAAATATCATCTCTATAAAGAATCACTTGAATTCAAAAATCATATAATTATTTAATTAAATTATTATTATTTTAGTGTTTTCTTGAAATGCTCGGTTTATTTATTTTGTTAATCAAAACTAAATGTCTTAATGGTTGTGAAGTTGTCCCCCCCAACACTTTGACTACTTTTCAAAGTGCATTTGGATGGAAGGAGATGGACTACAACAACCTCTTCAATTGTTTTTAAGCTCTTATTTTTTCTCTAAACTACTTCTCCCTTTTCACTTTTGTTTTTGTTTTTGATACAAGTGATATTGGGGTGGGAAAATCAAATCTAGGATCTTGAGTGCATAGGCAAATACTCTTAATCACTTTCGTAACATATCAAGCATGCCTTCAAAATCTTAAGGACCAACTTACGACAAAAAAGAAAAAAAGACAAAATGTTTTTGGGGCAAATAAAGGTAAATATATAGGAATTCCTTCCTACGTCTGAGAATCCGTTCTGTTTGTGTGGCCAAAAAAAAAGGGGAGAATTCCATTTCAATATTGCCCGCTTTCCCATCTTTTGCCCTCTGCCTCGCTTTCAATCGCTTCATCTTCCTTACAGTGGCTCACCGTTACTTAGCCCAACTGCAGCTATGCTGCCCTCAAAGCCCCGTCTCATACTCTATAGCTCGAACGACCCATGCCCACATGATAGTTTCTGGGTTCAAGCCATGTGGCCATATTCTTAACCGCTTGATTGATGTCTACTGTAAATCTTCAAATTTTAGTTATGCCCACCAACTGTTCGATCAAATTCCAAAACCAGACATTGTTGCTAGAACCACCTTGATTACGGCGTACTCTGCCATTGGGAATCTAACGCTGGCTCGGAAGATATTCAATGAAACTCCATTGAGCATGCGAGACACTGTTTGTTACAATGCGATGATCACAGGCTATTCTCGTAACAATGATGGCTATGCCTCTATTAGACTATTTGGTGAGATGAGGCAAGGTGGTTTTAGGCCTAACGATTTAACATATACGACTGTACTACGTGGTGCGGCACAGATAGTGGATTTTGAAAAGCAGTGCCAGCAACTACATTGTGCAGTAGTTAAGTCAGGAACAGGGTTTGCCACTTCGGTGTGGAATGCGCTGTTATCTGTTTATGTTAGATGTGCTTCTTCACCATTAGTATCATCATCATCATTGATGGGTGAAGCTAGGAATTTGTTTAATGAGATGCCTGAGAGAGATGAACTATCATGGACAACGATGATTACTGGGTACATAAGGAATGAAGATCTTCATGCAGCTCGGGAATTGCTAGATGGGATGGATGAAAGGATGGAAGTTGTATGGAATGCGATGATTTCGGGTTATGCTCACCACAATTCTTTTCAAGAAGCATTGCTTTTGTTTAGGAAAATGCGGTTACTGGGGATTCATCAGGATGAATTTACATACACTAGTGTTATTAGTTCTTGCGCTAATAATGGACTATTTCAGCTTGGGAAGCAGGTGCATGCTTACATACTTAGAACCGAAGCGAAGCCTACTGTGGATTTTTCATTATCTGTGAACAATACATTGCTTACACTATATTACAAATGTGGTAAACTTGATGAAGCACGGTATATTTTTAATAATATGCCTGTTAAAGATCTTGTTTCTTGGAATGCAATCCTTTCAGGGTATGTTAGTGCAGGGCGCATCCAGGAAGCAAAATCCTTTTTTAAGGAAATGCCAGAGAGGAGCATTCTGACATGGACTGTGATGATATCTGGTTTAGCTCAAAATGGATTAGGAGAAGAAGCGATGAAGCTATTCAACCAAATGCGATTAGAAGGTTTTGAGCCGTGTGATTATGCATTTTCTGGAGCAATTACATCGTGTGCTGCGCTTGGAGCATTGGAGCATGGACGCCAGCTCCATGCTCAACTAATTAGTTTGGGGTTTGATTCAAGCCTTTCAGCTGCAAATGCACTTATCACAATGTATGCAAGATGCGGAGTTTTCGAGGATGCGAACTCTGTGTTTCTTACCATGCCTTATATTGATTCAGTGTCTTGGAATGCTATGATTGCAGCTCTGGCACAACATGGACATGGTGTTCAAGCAATAGACCTTTTTGAAAAAATGTTGAAGGCAGATATACTACCAGATAGAATAACTTTCCTTGTCATTCTATCAGCTTGTAGTCATGCTGGTTTAGTCAAGGAAGGGCGCCATTATTTTAGTTCAATGTGTGTCTCTTATGGTATTAGCCCTGATGAAGGCCATTATGCTCGCATGATTGATCTGTTGTGTCGATGTGGGGAGTTCACAGAAGCCAAGGGCTTGATTGAATCGATGCCTTTTGAGCCAGGTGGACCGATTTGGGAGGCTCTTCTTGCTGGTTGTCGGACTCATGGGAATATGGATTTAGGAATTCAAGCAGCAGAACGACTCTTTGAGTTGGTGCCACAACACGATGGAACTTACATACTTTTGTCAAACCTGTATGCCGCTATAGGCCGTTGGGATGATGTGGCTAAGGTGCGGAAACTAATGAGAGATCGAGGGGTTAAGAAAGAGCCTGGTTGTAGTTGGATTGACATTGAAAACATGGTCCACGTCTTCTTAGTTGATGATACTGAGCACCCTGAGGTCCAAGCCGTGTACAAATATCTTGAGCAACTAGGACTTGAAATGAGGAAGTTAGGATATCTCCCTGACACAAAGTTTGTGTTGCATGATATGCAGTCTGAGCATAAGGAGTATTCCTTGTCTACTCACAGTGAGAAGCTTGCAGTTGCATTTGGGCTCATGAAGCTTCCTCTCAGAGCCACAATCAGAGTTTTTAAGAATCTTAGGATTTGTGGGGATTGCCATACTGCAATTAAGTTTATGTCAAGAGTGGTTGGAAGAGACATAATTGTGAGGGATGCAAAGAGGTTTCATCATTTTAGGAATGGTGAATGCTCTTGTGGCAATTACTGGTAATCTGGCCCGAGCTTGTAAAGAGAATCATGATGCAGATCATGATTCCACACAATCAGCCCATTCCATGAAATCAGTCGATCCCACTAATTAGCATTGACAGACTCCCCATCACAAGATCAGCTTCATCCCAGCTAGGAATTAGTTTACAATTGATTCTGTAATATATGAGATTAATTATACTTACCTTATATTACTTGCCTTCTGTAAATAGACTTGAGAAAGTCTAACCCGTGTACAATATATATACAGCTATAATACAAGAACTGATCATGTTGGTCTGTGCAATTATTCTTCAGCTCTGTTTCTCATCTCTCTTCCTCTTCAGTTTATTATTCTTATAGCTTGATGGGAGGAGGTTTTATAAATACTTGGCAGGTTGATTCCCTCAACCACCAGGTGAAGCTTTGTGATTTCGGAAGTGAAAAAGTTCTGGTGTGTTTGTCTCATGACATGATTGAATGCAAGTGTAAATCATGACATTTTACACTTGCATTCAATCATGTCATGACACTACGTTTTAGAACTTAGAGGCAGATGATGGATAATCTTTTCTTGTTGATAAACCAATAGTCAATCACCTGTCCATTTGGTGAAATTTAATGCATGGCTTCAACACAAGATATTAGTACTTGTTTGAGTTAATGTCTGTCTATACGTCAACCACCTTTCTTTTTAAAGGCTTCATGCTAATAGAGTTGCTATGTTCCTAAGAAAATCAGTTACCTTGTATGATTTCTTTTCAATGATTTTCTTGCTAATCAGGGTCGAGAGAGAAGCAAAAATTTCAAACATATGTTCTCGTCGCTATCAGGCTCCTGAACTAATCTTTGGTGCAAAGAATACTCAACACCCATTAATGTCTGGGCAGCTGGTTGTGTCCTGGGAGCTTCTAGAATGCGGAGGTTATTATGAGGAGGTTATGTGCGGAATGATAACAACCGTCAGTTTCAAATGAATGGTTCAGATTTAAGTGGGAAGTTTTGTTACAACCGGGTTAAAATTACCCATCACAAAATGAGCAACCCGGAACTTCTCTCTCATATCTCCTCTTTTCTTTGAAACAGAGGTCCAAAGTCCTATGTCTGAAACTTCCTCTGAAGACAAACAATAGCTGCCCCTTTCCAACTTCCAGAAGCCGAATTTGCTACTCCGAAAAGAAAAAAACGAAGACACTCAACTGTGGAGAACACTGCTGAAGGAGAAGGAACAAGGGTTGAAACCCACAACTCAATTCTTTCACTGGTATGTGATTTTTCAGCCCTATTGCAAACCCTTTTATTCAAAAAATATTCTGTTTTGTTAAACCCCTGTCATTAATGTTGCAGAAAATGGTTCATCATTACCCATTACAACAACCATAACCTGAGAGCTCTCTTATTCTGTCTTTGTATCACAAAAATTCTTTGCAAGATCTTCATAGTAGAGAGAGAAGAAGAAAAAGAGACACATGATATGTTGAAAGAGCCTCCAATAGTCTCTCACTCGCCTAACTTTGCACTCCGTTTCTGAACAAGTAAAACCCAAGTTTTCAAGAACTTGCAGTACTCTTCTTCAATCCAACTGTGATGGTAAGTTAAACACTCCAAAACCACTTCTCTTTGTTTCTTTGTTTCACTAATTTTGCTTTTAATGTTTTCCAATTTCTTGTAATTATTATTATTTTTTGTTCTCTTTTGTATTTATATTTCATTTGAAAATTGATTTTTACAGTTTTATTTTATTTTCATACATAAATATTTTTTCTTGCGTTTAACCCCTTATTGCTTTGGGTTTTATTATGATGCCTTTAGTATATTGGGTTTAAGCTTTGTTGAATCAATAATTAATAAGTAATGAAAATAACAACACGTTAATCTAATGGTGATCTTTATGGGTCTTGCATACATACAGTAAAAACAAGTTCTCTAAAAATATCTTGGGTTTGTCATGCCTCAATTTATTTTATGATTTTTTAATAATTGATAATCTACTACAGGTTGACACAAGTTTGCATCTTAATTTTCTATATGTGCTCTCATGGAAAAGTTTAATTGAATCAACATGGAGGAGACAATAAAAGGAAAGCAAAAAACGCAAGGGATCAATTTTGCTCCATAACATAGGGGAGTTGCATTCAAATTCTTGGATTTGTTGCCGGTAAGTTTTTTAATTTTTTATATATTATAAATGTCTTTGTTTTCAACTAATGATGGTAAAAAATTTAAATTGCTTTCATAATTATTTTGTTTTGTTTTAGCTATTTCTGAAATGTTTGATTCAAATGTTATCTAAGGTGTCAATAATCTGTGAGTAAATGGTTGGGGACTCAGAGGAGAATGATGATTGTGTAATGGCTGATGAAATGATTTACATACCTGAAGTCAGAAATGAGGAAAGACCAAAAGTTGGAATGAAGTTCGATTCACTTGATTTCGTTTATGATTTCTACAATAGATATGCGTTATTGGCTGGCTTTAGTATTCGACGTCATTCTAGCGGGAAGGAAAAATACAGTAAAGAAATTCTAAGAAAAGAATTTGTATGTTGCAAACAAGGCATGTTTAAAAAAGAAGAGCCTAGGGTGATAAAAAGACACCGAGGGATAAGTAGATGTGGTTGCAAGGCTAGGGTTGTTGTTGTAAAGGTTTCTGGGTGTAAGCAGTATGTTTTCTCTCTTGTTGTAGAGGGACACAATCATACGATGACACCCCCAGAAAGAGTGCATTTTATGAGATCACACCGTCATATTTCAGAACCTGCAAAGCTACTCACAAAACAACTTGGTTCAGCTGATATACCTACTCATAAAAAGATGAGTATTTTGGAGGTGCAATCTGGAGGAATGGAGAAAATTGGTTTTACCAAAAAAGATATTTACAATTTCGAATATTATGAGAGTGGCCTAATGAAGAACCATGATGTTGAATTGGTGACTGAGTATTTTTTAGCTGAACAGAAAAACAATAGATCATTTTATTTCAAGATTGAGGGAGATTCCAATGACAGGCTTACTCGATGTTTTTGGGCAGATGCAACTTCTAGACGAGCATATGGGTTTTATGGAGATGTTGTCGTGCTCGATACCACATTCAACACGAACCGATATGGCTTGCCATTTGCACCAATGTTGGGGGTTAATAACCATGGTCAGACAATTGTTTTAGCTTGTGCATTTTTAAGTAAGGAAACGACTGAGTCATTTATTTGGATGTTTGAGGAGTTTAAGAAAGCCATGCCAGGTGGTGAGCCAAAAATGATCATTACAGATCAAGATGCAGCTATGGCTAGAGCGATTTTTGAAGTATTCCCCACTACATTTCATCGACTTTGTATATGGCACATCACAACCAAGTTCTCTGATAAACTACCACGGGCTGCTTATGAGGAATATTGGAAAGAGTTTAAGGAAACCATCTGGGAGATTGACAATATAGATGAATTTGAAGAAAAGTGGCATGCAATCGTTACAAAATCTGGTTTGACTGACCATCCATGGCTGAGTTCAGTTTTTGATTTGCGAAAATCATGGGTTCCAGCCTATGTAAAACATGTTTTTGCCGCAGGAATGTCAAGCAGTCAAAGAGCAGAAGGCTCTCATGCATTTTTCAAGCAATATATATCAAGGAGAAATTCATTAATGGATTTTCATAACACGATTTCAAAGGGCACTTTCCCATCAACGTCAAAATGAGTTACTTGCTGATCACATTGATGCATTTGAAAAGCCTCAATGTGCTCTATTGATGACAATGGATAAACAAATGGCTGAAATATACACAAAGGCAATGTTCCAAAAGTTTGAACAGGAGCTAATGCAAAGTTTACGGTGTTTATGGAACTGAAAATGGATGACGCTTCCAAAGCTATCTATAAAGTGAGTGAAAGGAAAAGGGGGAAAACAAGAGTGAAAGAAGTTGTATATGATAAATATTCTGATCAATGGTCGTGTAGCTGTAAAGGATTTGAATTTATTGGAATTCTTTGTTGCCATGCACTGGCATTGTTAAAAAGGGAGCAAATTGAATATCTGCCCAATAAATACATTTTGAATAGATGGAAGAAAACTGCAAAATTTGGATTTGTGTCAGATTCAAATGGCAATGAAATTAAAGATTGTGAGAACAATTCTCTCCTAATAAAGCGAAGTAGAATGTCCAGACTTGCTTCAGATGTAATTGAGCATGCCTTAATGTCCGAAGAAGGTTGTGAGCTATTGTCGAATAATCTAAACGATACGAGGGTGACGTTGGAGTTATTGAATGATGGGGTTGGTCCTAGTGAAGTTGGAGGGTCCAGCTCCCAAACACGATATTTGAAGGACCCTAAGAGAGTAACACACAAAGGAAGCTCGAAACGAGTCAAGGGAGCAAAGGAAAAAGAGAATGGAGCGAGGGATCCGACATTGTCAGCAGTGTGGACAAACTAGTCATGATATAAGACGATGTCCAAGAATGGCGAACACACGTAAGATTGTACAAATATTTATAAATAATAGCTAAAATTCCAAGTGGTTTATTTTATTGTAATATTATGCTTGGTGTTTATGCAGGACATCCCCGTCAAACAATGAAGAATCAACTCCGATCAATCTTAGTGACCCGTTATTCGATGAATTTGATAGCATGCACGGACCTACCAAGTGATTATGTTTTTACTATACGAAGCTCATCAATATTGGTGAGCATTTTGAAATATGATTCAATATGAAGAAATCTTATTATTTTGTGTTGTTCGTTTTGTATCAGATTTTGTGTTTTTTTTCTTGATTGGTTTTGGTTTTCTTTGAAGTTTTTTTGTTTCTCGATTGGTGGTGTTAATTTTTTGGAGCCTTTCTTTCTTGCTTTCTTTGGCCTTTGTATTTTTCTAATGTTAGGTGTTTTAGGATTTTTCTTTCTTTTAAATAATCTCCCTCTTGAGATATTTGACAATTCTTTTTTATGGCAGTTGGACCTAGATTTTTGGCTTATGGAAGATTGTTGTCGTTGAGAACCTTCATCAATTTGGCTTTTTTTATGACAGTTGGACCTATCAACTCTTAATTTTGACAATGCGCATGAAAGGCTGTCACATCCTTTTTTGAGAAAAGACATTATATACATTCGGTGTATATTGTGTATTTTCGTCTATTGCTTGTTATTGCAAGCTTATTAATTGTGTATTGATTGTTCATTGTCTTTGTATAGCCATATATTGCCTTTTATGATAATACATGGAGGGAATACAGTGGCAATATAAAGGCAATTAGGGGCAATGCAGTGGCAAAATGAAGGCAATTGGAGGCTATATAGTGTCAATACTAGGGCAATAGGAGGCTATACATTGGCAATACAAAAACTCCAATAGTCCACGATTTTGTAAACATTGCTATCTGAAGGATACATGAAATTTGTGATAAGGTTATGAGATTATTTTGTACTAGTTATATGTTGTTTGTATTTGTTCTTCAGCTACCTTTGCTATCTTTCTTTATATTATATGTTTGTGGAATCCCTCAAAGTAAACATATACTGAGGAAAAAAAAATTAGAGTGAAGATATAATCACTCATATAGACAAGGAGAAATATTATGTGATTGGACAATGCTTCTGATTGATGTGTGAGGCTTTTCAAAAAAAGTACACCATCATTTTATGTGATTGGACTGATAGAGATACTTTATGATTCCCCATGCGGCGTCATATTGACAACTTATTGAACACCTTTGACGTGTTCAAAGATTTAGACACACGCACCCATGATGACTTCAAACCATTGTCCAATATTATATATATAGATTATTATAACAAAACAGATACTTTTACAGCCTTATATATGAAAGGAAACTAATACTTGTATTGTTAAAAATTAGATAAGAACATTAAGGAAATATACTTGTAATTTTGGTTATTGCAAAATATATTTTTATGGTTGAAAGGAAAGTGAGTTATCAAAAAATTCCTGAACATTCACGGGAGATGCTTGTTGATGTAGGGTTATTGAAGTTGAAGTTAACAAGGATATATAACTAGGGTTGAGAGGAAAGTGAGTTATCAAAAGGCATTTGTATTTTTTCATTATGAAATGGATGATTTATAGCTTCCCCAAGTTTTATAACGTCACAAGGAGTTCCTAGGAATTTTCGGTGTATTTTTTGGATTTTTAATTTATTTATTATGAATTTTAGAAGTAAAATCAAGAAAAATAATATTAAATATAATAGGCAACACGTGGCAGAAACTAAAGGTGGCGCCGTCAGTGTTTTCCAAAAGGTGGTGTAACACGATTGCACCACATGTCATTTTGATTAATTTTTCAAGTTTATCTTTATAAAAAAAAATTAAAAATAAATCATAAAAATACACCCAAAATTGCTACAAATCCTCATGACATCATCCTCGATTATGGAGATCCAAAATTATGATTTCACATATTTGAGTTCAAGGTAGTCCTTGGATCAAAGAACATGAGTGTTAAGTTACAAAACATCAACTAGTGGTTTATATTGTTTTAAAATAAATTTGAGTTTACATTATCACTTTACATTTTTCTAAGTGAAAATTTTGCTTTTATAGTTTGAGGGTGTAGAGAATGTCACAAGGAGTTCTTAGGAATTTTTGGTGTATTTTTTGGATTTTTAATTAATTAATTATGAATTTTATAAGTAAAATCTAGGAAAAATAATATTAAATAGTATATGGCAACATGTGGCAGCAGCTGAAGGTGGCATCGTCAGTGTTTCCAACAGGTGGCGTACCACGATTGCTCCACATGTCATTTTGATTACTTTTCCAATTTTATATTTTAAAATTCTTTAAAAAATAATTAAAAATCAGAAAAATACACTGAAAATTGCTAAAAACTCCTCAAGATATCGTCCATGATTATGGAGGTCTAAAATCATGATTCACGTATTTGAGTTTAAGGTAATCGTTGGATTAAAGAACATGAGTATTATGTTATAGGACATCAACTAGTATTTTCAATTACTTAGAAACAAAGTTGAGTTTTTGTTATCACTTTACATTTTTATAAATAAAAATTATATTTTTAGAACTTGATGACGTAGATAATGTCACAAGAAGTCCTAGGAATTTTCGGTGTATTTTTTGGATTTCAAATTAATTTATTATGAATTTTAGAAGTTAAATTCAAGAAAAATAATATTAAATCATATAAGCGACATGTGGCAGCAGCTGAAGGTGGCGCCGTCAGTGTTTCACCCAACAAGTGGCGACCCACGATTGGTCTATACCCTTTAATATTATTTTTCAAGTATTTAAATTTTAAAATGCATAATAAATAAATTAAAAATCATAAAAATACACTGAAAATTACTACAAACTCCTCACGACATTATCCTCGATTATGGAGGTCCAAAATCATGATTTAACATGTTGGAGTTTACAGTAATCGTTTGACCAAATAACTTGAGTGTTATGTTATGAAACATTAACTAGTGTTCTAGATTATTTAGAAACAAAGTTAAGTTTTTGTTATCAGTTTATATTTTTATAAGTGGAAGTTATATTTTCAGAGCTTGAGGACATAGAGAATGCCACAAGGAGTTCATAGGACTTTCTGATGCATTTTTTAGATTTTTAATTTATTTATTATGAATTTAGAAGTTAAATCCCAAAAAAATAATATTAAATTATAGGGAAATCACACGTGGCAGTCCCTAAAGGAGAGCTGTCATTGTTTTTGACAGATGGCGTCCTACGATTGCGCCACATTTATTATTATTATATTGTTATTTATCCTAAATTATTATTATATTATTTGGATCATGAATTATTATTATATTATTATTTACCTAAATTATTATTATATTGTATTTAACCCTAAATTATTATTATATTCCTTTTTACCATAAACTATTATTATCTACCCTTAATTATTATTATATTAGTTTTTACCCTAAATTATTATTATATTTCCTTTTACCCTATATTATTATTATATTGCCCACCTCTGTATCAAAATTTTTGTTTTATTATATATTGCCTTTTATCCTAAATGATTATTATTTTGCAATGTCACGTGGATTAAATGAAAAAAATATATTTTAAACATAATTTAAATTAAAAAAATTTGTATTACAAGCTAAAAGATTTTTTTTAATTTAAAATTTATTTTTTAAAAATAAAAAAAAACACCTACCCTCCCACCCTCCTCCCCCTCCGCCCACCCCAACCCCCCTTTTCGCTCGCTCTCTCCCCCTTTTCCAAGCCACAGTGCCAACAACCCCGAAAAAAAAAACAAAAAGTGAACCTGCCCCATCCCATTTTTCTTTGTTTTTTAAATCACAACCCTAGCCCCTTCCCAACCCCTAACCCCCTACCCCCCCAGACAACCATACACTTATGAGTACACCCCCAAATTGCTTCTGCTCTTACTTCTTCTGCCTTCAAAAATCTTCCAGATCAACTTGTATTGGCTCAATATGCATCTCTTGGAATATTATCTTGTCCCACCAAAAGAAAAAAAATACAAATATGGCTAAAACACAAACCCAGAAAGAATGCTTTTCATATTTCATTTGAAAAAAAGAATTATGAGGGAAAAATCAAAATAGAAAAAATGGGTATGATTATTAATCAAAATAGAAGTTGATGATGAAAATGGTACATGAACATTTCTTTGAAAAATTTGGTGGAAAATCGGAATCTGTAAATAATAAAATAAAAGAAATATTAGAAAAAAAAACAGGGAGGAAATTCATTCATCCCAGCCCACCCCACTACCTCCCCTCGATTCTTACTACCGTAGCCAGGTAGCTACACCTCCACCACGACCATCGCCAGCCAACTGAGAAAAAAAAAAACCAGCGAAGCCATCCCATCCCCAACCCAACCATTCTCTCTCTCTCTACAGAATGTTCTCAAGAACCCAGCTATTCTACAAAAATTTGACAGAGCAACTAGAGATCTATAACAAATAGAGCCCCACTGCACAGATGAACACAGAAACAGAGTCCCCCAAATCAAAATGAAAATGCTAACTATGACATTAAACCAAGAAAAACATGAAATCTAAACAATACTTAGATCTGATCCAAAAAAACAAAAAATAAAAAGCAAAGTTTGGCAAATGCATTCCTTTGTCGGTATCTGATTTTTCATGGGTAAGCCGTTAGTTCAGCCAAGCCCATCTTCGGCAAGGTTGCTTGGGAGGGTTGCGAGCTTCCATCTTCGGCAAGGTTGAGGTCGAGTTCAGCTAGAAACGAAAGGAGGCATCCTTCGAGGCCCCACTGTCATTTGCCCGACCCTTGCATTCGGCAAGGGTGGAGTGAAAATTTCGGTGGTTGTGAGTTCAGAGGGGCTCCTTTGTCGGTATCTGATTTTTCATGGGTAAGCCGTTAGTTCAGCCAAGCCCATCTTCGGCAAGGGTGCTTGGGAGGGTTGCGAGCTTCCATCTTCGGCACGGTTGAGGTCGGGTTCAGCTAGAAACGAAAGGAGCATCCTTGAGGCACCACTGTCATTGCCCGACCCTTGTGTTCGGCAAGGGTGGAGTGAAAAATTGCCGGTGGCTGTGAGTTCGGAAGGGGCTCCTTTGTTGGTATCTGGTTTTGGTGAAACTGGCTGAGAGAGAGAAGAGATGGGTTGTAATTTTTGTGATGGGTAATTTTAACCCGGTTGTAGCGTAAAGAGGATATTAATGTTAGCCTTTGATCAATCTAACGGCCCAGTAAGTAGTCTCCGTAAGTAACCTCCGCACAAAATCTCCGCATTGTAGTCTCGCCGGTTGTGTCCTTGCTGAGCTTCTTCTGGGCCAGGTTATCGACTGCTTGGCTTATTGTTGGCCTAAGTTAACTTGGGTTCAAGAATATTTACTTTTTAACTGATCAAAACAATTCAAAGTCTTCTACAGCCATTGTTTCCAGGAGAGGATGCAGTGGACCAACTTGTTTTTCATAACTTTTTTAATTACAAATACCTACATGAGCAAAATAAACATGAAACTAACTAGATTAGATTGGATTCTCACAAGCAAATCCACCATCCAATTATATCAGTTTTAGAAATTAGGGATCCAATCCAATCCATTAAATCATCAAAACCAATTAAAATAGAATTGAATTGAATCGGCCAATTTGTGAAGATTAGATTGGATTAGATCTTGTACACCCTAGTTAGTACATCCCAAGTTGTAGACAAAACTAATTAGGTTAGTTAGTCTTTGAGCCAAATGATTATGTTCTCTATAAAGAGAAGCCTCTCAAATTTTGCCCACGTTTGGTAGACTAGAGCACAACATATGCTCGATGCAGCATTATATCAATATTCAAATCACAACAAATATTATGTATGGGAGGAAAACAAGTGACTCACTAACCTCAAGCCACTCCAATGTGTCACATGGGGTTTAGTTAAGGGCCACACACATATCGGCTTCTCATCAATTCAACACTTTTGTAACCGTCGATACTTAAAGGGTCGTTTAATAACCATTTCATTTTCATTTTTAGTTTTCATTTTTCATTTTTTTTTGTTAGAGTATAGATTCATTAGAAAATGTTCTCATGCGAGACGGTGAATTTGAATTTCGTATGAATGTTTAAAATTCATGAGCATCTATCTAACCATGTAAATCTAATAAGACAACATTACTAACTAATTACAGGTTTGAAGAAGAACAACTAAAACTCATGTTGTCCAGTACGGAGATATGAGTCATAGGCAGGATTTCCTCTTTACTTACATGGGTGGAGATCCTGCAGCTCATGGCTGTACTTCTACCAAAGATGCTTCTTCTTCACCATCAATCTCAGGGGTTGTTGTCAATGTGACGCGACCCTCCTTTATTTGCAACACAAGGCATGCTGTTATAAATTATCTTATAATATGCTTGCATCATATATATATGTACAATCTAACAACAGCAGGATATGTTGAATTTTCTAGTAAGAGAAAATTTCCGTTTTGAAACGTTTTTCGTACGAGTCATTTCCTTCTGATTTTCAGTTCCAAAGAGCTCGAAGCCTCGAACTGGCTCTCAGGAGAAAACGGAAGCTCAAAAGCAGTCCCAATCATCTACAAGGCAGCCCTGCACGCCTAAGTTCCTCCCAACTCCAAATACACTACACAAGTGTCAATTATTTGTGCTTATCAATTTACTATTATAAATCAATAATACTAAAGACACCAATTTACTACAACTTTCTTTTTTTTATATAAATGAAACGGGGGTTTTTTTTTCTTTGAGAAGAGAGATTTTTATTGCACAGAACAAAATCGGAACAGGAACAAAACAGGAGTGGCCAAGGAAGGCACACAAACCCCAAACAAAAGGAAAACAACTAAACAACCTATGTGGATGAAACTAAAGTTGATATCCTTAAATTCTGAAGAAGTTGATGCCCACAATGACGCCCAGAAATGAATCCGATCCCAAAGCTGGTCAATCTCATCACCCTTAGCATCATCAAAAAATTCTCTTGTTCCTCTCCATCCACACCACCCGAAACACTGCCATCATAGGAGTTACCAACATATGGAAGGAAATACACATGAGCTATTGCCAACATATGCAATGCTGGGGTCACAGTGGAGAAAATGGTTGCAGCCTCACATCAAACTCGTTTTGAGAAACCCCATCTCTAGTTTCTTTTCTTTTTCTCCTAAATTGAATGAAGTATTAATAAAAATTCAAGCATATGACAGCTTAGTTTTATGTTATCTAAAGGAGATTGAAAATTTAGCCAATCACAAACCATATACAGACATTGAAATTCCATACGTTATTATTACAAATCAGAGCTTAATGATTCAACCAATAAGAATACCATCACTGAATGAAATCCCTGAAAACATAAAATGTCTTTAAAATGACAAGAACAAAATCAAATATTTGGAATTATTATTTCTCTATCAGCACAATTTAAGAAGTTGACAAAAGATAGTCTGGTACAGATGAAACATGTAGAAAAACAAATATAAGTAACCAATGAACATTTGTTGGTAAAATGCTTTTGCTTTATTATTTGAAAATACTATCTCTCAGATCTTGCCCCAGAGGAATTGTCAAAACATCATCCGAGTAAAAAGTTGAGAAACAGAACAATAAGTACAAAGAGAATCAAGGATTTCCTCAGAATTGTTTTCTTATTAAAACGCGCAACAGTTTGCAATCCATACCATTTTAGGAAGTATAGTTAACCATCGTTTTTTCCCTGTTCGGGAATCATAGCTATTGTATTTCTCTCTTGTGTAACCATGAGATGTCTTTAAGATATCAATTTATCAAAATTTCAGGTCAAAAGTTACTCACACGAAAAGCAGGCTGCAATACACAAGTTTACCTTCCAGGAGTGGTTATCCTGAGTTCTATCCAAACTGCTCCCAATAATGCTAACCAGTTACACTGCCAAAAGTAACACAGATTTCAAAATGTGTTTCCAAAATATGAAAAAAGAAGAAAAAAACATAGTGCAGGTGGTCTTTCAGTAACTTCCGAAGAGCATAGTTCATTTCAAAAGTCAAAGGAAATCTATCGAAACTATCACCAAAAATGAGGGAAATTATTAAACCAGTTGGAATAAGAACAGAAACTCACAGTGAATCCATGAAATGAAGAAACCAGCGTGACTGACAACTGACTTTGAGAAATGTTTCTGGACTTGGCCAGTCATTCATGAACATAGCAACTATTTGTTTGTTGGAGTAGTCTTTCCCTCGTAGACACCGGCAGAACCACTGTCAGATTAGCAATGCAAGGCAGTTGCAGGGTAGTTACTCACCTCCAATTCAGATTCACCATTACTCTTCACTATTACTATTCTGTGCTTCGTAGAGCAAGTTACCAGCCCTAAACAACTGATGTTTAAGAATATGACTAAAGCGGGGGCTTTCGCATGGTGCTGTCCAAAATGCCAATCTAAATAGGGCAGTTGTTTAATTATTCAGTAGCAAAAGCATAGCTGGTTTCTAACGTAATATTCGAGCCACTTGAATTTTCCACTGAAGTTTCTTTGCTTCATCTGTATACCCTGAACTACGAAGACCAGCAAGGACAGCTCGTTTGGTAGCCCTGAGTATTTTCTTGCCATCTTTTAAACATTTCATCATAAGCTTGGATGCACAACGGAACCTTCCAGCCCTGCAAAGATTGTGCACCAAGGAGGTGTAGGTAACAGAGTCTTTAGTCTCCATTGATTTGTACAATTCCATTGCACGATCAATATGACCAGCTTTACACAACCCATCAATCATGCAGTTGAGGGCAACCAAGTTTTCATGGAAGCCCATCATTTTCATATAATGTAAATGGTGTTGAGCCCCAGTAATATTACCAGCTTTACACAAGCCATCAATTATAATTGTGTGGGTATACTTGTCACACAGCAGACCTCCCTTCTCTATTTCATCCAACAACTTATAGGCAGCTTCAAACTTACCTTCTCTACAATACATATTAAGTAAGGTGTTATAAGCTGCTAATCGAGTTCAATGCCATTACTCATTACCTGTTCCATGCAAGCATTTGCCTCTTCTATCCTCCCAGTCTTAACTAAAGCAGCAACGATTGTGCAGTATGCAAAACTATCAAATGTATACCCTTTACTCTTCAACTCCAACATAATATCAAGCCCTTTGTCATACAGCTTAGACCTAAAGCAGCATTTCATAACTGTAGTGTAGGTTATGGCATTTGGCTCAAGATCTGATTCCCCAAGTTCCCTTAGCATTGTCCTTGCTTGCCGCAATCTGCGTGCCTTGCATAGCCCATTGATAAGAATATTGTATGTCACTAATTGGGGAACAAAACCATGACGTTGCAAATTTCTAAATAACATAAGGGCATTATCAATGTATTCATTTTTACAAAGGCCATTAATCATTATGTTAAAGGTAGCTGGGTGAGAAGCGAGATTGCTAAGTAAAATATCCTGAAATACTCTGTTGGCTTCATCGGGTTTGCCCAATTTAAAGAAACAATTCATCAGAATATTGTAACTCCATACATCAGGATGTATACCTGCTTGTAGCATTTCCTCAAACAAATCCAGGGATTGTGATAATAAACAATCCCTGGTCGACCCAGCTATCAAAGAATTGTAAGTAATGACATCTGGACTTATCCCAACTTCTTTCATTCTATGAATAACAGAATAAGCTGCATCTAAGCTAACATACCGAGAATATGCACTGACCAAAGTATTGTAAGTTACCACATCTGGAATCACCCCTAATCTTACACCGTCAATTATAATGGCTTCTGCTTTCTCCAGTAGCCGGACTTTACAAAATGAAGCTATGCATATGTTCAACAGCTTAGTTGATAATCCACGAAACATCATTTACATCACAGATAATGACTTCCCAAGAGAAACCCAAGCCTGCACGATGCCAAGACGGAATGTGTTACCACAGATTCCTTTCTTATCAGTAAACAACCAAATAATCTATAAGACTGTTATCCGAACCAGTGTTTTTAAAGGCATGCGTCGGAGAGAGAAGGCAGAAAATCGCCCGAGGCGGTCGGCTGTTTAGCGCGGGGAAGGCGTAAGGAGGCGTTGCAAGGCGTGGCCAGGCGGAGCGAGGCGAGCCCGATCTGGACACTTCTGAACCGGAAGAAATTTTGCGAGTCTGCAAATTGGCTGCAACTCCGCGAGGATGCCCTGTTTGTTTTTAAGGTTATTGTTATGAAACGACGTCGTTTCGATTGCAGGGTTTTAAAAAAAAAATTCTAAATGAAACCACGTCGTTTCACTTGGAGTGTTTTGATGAAGGAAAAAAAAAGGTAGGTTTCTGTTTTTGTTTTTCTCTTACCTTTATTGTAATAAACTTAAGGCAAGAAGAATTAATATCTTTCATGCCTTTTGTAGCTTTATTCTACTGACCTTTTTTTATTTTATTTTTTATACTAAATTAATATATTAATATATGGACTTATCTATATATATATAAAGTAAAAGGTAGAGAATGGTGAAACACTCAAAATACTAGAAAATGCCCTTAGTTAATTCAAAAATTAAGAATTGAAATTATTAATTAAATGATGATAATATGGTATTCACATTTTTATATTAAAAAAATTAAAATTAAAAACGAAATCATATAATAACTACCCATGTTATCTTTTCCTAATACTAAAATAATAATAAATAAAAAACCAATTGGCAGGAGCTAGTGTGTATATATATATATATATATATATCAGTTCCAATGCAGCGTAGTCTAAATAATTTAGATTATATCCAATAGTATCTAGATGGTACAGCCTCGTCCTCCACTCTAGAACGAGACCTAGAGTTAGAAAAGGCCATGATTGATTTCAAACTTGAGTCCCTGAGAAAATCTTCTCAAGTAAACCAACCTTGTTATGGCAAGGTACCAATCCAGGATGACAAGTCCGATTCACCTGAGTCACCTACACAATCTGACTTCTTAGTTGAAAATTTTGCAGCAGTTGATAATCAACTTAGAACCCTTAATAAAAAATTTGAGATTAATTGGAAACGCTTAAATCATCATCTCAAGACCCCAGAAAATTAGCATATGAGAAATAGTTATCACCAAGCTTACCCTAACAGTGAAAACCGTCAAAAAATCTTTAATGAATGGAAAGATTATATGCGGTTAGCCAAAGTTGAAATTTTCTACCTTGATTTTATTGAAAGCCGCTACATGTCTAATGAGTTAAAAACTCTAACTAAAGAAAAATGGAAAATGGTAGACAAGTCAGAAGTTGAAGCTAGTCATCCCCCAGTTGACACCATAATCATCAATCATAAGAATACACCTATGCCTGCTAGCCCCTTCAAAGCCTTTGAAAGCAATGATACTAATAGAAGACTAATTGAGCAGAATAATTATACCAATCAGAGTCTAATTGTCATAGGGAAACAACTGGATACAATTGAAACTAAGATTGACAAGATAAGTCCCCCAGAAACTAAGTTTAAACCAAAAATTGAAAAACCAATAGTTCAGTTCCAGGATCTTAAGTCAAGCCCCACGCTTAAGATTAAACCTACAATAAAGAAAATTGAAGAAATGTTAGAACAGTTGACCCCAAGTAAAGCTGAAAAATCTGGTCTTAAAACACTAGATTCTTTTGCAATCACGAACCCCTCTGAGTCTGAACCTGAGACAACAGAATCCGAAACTAGTAATATTTCAAAATTAGAAAATGCTTTCAAAAATCTGGAAGTCCAAGTTGAACCCAAAATCAAAAGATTAGATAGACACATAAGCCCTACTAGCTTAACCAAAAATTGGTACCCTAGACCAACTCCTCCAGATATTCAGTTTGAAGAAAGAAACTTCCAAACCCAGTTTTCAGTTTCTTCTGATAAATTGTACGAATGGAATATTGATGGTCTGTCTGAGCAAGAAATCTTTAATAAGTTACAACATATGTCCATGGTTGCCAACAGTTACATCACCAATCACAGTTTCAGACAATCTGAGATTGTACCCCTGTTAGTTACTGGGTTTACCGGTACTCTCAGGTATTGGTGGGATAAGCACTTAACCCCTGAGTCCAAAAATCTGATCATTCATGCTGTAAAACTTAATGAAGATGGTCTCCCTATATTTGACGAACAAATAGGTCAAGGTATAGAAGACGGAGTCAACACTTTGTTTTACACAATAATTGAGCATTTCATTGGAAACCCTAGTAATACTACTGCCAAGATCCATGACCAGCTTAGTAATCTTAAATGTCCTAAGTTGTCTGATTTCAGATGGTACAAAGATGTCTTCGTCTCTAGAGTCATGCTTAGGGATGATAGTAATCAACCTTTCTGGAAAGAAAAATTTGTTAATGGTCTTCCAAATTTGTTTGCCCACAAAACACGCACGACCCTGAGTAATGAACAAGGCCATATAGATTGGGATAGCTTAACATATGGAAATATCATAAGTACAATCAACCAAGTTGGTATGAGAATGTGTATTGATTTTAAAATTGGTAGAAAAATACAGTCCGATAGGAAATCAGCTAAATATGAATTAGGAAATTTCTATGAACAGTATGGTCTTGCCAGCATCCCTCCTTCCAGGAAAAATAAGCCTAGTTATCCCAGTCACATTCGAAAACATCGTCATTATTCGCGTAGAAAACATATGGAAATATCATAAGTACAATCAACCAAGTTGGTATGAGAATGTGTATTGATTTTAAAATTGGTAGACAAATACAGTCTGATAGGAAATCAGCTAAATACGAAGTACGTTCTTGCCAGCATCCCTCCTTCCAGGAAAAATAAGCCTAGTTATCCCAGTCACATTCGAAAACATCGTCATTATTCGCGTAGAAAACATATGGAAATATCATAAGTACAATCAACCAAGTTGGTATGAGAATGTGTATTGATTTTAAAATTGGTAGACAAATACAGTCCGATAGGAAATCAGCTAAATATGAATTAGGAAATTTCTGTGAACAATATGGTCTTGCCAGCATCCCTCCTTCCAGGAAAAATAAGCCTAGTTATCCCAGTCACATTTGAAAACATCGTCATTATTCGGGTAGAAAACAATTCTTCCGACATAATGATAATAATCATGAGTTCTATAGAAAAAAGAAATTTTCCCCCAAGAAAAATTGGTCGAAAGCCCCAAGAAGTCAAAAGAATAATCATTCCAAGAGAAATAATGATAAAACCAAAGTCAAATGTTTTAAATGTCAAAAGTTTGGTCATTATGCCTCTGAACGCAAAGTAAAAGATACTATTAAACAGTTGAAAATTACAGATGAAGAAAAAGAAAAGTTGATAAAGGTTTTAGAGTTGCGAGACTCTGAAACAAGCAATGATGAAACCATAGTGGCCAGCTCTGAGTCTGAATCTGACCAGTCTTCAGATTCACAGTCCAGCTCACCTAATATCCAAATTGGTTGTAAAGATAAATGTTGTAATAGATTAAAATCCATTTCTGTTCTTACTAAGCAAGAAGAACAAGAAGAATTATTAATAGATTTAATAAGCAAAGTTGAGAATCCTGAGTTGAAATCTGAGTATTTAAAGAAGTTAAGAAAAGTCATTAGCCAAGAAAGCCCAAGTCAGTCTCCTCCCCAGCCGATTAGTTTAAATACCACTTTAGAAAAATTTGCTAAAAAGAAAGAAATTACCTTACAAGATCTGCAATTAGAAGTAAAAATGGTTAAAAAAGAAATGGTTGAATTAAAACAGATAAGTCATAAATTACAAAATGAAAATTATGCAATCAAGCAAGATTTAGTCCGTCTTATGGAAAAAGAGTCTTCTGAGTCCAAAAGCCAGTCAGAAAGTCCTCACAATTCTGATGACGAACCTTCTGATAGCCAACAAGTTGTAAATTTGATCAAATAAGTCAATTTTAGAAAATGGTATTCGAAAGTGACAATATTTCTCCAAAACTTTGAGTTCAACACAGTTCCCCTATTTGACTCAGGAACTGATCTTAACTGTATTCAGGAAGGTCTAATCCCTACTATGTTTTACCAGAACTCTAGAGAATCCTTAAGCACTGCTTCAAGAAAATCACTCCAGTTAAATTTTGAGTTACCAAAAGCCCATGTATGCCAAAATAAAATTTGCTTTAAAACCTCATTTGTCTTGGTCAAGAATATCACTGACGAAGTCATTCTAGGGTTACCTTTTATTGCCTTATTGTATCCCTTCCAGGTAGACTATGATGGTGTCATTTCTACCTATTTAGGCGAAAAGGTAAAATTTGAGTTTCTATCTAAACTAGAGTTGCATAACCTAAAAGCTTTGCAAAAACAGTCAGTGTCCAAATCAGTACAAATTATTAGAAAAAATAACCAGTTGAATTTTCTTAAAGAAGAAATTAAGTTCAAAAGAGTTGAACAACAGCTTAGCGATAAATCTCTACAGTTGCAAATTCAGCAGTTTGAAAATAAGCTAAAAAATGAGATATGTTCTGACTTGCCTAATGCTTTTTGGTATAGAAAACAACATGTTGTTTGTCTTCCCTATATCAAAACCTTTAGTGAGAAAAACATTCCTACTAAAGCCAGGCCAATCCAGATGAGTCAAGAAATAATGGAGTTTTGTAAAAAAAAATTCATGAGTTGCTTCAGAAGAAAATAATTCGCAAAAGTAAGTCCCCTTGGTCATGCCCTGCTTTCTATGTCCAAAAAACGCTGAGTTAGAAAGAGGAGTCCCAAGATTAGTTATCAATTACAAGCCACTTAATTCAGTCTTAGAATGGATTAAGTATCCCATACCTAATAAAAGAGACCTAATTAATAGATTAGAAAAATTAGTTTTTTTAACAAATTTGATATGAAGAGTGGTTTCTGGCAAATCCAAATAGATGAGTCAGATAGGTATAAGACTGCATTTGTCACTCCTGTCGGTAATTATGAATGGAATGTAATGCCATTTGGTCTGAAAAATGCCCCTAGTGAATTCCAGAATATTATGAATGAGATTTTTAATCCTTACAGTCATTTCTCAATTGTCTATATTGATGATGTTCTCATCTTTTCTGAGTCAATAGAACAACATTGGAAACATTTGCATAAATTCCTTCAAATTGTCAAATAGAATGGTCTAGTTGTTTCTGCTAAGAAGATCAAGTTATTCCAAACCAATATTAGATTCCTTGGTTTCAATATTTGCTAGTCACAAATCTCCCCAATTGATCGAGTCATTCAGTTTGTTGATAAATTTCTTGATCAAATTCTTGATAAAAGTTAACTCTAAAGATTTCTAGGATCTCTAAATTATGTTTCTGACTTTTACAAAAATATGAGAAAGCAATGTAAGCCCTTGTTTGATAGGTTGCAGAGTAATCCTCCCCCATGGTCAACCATCCATACTGAAGTTGTCAAACAGATCAAAGCCCATGTCAAGACACTTCCCTGTCTTGGTATTCCTTCAGTTGATTCCTTTAAGATAGTTGAAACTGATGCCTTTGACATAGGTTATGATGGTATCCTCAAACAAAGAGCCTGTCCAAATTCCCCAGAACAGATTGTTCGCTTTCATTCCGGTACTTGGACCCAGTCGCAATATAATTATAGTACTATTAAAAAAGAAATATTAGCTATTGTATTATGTATTAGTAAATTTCAAGATGATTTGCTTAATCAAAAGTTTTTAATACGAGTTGATTGTAAATCTGCAAAACATGTTTTAGAAAAAGATGTTCAAAACATTGCATCTAAACAGATTTTTGCACGATGGCAAAGCATTTTAAGTATATTTGATTTTGATATTGAATATTTGAAAGGAAGTGAGAATTCAATCCCTGATTTTCTTACTCGAGAATTCCTGCAGGATGCACAATGGCACCCAAAAAAGATAAGCAAAAAGAATCAGCAAAACAACCCAAGCCATCTCAGTCGCTCCGAATCCTTCCCCCATCCATGAGTCAAAATAAGCCAGAAACACCCAAACAGTTGGTCCCTTTTCCTGGTTGCACTCCAATCTCAGTTGCCACACCAATATCAGTTGCTAATAAATTCTCTAGTTTAGGTTCCACAGTTGGCCAAATTCGCCCCAGTTATCAGTCGACCTTAATCTCCAGTTATGATCCTTTTTCAGTTGATCCCTCAGCTAGTCCCTCAGTTGCCTTCAAAAAGACATCTCCCTATTTGCCCAAAAGCAATTTTCACATGTTCGTTGTTGAGCCTGTCTATGATATTAATTCTGATCCAGTTGCCATAGCCAAACACTATTTCCCTCCAGGATTTCATTATATGCCGCCTAGTCCATACAAGTCTCTCAAGTATTATAGTGATATATTACTTGAAACTCAGTCAGTCGAAATTAAGCCGATAAAGGATTGTGATCACCCTGAAATCATCCTTTATCATTCCCTCTATATCCACAAAGTCATGAGTCAAGATTCTTTCAGTAGCCACCCTTATGAGTTGAAAACCTTTCAGTCAAAATTGCAATATAATTATTCTGATTATATTGAAGCCTGGTACTCTATTTTCCTCCACCAATATGAGGACTTTAGTCATTCCTGGTTTATAAATTTTGACAATAAGTTCAAATGCTCCTTTTCCTATGGTTCCTCCACTGATGGGAAAAACATGGTCCAATTGATGAAATTCTTCCTGTTTCAGTCCATGAGCTAATTCACCATTTCACCAAAAAAGCCAAGTTCTCCAAAGTTGATTTATTCTTCCCAAAACAGTTGCTTTTTGTTGCTAAATACAAAGTTCCTTAGATCCTCAAATGGTCCTACAAAGTAACCAAAGATACCAGGATTTTTGCCCGCCAATTCTCTGTTAAATGGTGGGACAAATTCGAAGTTTATATATATATATATATATATATATCCTTACCAGATAATCTCCATCAATTTCAAGAATTCTCTTCATCTTTCGATTGCAATTAAGCCATTTTATTTTCCTCTCTAATTCTTCGAAACTGTAATTTGAAGTTTCATATAATTTTTTTTCAATAATATTAGTTATCTTATTCGTTTATGTGATATAGTAGAAATTTGACATACATGCATCATACTTGTATCTTAGAAATATTAATGGTGTTGTTTTATAGCTATGAATCGAAAAGATCATGTGTGGACGTATGCAAAAGAAATAGAGGGGGGAAAAAAATACTTGAGATGCACATTTTGTGATCAAATATGCAGTGGAGAAATTTTTAGACTTAAGCATCATTTGGGTCAAACTCATCATGGTATGCAACCATGTAAGAAAGTTCCTGAGCGTGTGAAAACCTTAGATTCAATTTCTCAAGATCAAGAATCAACTTCAATCATCCATGTGGCCGCTAATTATCTCTGAAGCCAAAATCCTCCATTTCTAGGTCAATAAATGCATCAAGAGCTCTCAAAGAACCAACTTCAATGTGATGGTCATTGTACCCTATGAGACCGTGAGTGTTAACATACCCTACCTTTGCATTGAATTTATTTTTTTGGTTAGGCATCATCACTTGAAGCCCAAAAATAAAACTCAACTCTCTTACACTAATCCATCAATGAATTCAAAGCAAAACAACAAAAAAGATAGTGGATGATGGCATTAGAGGCGTGGATATGAGACGGGGAGGGATGAGGAGGTTGACATCATGATGAAGATAAAAGAGGGGTGAGACCATGAGGGAGACAGGGAGGCTAAGAGAGATGAGGATACTATAATTTTGGTGTTAAATTCATAAGAAAAATTATTTATATTATCAATATATGTGACAACATCATATAATCAATCTGGTTTGGTTTTTAAGTGGTAAAAATTGAGAAACGAACAGCTTTAAGCCAAAACTAATTTTTCTGGTTTTTTTCCATATCGATTTGGTTCGGTTCATCAGTTCAAATGCCCACCCTTAGTAAAGTACTAAGCCCATGCGAACCTCATTTAAACCGATAAATCAAGCTGAATCGAGTTGAAAAAAACCCAAAAAGAAAAAATTATGTTGACCAAAAAAGTCAACTGAGGCTCAAAAATTAGAACCAATTTAGTCCCATATTTTTTTTTTTTTTTTTTTTTTTTTTTTTTTTTAATAATAGCCAAAATTTATACCCCAATTTCATAAATGTCAGTTTTTATAAAACTTTCAAATATAGCCAAAAACCTATTTAAATTAACACAAATACCCTCAAAATTAAACCAAATAACAAAAAACTTACAAATCAAATAACTCACAACTACAGTGGCCAAGCTTACTCACAATTATGGTGGCCAGTTATGGCGATGAACCCTAAACTCTACTTAAAAACTCAAAACCCCAATTTTATTTCAAGTTTGATGGACTTGACAAATTCAATCGCTTTTCTTTCTTCTCTCACCCTCAAACTAAAATACCATATTTTTCCAATCCTTTATCTGAGGTTGAATAAAATGCTTCTGCATTGTCGTATGTGATTTTTCCTTTTAATTTCAAACTGTATTAATATAATAATATCTCCATTGCACTCTCTTAAATTAAATAAAATGAATTGTGTTTGTATTCTTTTGGAACATAAAAACCAACAGAAGGCAAATATTGTTGCTATTTTGCTGTGTTTCTCTTGATATGGGTTCCATTGTTTTTGGTTGAAGGTTTTTTATTATTAGAAAGGGGAAGTTTTAGATCTACAAAAGTCGAGCAAAAACAAAATGGGATTTTGAATTTCTTCATGGTCAATCTTTGAGGTTCTATGTTTGTGTTTGTGGTGATAATTAAGAAGTAGCATAATTGGGATTTTAGTCTTTGTTTGTGGAAAAAATTCCTATTTTTGTTTTGTTGTTTTAGTAATATAGATAATGCGAAGAGGTTGGTTTTATGGGTAATTATATTTTAATTTTGAGGGTATTTGTGTCAATTTAAGTGGATTTTTGGCTATATTTGAACATTTTTATAAAAATTGACATTTATGAAATTGGGGTGTAAATTTTGGTTATTATTGATAAAAACACCTCACTAAATAACAACTCTAGCACTACTTCTTTTTCTTTTTGGTGAATCATACTCATTCTTCTTGTTACGCCTCATTCTCTCTCCTTTCATATTGTCTCATTTTCCTATTTTTCCCTTCTTTCTACTTCTCTCTTCTTCCTATTTCTCTCTTCTGCACATCTTCCTCTTTTCTCTTCTTCCAAACCGCAAACCGGCCAACCAAACTGAAACCGTATAAGTTTGATTTGGTTCGGTTAGTCAAGCACTAATCGAATTGAATCGGATTGTGTGTAAGTTTCGATTTCAGTTCCAATTTGAGGATAATTGTCAGTCCAGTTCAATTCATCTAGATACTTTATATGAAAATTGAACGAAAGCAGAACGTATACGTAAGTTTTGATTTTAGTTCCAATTCGAGGAATAAACCGGACTGTGCCCACCCTTACTTATATGTGTCACACCTCTTTCTTTCTTACCTCTCTCTCTCCCTCTCTCCCCTACTTCTTTTTCTTTCTTTTCTATCTCATTCTTCAGATAACTCCCCATAATTTTTTGGCCTGATATCTCTCCATTCCTTTTTTTTCCTTTAGATATATAATGTTTCTATGCCATCTCTCTCTGTCTCTCTCTCTCTTCCCAATTATTATTCTTTTTTAAGATTTACGTCAAGTTCTATATCTAGTTTTCCTTTTCATCTCTCTTTGTGCATCTTTTCATATCTCCCTATCTTAATTTGGTTCACGTATCATCACGCTTTTATTTAGCCCTTTTCAGATCTAATCTTACTATAGTGTGCAAGAGATGTGTTTGAACTTTCTGTGATTTTTTGAATATGTATTTTGGTTTGAGTTGTAGAGATCTATTACGTACAAACCTTATAGTGATAAAGAAGTAGAGTACATCAGAGTAGATAAGTGTTGCTGCAAGAAATAGTGTTGTTGCATTAGGTTTAGACTATCGTTCGTATTCCAACAAAAGAAATTATCAAGGTTTGTGTGCCATTTAGAAAGTTGGCATGGACCTCTATGTCATGAACCTTGGAAAAAATTCTATTTAATTAGTAAAAGCGAAGTATCGATTGAGAATATAAGATACATTTATCGTACACATAACAGAGAAAATGTGCACAACAATTTAGATCAATTTTAATAAAAAGTAACGAAGTCCTAATTGATAAAGCTTTAAACTAGGTTCCACTCTCTACATCTGAAAGTATCCTTTTTTTGTTTTTTGAGTACAAGCGATAGTCTAAACTACGAGAGATGGGAGTTTCTCACATACACACAACTAAGATTCCATGAGAGTTCGAACTTGAGACCTTTGGTTTGCCATGGGATTCCTTTTCTTTGTTTCCAAGATTGCAGGTAAATATGGATCATTAGTTGTGTTGACTATCCATAGGATGAAGTCGATACGATTAACAATACATCAGTGTGATTTTGTGATGAACGAAATCAATGGTAGGAAAATATTTGGTGTCACATGCGTACCAGGTGATCAAACTAGTAGAAAAAGAAAACAAAGAAAAAAAGACCAGACCTTGCTTCTACTAGAAAAAAAAAAAAAAAAAAAAAAAAAAAAAAAAAGGAAAAAGAAAAAAAAAAAAGGAAAAAGGAAAAAATTTACTACAAATTATCATGTTCAATAACTTGTGCACCTCTCCAATCCTCACCAGGCTTGACAACCACAGGTACCAGCATTGAAGCAGGGCCAGTGCATATAAAATACTCCTCCCCATATTTCTCATAGAAAGAACCAGGGCTGGATAAGTAGATATCCTCAAATCCCATGCGTATCACCCTATAGAAGAGCTCACGCCCCTGAAATTCACAAACCAATAAGTTAGAAAAAACACAAATTTATTATGTGTATATAAATATGTACAAGAACTAATGTCATTGGTAATTTTCCTTGTCGGACAGTGAATCTGAACTATTGATTAGGTGGTGCGGTCATAATTCCAAGTCACGCAATCCCATAAAAAACTGGCAACTAATTACAATTTTTGATTTTACATCTGGCAAGACTCAATTATTCATTCCTTATGTTTTTGCTGATTTTTTATATTATTTAACGACACATCAAACTCTCGTTCATGAGATTTGAATAGACGGATTGTCACTGGATATATTTTTGTTGATTAGGAGTTAGATTAAGAATATTTAGCAAAGAATGGTTACCTGATCCAGTGTTTCATATTTGGAAGGTGGGGTGTTATAAATTGGCTTGAGTCTCTCTTTAGGAGGGGCAGCATAAACCCTGCTGAGCTTGTTTTTCAAAATGGTGAAAGGCACATCTTGGTGAGTCCAAGAACCTGGCTTTTCTTCAGGCTGAGAACCAAAATCGAACCACCCTGGAGTGTCAACTTTCATTGCTTCAGCAGGAGACAAAATCTCAAAAGGAGAAGACAGTGGAGGGAGTGCAGTGTAAGCACAGCCCTTGAGACCTTGGATCGCCGCCCCACTTCGTCTTTTGAACTTGAAATGGCTGAGTATGGCATTGGTCAGAGTCACTGGCTTCCGGCCTTTGTTTCTCACAATAACAGCCGTTGCCATGCTTACCGGATATAAACTGACGACATAGGTTATGTCAAGTGTTCCACTAGTGCTGCTTAATTCAACCTGCAACAAATCTAAGTGCCAAATCAATGGAAAACCAAGGAAACAAAAACTGTGTCCTCAAATTTCATCATTTCAATATATTCTCGGCTCTCTAGTTTTGTATCTGTGCGTTGTTTTGGTAATTTCATGATCGAAATCTTATGTATTTCTAACAACTAAGGTTTTGGTCATTTTAACTTTTGATGTCTCTGTATTTTTTTGTTTGTTTCAAAAGAAAGAAAAAAAAAAAAAGAAAACAAAAAAAAAAAAAAAAAAAAAAAAAAACTGGAGAGCATCGATGGAATCGGAATCAACATCTTTTACTGTCCATTCAGAAGTGGAAACAAGTGAGCCTTTGGAGCCTGCTTCTGATACATCATTCAAGACCAAACCAATTCCTCCCTTGGCTTTGGTAGAATTAGGATCTTTCCATTGCCTGGAATTGTGTAAAGAACTTCTTGGAAGCCGTCGTCCTTCCAGTACACCTTTGGCTTGTATGAAGTCACATGAGCATTGGGTATTTGAAGCCTTAATGAACTGCCATTTCTGACTCTGAGTTCAACAATGGGGATGTTATCAGACTCCAAGAACTTGATGCCCTTTCTCCCAAATTTTTCAGTAAGGTTCTCCGGCACGGAAACCGTCGGTGCAGAAACAGACTGTGATGAAGAAGCTCTTATCATCTTTGAATTGGGAACAGAGAAGGAAAGAAGAGAAGCCATGAGATAGAGAGAATGAAGAAGCTTTTAACAGCTTCCACACACATTAGTCACTAGTTTGCTAGGCTCATCCTTATTTGCCCACTGTTTTGTCAGGATATTTACTTTGGACTTATGCCACCACTTTTTCTCCTGAGCCCATCTGTCAAAGTTCACACAAATTTCTTTGCCAACTTTAAGCCCGCCAAATATCTGGATTTACTTGGTAAGTTTGTAACTTTCGCAGTAGAGCACTTATCCTTTGTACCCTTTCATACCAATTACAAGAATTACCACTTATATCCTTCATATCCATGACGAGAATTCGACTCTTACCCTCCCTGGCATAAGACCTCCCTACAAACCCCAAAAATTATTAGGATTATGAGGGTAAATATTACAGAATAAGGTAGGAATTACAAGCATACATCTTCACATAAAAACCTCCAGACCTCATATGTCAACGGCCATTTGGTCTAATAACAGAGTCTCTACTTTGTTGAAAGTAATCTTGAATTCAAATCTCACGGACACGACAATTGTTATCCATCCTTATGCACGAATTGGTGTTGACCTTTCAAATAATAGTTGGAGTTGCACATCGATTCATATTCAAAAGTAAAGTAATTCTCTCCCTCATGAATCTTCGTTCAAAAGAAGGCAGCTATCAAATATTGGGTACAAAAATGCAAATAATTAGTGAAAGCATGCCAAGCATTAACCTTAACCATAATTGAGCACAAACCACATATTACAAAACCAAGATGATTTCTGGCATACTTGAAAAGAAAGGGCCAAATACAACAGAAAAGAAAATACATTCAAGCTTCTCACTAAACATGGCTCACATCGTTTCAATCCAAACCTGCCCTACAAGGGCATACCATGATCATTGTTTCAATCCAAACCCCAACAGGGCATACCATGTGTCCATCGTAACAGAAAAGTAGCATTTACAAAGAATGAACTGCAATAATAAGTTTCTTTTTCTCCTAAACAAAATTGTTACTAAAATGGAACAAAAGATCCCTAACATAGAGCAATACAAGCAAAGACAGTCAACTGTCAAACACACAAAATTAGTCCTCATCCATCCCTACAAGCTGATCTCTCTTACTAGGGCCACCTGCTGGTTTTGCCACTATAATCTGCAAGATAGTCAAAGCACTATCAACAACCTTTTTTTTAATGAAGGTATTAAACATTAAATAGGCTGCAATAAGATAGATTCATCATTTCTCACACATTTTTAGCTAGCCAGAAAAACCCCAGCATATAGATTTTCTATTTACTATCAAGCCTTCTGCACTGAAGCCATATTCATTATAAAAGTTCAACATTTCCCAAAAGTAACTTTCAATTTTATTTTATTTTTCTAAGTTAAAAACTAACATTTGCGACCGTTCTTTTGAGTTATAAAGGAGTTTGTGTTCTGAGTACACACGATGCATCTATCATGACATATAAAAAAAAAAAAAAAAAAAAAAAAAAAAAAAAAAAAAAAAAAAAAAAGACCTGACTATAAATTGTTAAAATATAAATTAAATAAATAAAAAGAATAGTCAACTAATTCATAAAGCCTCGACTTTTTATTTATTTTAAACTGTATGTACTTTAGCATTTTTTTTTCTATTTTGGCCTCAAAGATGCAATTAGGGATTTAAAGATGTAGTTCATACCAAATTTGGGTACTTCAAAATTAGGAAAACCATTGACAAATACGTAGTTACTAGTTACCTGATTTACCCGTAGAATAGTGCAGGCAACATCTACAGCATACTTGAGAGCAAAGAACCTGCGACAAACAGCCCAAGAAAGAAGATTGATACCTATATCTCATACGAAACAACTTCCTGGCCAACTTAAACATATTGATTTCAATAAATTCATGAAACATAACTATCTAAAGTTCATAAATACCCAAAATGTTTGAAGTCAAGATGTTTCCAAGTTACTATTTATCAGTTACCCAAACAAATCCTCACTTATTCCCGAATGCTATAATTTGTAAAAATCCTAAATGCAAACCATCAATACTATTTGTAAAACAAATAAAAAATAAAAAGGTTGGCATTGTCACTCTATTATCCTCTAGAAACCAACCATTTACTAAAAAAGAAAGATAAGAAACCTTTCGTAGTGGATATGTGGCTTAACTATTTACACAAATGGAATATAATAAAGAAAATAACTGAATGACTGGGTCCCATGGTGAATAAAGGCTTTCAGCACAAGGATGTAGCTGTTAGACCACCAAATCATGAACTAAATTTTTTACATCATATATGCATAACCTCCTAGCCCAATTAGCCAGCCAATGGACTTCAAAATGCACCACAATCCTCAAGCACCCATGCCAGTAAGTCACAGTTTGATACAGAAAATCAACAGAAAGGATACCAATAAGATGAACCATTCATTTACGCAACAGGAACTAATTGGCTATCAAAACCACCAAAAATGGGATTACTAATAAAAGCTTCCACTACAAACAAATTCTAGATCCAAAATTAATGTAAAAGAGTTCAGAACCAAAATTGCATCAAACATCACAGCTGTAACAACATTCAATGTATTGAGAACTTTCACATAAAAGCATGAACTGTTACAAGACAAAGAGCAGCTTACTTAGTTAAGTGGAGGTCCCAAATATTAAGAGTTGACACATCTTTGCAACGGCCTTCCTCCAAGTCGAGGCCAACTTTGGTATTTCCTGATGCATGTTCAGCATATAGAGAAGATATGATCTCCATTGCATTAAGCTCAGCATTTTCAGCTCTCGTTTTAGGCACCATCTCAAAGCTTTCGGCAAATTTTGCTATAGCATACTGATCCAATCTGCAAAATCATTGTTTCTTTAGTGGGTTATTGCACTACTGCCCAATCATTAAAGTAAAATATATGGACTAGTTGGGTTCGACATACCGCGAGATCAAAGGTTTGCAAATTGTTGTTTTTAATTGAGTTAAATCAGTTTGGTGCTATTTTCTGCTGTTCTGCAAAACACTATATGCAACCAAACCAACCCAGACTAGTCGATTAGATTCAGGTCAGTTTTTCAATTAAAAATTTCCAGTCCTAGTAAATCCTAGGTTGTGATCCAAATTAAGATTTCTATTGATTACAGTAACAGAATGAGGCATATCCACTGACTGTATTCTTGTTCGTGTTCCGGTTGTTAATTGCATATGTAGGCAGCGATGAAAAATAACAAATAAATACAAAGAAGAAACGAGCATTTGAGATGCATCATTGAACAAAAGCTGTGGCAAGATTGAATTGAAGGCACAAAAGCTGCATCATAGATGAAAATTTCATAAGAATCAAATAGATTACTGTCTGGCAAAGGCACACAAAAAAGCCTTCAACAAAATCTCAAAGACCAGTGGCAGTCAGTTACAAGAACTCGAGGGCCTCTCTTAAGACGGCACACTACCATCGAAGAGAGACGGAAGAAGAGTTCATTAAAAAAATTTCCACTCTAAACTCTCACTCCGCATCCTAAACAAGTACACACAACTTAAAAGTTACATTTTAATTCTGTATTCAGATCTTCAACTGACAACCAAAGCTTTGTAACTAGTGATTTTCAATATTCAATCCTTGCAAATTGAAATATAAAACATGCTTTTCATCTGTAGACAACAAAAGATTACTAACTCAGAGCAATACAAACGAGATAGTTAAACTGTGACACAGAAAAAGTTAGTCCTCATCCATCCCTGCAGGCTGATCTCTCCTACTTGGGCCACCTGCTGGTTTTGCCATTATAATCTGCAACACAGAGAGTTTTGTCAACATAATTATTTATGATTTAAATGATAATCAACATCACATATTCTTGCAATTAGATAAATGAATTTTAACCCTTAATTGATGCTAATCATCAAACCAACTTTCATGTTCTGACAAAAACAAAACAGCTATTATGTCTTTTTTTTAAGTCTTGTTTTGTCAAGAGCAAAATCATTGAAAAGCGGCCCAACTTATATCCAATCAGTTATGCTAAAGTGGGTATTTCTAGCAGAAGATATATTAGCAATACATTTGAAAGTCATAAATCCTTGTCTCACAATTTCAAAATCCCTCGCTGTTCAATTCTTTGTAAAATAGAGGTACGCCCAACCCTACATCAATCTTAATAAAGAATTATACCTTCTGCAGTGACGCTATATTTAACAAATTCTGCATTTCCCAAAGGAACTTCAAAAAAATATCATATTTGCTTCCATTGTTTGAAGTATTGGTACGAGTTTCATAGGTTTCTTATTTTAATCTAAACAAAAGCTCAAAGACGAGTTTCAAACCGGATGCACCTAGTATTTCAGTTTTCCCTCTGGTCTGAATGATGCAGTTCGAAATTAAAGTTGGGTACTCCAAAAGTTGGAAAACCCAATAGTTATTAGTTACTTACTTGATCTACTCGTAGAACAGTGCAGGCAGCATCTGCAGCATATTTGAGAGCAAAAAACCTGTAGCAAACATCCCAAGAAAGATCAGACCAAAAAGAAAAAAAGAGCCCAACATAGAATATGATGCCTCTATCCTATATAACACAATTTTTTAACCCAAAGTTTACTTATAAATCACAGCAATTTCAAAAGAACATTGAATTCAAATAGATGAATGAAAAACAACTATTTACAATTAATAAAACATCTGATGTGTATGAGTTTGAGATATGAACAACGCTTAGCTTACATGTCGTTATTCCTCCTTAACTGAATCTTCACTTATTGAAAAATACTACAAACCCTTTCATATGGATGTAACTCATACAAAATTCAGAATGAGAATACATCCACTAAATTGATAGATGATTTTAAAAAGGTTAGAATCGTCGCTGCATTATCCTCAAGAAACCAACCATTTCTTGAAACCAAAACATAAATAAAGCTTTCAAAATGGATATATAGCTACATCTATATACACAAACAGAATAATGAAGGGAAAAAACACTGAATAACTGGGTTCCATGGAGTAAAGGATTTTGGCAAAGATATGAATGACCACAAATCATGGACTTCAGGCCAAAAAACAAAAATACAAATCATGGACTAGATTAAATATTACAAATGTAGACAACTGCCTAATTATGCCTATTATCCATATTACAACTTCACCACAATACCCCCTCACAAAGCTAAATTAAATTGCACTTTGATATATAACATCAACAGAAGGATACACGCACCAATCAAATGAACCACTAATAGAAGCAGCAGGAAATCATTGGCTAGCAAAACCTCTAGAAAGGGCATGGGAATTAAAAGAGTCCTCTACCAAAAAAATAAATAAATAATTCTTGACCCAAATCTAATGTACAAAACTTAATCTCATTACACCAAAATCACATCAAGCATCACAGTTGTAACAACATACAATGTAATGAAAACTTCCACACAAAAAATAAATAAATCATTACAAGACAAAGAAAAGCTTACTTAGTTATGTGGAGGTCCCAAACATTTAGAGCTGACACGTCTCTGCAAACACCATCTTCCAAGTCGATGCCAACTTTGGTATTTCCTGATGCATGCTCAGCGTAGAGGGACGATATGATCTCCATTGCATTACGCCCAGCATTCTCAGCGAGAGTTTTAGGCACCATCTCAAAACTTTCGGCAAATTTTGCTATAGCATACTGATCCAATCTGCAAAACCATTCTTTCTTTAGTTTGTTATTTCACTAATGCCCAATCGTGACCTGACTGGACACACAAAAAAAATTAAAATTTAAGTTCCAATAGTTGGTGTAGACCTCCAGATTCTACTTTATGCTTTCAGGTACAACATTACATGCATATTATGAAAACCAACAATTCAGATCAATACAAAGAACTCTAAATGATTCAAATCAAAGTACTTCACAATTACCTATCCCAACCGCACCTTTTTTGGACAAGAACATCCATGACATATCCGTTTCTTTCTTTTGTTCTTTTTAGTGCTAGGAAATTGCTCCATTATGTGTTACCTAAGTTTGATCATTTAAAACTGTAAAACGGGTGTCCCATCTCTAGTTGGGTTGTAATACCCATGATGCTTCTTTAAGGCATTTTCTAGGAAATTTATTTGGATACCATTTTAATTTTTTATACATCTTGTATACTTCAATTTACCCCATACCACAATTTCAATAAAGTTCCTTCTATGATATGTATTCCTTATACTCCAAAGAATCTTGCATAGCAATTTCCACCTCCTTTGAGGATATATCTTTGTTATTGTTGATAATTTCTGTGTGACTGTAGCTTAAAGTTTTCATAGAATCAAGCAAAAATATCTAATAGTGGTGAAAGTTAGGCATATTGCAGACGTATTGTGTAAATCACTTCAAATGAATAAATTCAATACAAATTTATAAATAAACCCAATCCTAAACATGTATTTATAAAAAAACCCAAGCACTATTTAAACATAGAAACACACCCAAAATCAACTCCAAAATCAACAATTGTATATTTTTTGGGTGTGTTTATAAATGGGTTTTGAGTGTGTGTAATGATGGGTTTTGGGTGTGTTTATAAAGTGTTTTGGGTGTTGGGTTTTTTTATAATTTCAGCTCCCATTTTGGGTATTTTAGTGAAACTCCCTAAATTCAAAAGCAGAGGCAATTTACCCTGTTTCTTTAAAAGAGAATTCCTTCAGTCTCCTAGCTAACTCAATTTCAGTTGCCGCAGCTCCAGGAACAATACGGCTATCCTTGCACATTGCCTGAAAATGAAATGCATTAAGATAGTAAGATATCAATGACACCTGATCGAAGAATTTTTTTTAAAAGTTCCAGAGAACCATATGCTAACAACAATTTCAGAGGTAAAACAAACCCAGCCTAGCAAGACATACAAAATTATAAATGTGCCTTATAAATTACCTTGTAAGTGTTCACTCCATCATCAACTGCTCTTTCAAGGTCATCTAATATACTGTCAGTACTTCCTCGTAGAAGCACAGTGGATACAGAGTTGCCACCTTCTTCATTCTTCACAACAGTGACCTACATATTGGACACGTTAACAGGAAATAAGAAAAACAAATGAGGCATGAATAAGCAAATTTATAGACAAAATACAGTCTGAGGAAACATTTCTTAGCATACCCTAACACCAGCAATTTCCTCCACCGATACAGAGTCAACATATCCCAGATCATCTGGGTTAGGCTGGCCAAGCTTCAGCTGTTACACAAATACAAAGTGTATTAAGAAGCACTCGATAAGTTACACATAAAATATCAAATTCTTGTAAAATTACCATGGCCACAGCACCAGTTGTGCAGCAAAATCGTCTCAATTCAAATTTTGAACTGATTTTCAGCACCATGAGCCTAGAATCAAGAACTAAAAAGTTAAAACACTAAAGGAGTTCAAGGATCTCTAAAAGAGATCTAAATACCCTTAAATGGGTAGTACATAGTGAAAGTGTCTACCTAAACTCAAAAGTCCCAGTTTATGCTACAATTACAACATTACTGCATACACACAGCATGAACGCACACGGGTCGAAAAAACTTTAGCAACAAAAAAGCCATTGACACTTACTTGTAACGCTCACAAAAATGCAGTGCCATCTCTCCTACTGCTGCTCCACTGACAATTACTTTGGCACCTGAATCTGCAACTGCTTTGATGAGCTCCTCAACTTTAGCTTCTTCAGTTTTTGCATAATTTTCTAGCTACGGGATGACCAAGAAACCACTTATTAGCTAATAACAGATCGACCACATTAAACCTAACGATGCAAATAAATTAAACATGTAGGCAAAGATAATTTCCAACATCCAAGCCAAACAA